TACCTTTTCGGTGTATATAGCGGTGGGAAGTCTGAAAATAGAATTAATTCTTGGAAATACATCAATATCTGCTGGCTTTTTGCACTGCATGTCCAGAATGAGCACGCAAGGTCCTCTATTTATCGCCCAGGAAGCCGTCTGTTTCTATCCTATCAGCACCATCTATGATTCCTGTCCCCGTTATCTCTTCTACGCTCTTCTTCTGGCCAGCTGCGTGACACGATGGACTGGATGGCTGGCCGACGTGTTCCTAGGTGCTGCAGCAACATACGCAGGAGTCGCCGCCATCCAGGCTTTCATTCTCGTTTCCAGTCCCTCGTCGCCTGTGGACCCGGGACCGGTTACCATTCCATATCTGCCCCAAAATACCAGCCTTTGGGATAGTTTTCCTCAGCTCATCACGGAGAGAGACAATGTGGTGGTCCAGCCAGCCGCTGTGGAATTGGATGCCGATGCAGTCAGTGCTATTGTAATCACAGGCTATCTTGTGTTTCTGCCCTTGCAATGCTGGTCCCGCGTTCTCTCGCAAGAGCGCATTCGAGTTATCCTATTCTACCTCTGGAATACCCTGATGTTCGCTGGTTCCATTTGCGCGTTGGTCTACTCAAATACTGCAAAAAACACACCGACCCAATACATGTTCTGCTATCCTGACCTCCCTCCGTTCGACGAAACATCCAGCGATGGTTGGCAAGCCTCATGGCGAACATCCACTTGGAACAATAGTGTCTGGAGCATATTCTCCAATATCACCCTCTGGGGTCAGCTCGGTGACATCTGCTTCAACCCTTGCTTCAACACCAGTCAGATTCTTCGCCAGCAGACGTCTTTGAACGTGTGGGTTGCGACCAGGAACTCGGAACTGGACCACCCGCAGTCATTCTGGAACAAGTTTGTATATTCAAGGCGTTACATATACAGTCTTCTTGGCGTCACTGTCATCTTGAACATCATCCTTCTTGTCTCGAGGTTCTTCCCCTACGGTTCTCGAATCCCGTCCGTGCAGATGGTGGTCGTTTGGCGAGAACGCAAGGCCATACGGAGCAGCTTTCGGGAAGGATTCTGTCTACTGAAGTCACTTGCACGCCAAAACGATTTCCCTTCCTCCAAGGGCTCTATTTGGCGCCGGTTTCGGTCCGTCCTAAGTAGGCAATTTGCCAAAGAATGCCTTCGTCTATTGGCAGACGCCCTCATTCTCGTTGGACTGTTACTGAGCATCATCATCAGCCCCTTGACACTGATCGCATTTGTCGCCTGGATTGAGTGGTACATACACAACGATGGACCGCCCGAGGAGAATCCTCAGCAGGTTGGACAATGGTCGTACCTGGTTTCCATCGGGCTGTTGCTCATTTCCGCGTTGATCCTGAGATTGAAATATCATGTTGCCTCAACTCAAGAATTAGATGATGAAATATACGTGCTCAGAGAGCGCCTGGCGGATGCGGAGAGCAGAAGGTTGCTACGTCCAGAGTGACGGACACGCAGAGGCCAGTCATCGAGCTTGAAGGCTTCCTCCAGTGCTGCTTCTAGCCAGCACTTCGGATCGTTCTGTCTACCGTCATCAGGTGTTGTCGAATTCAGCTCCATGTCTGCCCGAATCCGGGAGCGGGAGATTGGAGACTGTCGTGAAGTGGTCCTTCCAACTACTCGATCCGATATTGGCACAGTCGATGTAAGATTATCTGGTATCCAATTGACGAGGCGAGTTGGGTCATCTAGAAGATTGACGATTCCTTCCTTGTTCTCTTGCTGTGCATTTGGATTTGTGAGTATGACCTTCACTGCTGGCTCAGTGATGTGTCGTCAACAATGCCGTGGAAACAGTCCATTACAACTTTCCATTCTGGCAACGTCCTGTGGTTGTCAAAGAGAGATAATATTGATCACGCAGTAGACGGTCGTCTCCTCGGAAATTTGCTTTATAGGATCGTACAGCAAATCGCAGAACCACGGCAAGTTGTGGTTTTGAGACCTTTGACAAAGTCCCCGTCGTCGATAAAGTCGAGGTTACAGCGCTTCGTCTCCAACAGCCTCACCGGCAGCTGCATTGCGAGAAAGCAGACCACCCCATTTGGACCGTAGATCGGTGCAGACCCATCATCCTACGACCGACCGGTCGGTCCGGGTGTACACTCCAATACACCTCAGGCACCTGCTCAACGGCGGTCAGAGCAGCAATCATCGGTGCTAGCCAGAGCGTGTGGCAGCTATCCGAAGATAGAGTGCCATAGGGCCGATTCTTAGCTATCCTGCAGCATGCCTTTAGGTCCTTGTTTACGTCTTGTCCTGAATATAGATATCCTGCCGAGGCAACGGGATTGTCTCACGATGAAAGAACAAAACGTCCATATGCCACCCTAGATGTCCGTAGCCCATCGGCAGATTCACGAAACGGAAAAGTGCCGAGAATCGGAGGATTCCCGCCTCATCATCTTCTCTATTTGTACTGGTCCTTCTCCTGCAACTTCCACCATTTATTTGCAACAGCCATTGGAGATCGAGCTCTCTATCCGGATATTTGCTCCACTACTCATTTTCGATCGGCTACCCGATAAAATTTTCATGTCTTTGACGAGGATTGAAGAGCCCTTTGCATGTGGTTTATAATGCTGCCTAGACGCCTCGGACAGCTCATTCACTCCTCTAAACCACTTAACCAGAATGTAAGACTATATCGACGTTTCATATCTCGCACATCTCCATTATCCAAGAAGCAAAACAGCGTTCCAGCAGCATATTATCGCGGGGGGACGTCGCGCGCCATCTTCTTCCGAAAAGAGGATCTACCGTCGGAACAACAGAAGTGGGATGACATCTTCCGCGGTACCATCGGCAGTCCCGATCCATATGGACGCCAGTTAGATGGCATGGGCGGCGGCATCTCTAGTCTGTCCAAGGTGTGCGTGGTCAGCAAATCCGACCGGCCGGATGCTGATGTTGATTACACCTTTGTTTCGCTAGGAGTGAAGAACATGGATGTTGATTATTCCAGCAACTGTGGGAACATGATCAGTGCGGTTGGACCATATGCAGTCGATACTGGTCTCTTTCCCGTGGCCGACGATTTCAACACTGTCTCTGTCCGAATATTCAATACCAACACGGAAAAGGTCATCCGCTCTACGTTCCCTGTAGTGGAGGGGGAGGCAGCAGCAGCCGGTGATTTTGCTATCGATGGTGTGGCTGGAACAGGCGCTCGAATACAGCTCGATTTCATTGACCCTGCAGGCTCCAGGACGGGCAAATTGCTGCCAACTGGGAAGGTTGTTGATTGCTTTGACAACATTCCCGCATCCTGTATCGATGTGGGCAACCCATGCGTTTTCGTGCGTGCTTCTGACTTGGGAGTTCGAGGAAATCTGGCACCGGATGAGATTGACGCGCATCCTACTCTACTCCCACGGTTGGATTCTATCCGTCGGCAAGCTGGCGTGAAGATGGGGCTGGCTAAGACACCGAAAGAGGTGCCTGGGAGTGTTCCCAAGATCTGCCTTGTATCATCGCCGTCAGATTCTTGTACTTCTGGAATGATGCAGACGTCGAAGGATGTCGATCTGGTGGTTCGCGCTCTCTCCGTCGGCCAACCACATAAAGCCGTTCCCATCACCGTCGCTTTGGCTCTTGCGACGGCTGGAAGAGTGTCCGGCACTGTTGTGGCCGACGTGGTGAGTGACAAAGCAGTCGATCCCGCTGGCATTACCTTAGGCCATGCAAGTGGCAATCTGCTCGTCAGCGCGGATTTTGATACCGAAGGTCATTTACGCTGTGCGACGGTCTATCGAACAGCGCGTCGGATTATGGAGGGGCGTGTCTTCTGGAAAGATACTTCCGCGTGAACACCTGAAATATATAAATTGTTGTAAATATGGGGTTTGCACGCTGGTTCGGCAGCGTCCACATTGTTAGGAGATGTGTTTATATTGTTTGAAAACGAACGTACGACTAGTGAGATTCGAATGTACATATCTCCATTGTATAATATTAGAATGAAGCATCATTTAAAATAAGGGCTGGCTGCGCCTCCCTAAACCGCGGGGAAACATTATCGGATGAGTCACAAAGCCTAAGCTGTAAATATAAAGATCATCGACTGAGATTAGCTCTAGCTATCCATGGTGAATATTAGGCACTTTCAAAGTTAAGATATCAATACTATACATCGGCTCACGATGACAGCCAACCGGCGCGCCTTTCTTCTCCCCGAAATCCGCCGTTCTATCATCGAGTGGGCAGGGGAAGAGCCATACGACCACGACAGCTTCTACGACGCGAAGCGCGACAAAGAGATATCATGTTCAAGAGAATATACCCTTCTGTGCTGTGGTCTAGTCAATAAAACCTGGTGTCACGAAGCGATGCGCATCCTCTGGAAAGATCTGCATCCGCCTTTGTGGTGGCCGAATAATCTGCCAGGTTATTTCCGGCCTATTACACCAGATCGTCGCCAGTTCACGCCAATTTCGTAGAAAGGGCATTTCTTCATGCAGTCATGGATGGAAATGACGATAGCAACGAGACTTTGCAAGGCCTGGCGTTTCCTAAACTACGATGGCTCCATCTATTCGTGGACTTCCACCAKAAGTACATTCCCCTGATTCAAGGTCATTGTATCGAAAAGCTTGACGTGGATCCTCGTTGTGAAGTATGTCCAATCACCAATATGGACGCAGACACCATGAGTGCGATACTGGAGCAAATCCCGGTAGGTTCATGATTCCCGCTTCGCTGATTTGCGTTCGGGGGCTTATTGGAGACAAGGTTGTATTCCCTGATGTTAGGGTCTTGATATTTCTCGGACACGGCACAGGTTTACAGAGGAGTATTGCAGCGTTTGGCTGCTCGGCTTCCACGACTCGAGAAATATGATCATCGTTGCTTAAGTGAGGTGGACGAGCGATGACTACATCAGCACCATTTATGCGCACGGCTTCTGAGGAACACAATGGAGAACGGAAAGATCACAATGTACATGCAGATCCGCCATCGATTGGCGGTACTTACTTCTTCACCTCGTTGAGCATCCTGACCAACACCTTCTGCAACCGCTTGACTCCCTCCATCAGGCCCCTTTCGTCCTCCCACGCGAAGCAAAGTCTCAAGCATTGATCTTGAGACATGGAGGATTGATCCCCGGGGACGATAAAAATGTCCCCATTGCCGAGAATCAGATTCTCCTCCCGCAGTGCTCTTTCAGTGACATTGCGAGAAGTGAGTGGCTGGGGCAATCTGACCCACACAAAAAAGCCTCCAGCATACAATGCGTCACTTGCATCCGTATGTATCTCGACTCCAAGGGGATACAGTCTCTCCTTGACCGCCGATACCAGAGTGGAGTGTCGGCGACAGTATGTTGGGATCAAGATTTGTCTTATATGCTGCGTGACAGAACCATCTTGTAGCATTTCATCAACGAACGTCGACATGAGTTGAGATGGAGGGCCCCCTGATACTGTAGAGCCTCTGCGTAATTCGTGTTCAGCCAAGAGGACAGCCATAGACGGTAGGGAGAGTCTTACACTTGTGACAAGCCATAAACTAATTGAGGCTCTCCCTCGGCCCAACCAACGCGACAACCAGGGGCAATGATCTTGCTAAAGGTCCCATTACTGACGACATTACCGAAGATACCCCGCGGTCCACCATCAAGCGTCCGATCTAGATCCAGGACGCGAGGGAGGATGGAAACCCATGAATTTCCATTATCTGGAGAATGAGCGGCAGACCAGTGCAGAAAGTCGTAGACATCGTCGCAAATTACTAGAGCATTGAATTTGCGAGCTAAACGGACGAGAGCCTCTCGCCTTCGGAGAGACATAGTAGCGCCCGTGGGATTGGAGAAGTTGGGCACGCAGTAAATGACGTGTTTGAATATCTTCCGGTAGCGTTCCGGACGCTTGTATCCTTCTCCCTACGTGGAATTTAGCTGTGGTAATTTTTGAAACGGTTTCTTCAGCTCACCATCTCTGCAACTGCCTCGTCTTTAGCGAGAGCGCGTTCAAGAAACTCCATGTCCATCCCCTCCTCGTCCTCAGGGACAGCCCTTAACCTCCGGTAGAACCCTGCATCCTCAAAGATCCTGAATCCAAGATKGTAAGACGCCTGTGGCATCCATATATACCGTGTTTGCGATGGATCAGTGAAGACTTGGAGGATACTCGACAAGTTCTGGCTGGCTCCCCCGGTTATGCAGATGCGATCCGCTTGAATCGGCTGGGAGGGTTTGTAGTATCCCGTCAGCCACTCGGCAAGGTGAGTCCTGAGCGGTAAGTGACCTTCATCCGGCCCATAGTCTAAGCCGGTTACTGTGACTTCCGGCTTCGACAAAGCCGATACTGCAGCATCACTTAGGCGCTGGGTGGGGAGAAGAGCCGTGGCGGGCGAGCCTTTCAACAAATCGATACAAGGAGTTGAAGACATTGAAGGACAGCGAGAAAGGCAGAACCTTGTTGAGGACGGAAATCCACGAGGGCCCTGGCGCATTTATACACTGATGACGACTTGGGTTTGCCTCTGACTTACGTGGGGATACAGGATTTCCGTTTTGGGTAATCAAGGCGATTCAACCAATCACAACATGCCAAGCAATGGATCCAGCGGGAGGCACCAAACGATGGGTTCTCCGTGCGTCCTTTGAGTCCTTGACATTGGCAGCTGCTTATATATAAATTCTTCTTCCTTCTTCTCTTGCGCCTTTTTCTTTGTTCAGACTTGATTTGTGATTCATAACCCGTATAAGGCAGCGACACAATGGAACACATCAAAGCGTTCGCTGTGGAAAAGGCAAGTAGATTACTGTCAGGTGCATGAGTCGAGGTCTGACTCTCACAGTGGATGGACGAGCATGAAACATGGGCAACTCATAACCTCGCTGAGACTTGCTGTGCTTCCGTCTCACTCGATGATCTTCTGGTCTTCGCGGGGAACAAGGACAGAGCTAGCCTTATCGACTTCTCCCAGAAGCAGACCTATGGAGCGATCCGGGGCAGTGATGCCTTGCGCTCAAACATCGCCAACCTCTACCGCGACGAGGAGTCCGAGCCATTATCAAAAGACAACATCCTTATCACGAATGGCGCTATCCAGGCCAACTTCTTAGCTCTATATACCAATGTTGCTCGGGGTGACCATGTCATCTGCCACTATCCAACCTACCAGCAGCTCCACTCCGTTCCCGAGTCCTTCGGCGCCGAGGTCAGCCTTTGGAGGGCAGACGAGCAGAACGGATGGCGGGTCAACTTGGACGATCTGAGATCACTGATCAGACCAAATACCAAGGTCATCATCATTAAGTGAGTACTCTAGGAGCCACAAGTGACTCCGACGTGAAGTGAAGGTGGACCTGACAAATCCACAGCAACCCTCAGAATCCGACCGGAGCTGTCCTGAGCCGCGGTGTGCTGCAGGAGGTTGTAGATATTGCGCGCCAGTATGGCATCATCATTCATAGTGATGAGGTGTACCGGCCGCTTTTCCACTCCCTGCAGGACGGGCAGGAAGAGCCGCCTTCCATTCTATCCTTCAATTATGAGAAGACCGTTGCCACTAGCTCAATGAGCAAGGCTTTCAGTTTGGCCGGGATTAGGCTGGGCTGGATTGCGTCCAGAAGCCGGAAAATCATAGAGCAGTGTGCGACAGCCCGCGACTACACTTTGATTTCGGTGAGCCAGATCGATGACCGGATTGCGGCACGCGCAGTGTCAGAGCCCACTGTGAGTAATATTCTCAAGCGTAACCTCGACTTGGCAAGAAGCAATCTAGAGCTCCTCGATGGCTTCATCGAGGAATTCGCCTGGGCTGCGCGATGGGTCCGTCCACAAGCGGGCACCACAGCATTCATCAAGTTCGTGAATAAGGACAACCTTGCAATTGATGATGTGGAGTTCTGCAAGCGTTTGCAAGCGGACTGTGGAGTGATGTTCGTGCCAGGCAGCAGGTGCTTCGGCGAAGACACAAACTTTAAGGGCTATGTCCGCATCGGCTATGTGTGTGAGCGTCAGGTCTTGATCGACGGTCTGGAAGCGTTGCGGAAATTCATGGCTGATGCCTATCACTCTCTGCCAGTGGCCGTTTGAGGAGCGGTAAAGTAGATAGACGCAACTATGTACTTGCATCAAATAGTGAAATCATCACAATGTCATAGAAAATAATATCCATTGCCCATGGTTGACCCAATACGATGCTGAGACGAAGGCAGTATAGAGTGTGTTCAAAAGAGAACAAGTTCCAGCCCAGACTGTGCAAAGTAGATGTCCCAGCGCGAGGATGCGCCCGACTCCCAGTAACGAGCAAGAGCATCCCTTGCTCTGGTAAAATTCCCCATACCCATGGTCTGCATATTCACCATCCTTGTTTGGATAGCTTGGCGTTCGCGAAGATCGTCGGTCTCACAACCGGCACTGAAAATGGGCCACAGGATGAGGACATTTGCCGGGGAGAATGGTCTGATTGCCTGGACGTTGTCGAGAATGGCCGCCACCTGCGACCTTACCTTGGGATGGCTTTTCGGAAGCAATTCGACTCGACGATAGAGATGTAAAAGTGCTGAGTGGATGAAGGAGAGATGTGTGTTGTGCAGTTCGGATGCCAGAACTTTATCATGGGTCGCGAGTGTGACCGCCGACGGAGACTGGTTGGCAATGGAGAGTACTTTTCTCTCGATGTCCTGCGCTTCATCTGTCAATTCCTCGGAAATGGTAGAGGATGGCTCCGTAAAGGTTTCTAATATTGACTGCTCATGCACGTTCCGCCGCGCCAACTGTCCGATTCGCGCCAGCAGAGGCATTAGCTGGGTTGAGTAGCCGCAGATCTCATCAATCTGACCAATGTCACAATCGGGACTCCGACTCAGGTTCCAGTACTGCCCATCGTTGACACATCCTTCATGTGTACCTGAGAGGCCCGCTAGGATGTCGAGAGTAGCGAACCACTTAAGAAGACACAAAGCAAACGGGTCAATTCCACCGTCCGTTGCCCTCTGCCTCTCAAGCAAGGCCGTAAGTAATTGCATTACTCCAGACAGATGGACCTTCCAAGTCCGAGCATTGCCATTACACACATCATTGGTACATAAAACCATCGCTGTCATGGCGGTTTCAGGCTTGAGAGTCTCGGCCGGATCAGCCAGGGCTGCACGTAGACCCGCTACTGCGAGGTCCGTAAATTTTAAGATGGTCAGTTGACTAGCTGACGGCTCCTGGACAAGTCGAGCGTGATGACTGCACGAGGCTGCGAGAAGTGCGTGCAGAAGATGCGGCGTTTCCACSGCAGTGGCGACCAATGTCTGCCCAAAAACGGGCGGGGCAAGAGGGAAAAGAACTCGAATGGTCTGAGTAGCAAAGTGATGCATGAAAAAGTGAGAGTCGTCAGGTGTCAGACACTCCAGTGGATTGAGCGATGCTCGGAGCGGTATGACGCTCCTTTCGGTTGCACATGGGTTTCTCGACTTGCCACCCACTGGAGAAGATTGCCTACAGTGACTCCGAACAACGACGAAACTAGAGTCATACTTGCACTCTTTAGGGAATCGGATGCATCTAGAGCACACTGGCCTCCGGAGGTCACACTATTGTAAGAGATGAGCGAGAGCGACCAATTGAGGGGAGTCAATGTGGAAATACTTTCACTTTTTTGCGTCGGCATTCAGAGCAGCCATCGCGTCTGCGAGGCAAACGAAAGCTCTGACGCGTGCCACCGGGACTTCTGCCAGTCATTGAAGGGCAAGATGATGGATCACGGATTGTCGACGGCTGATCGATAATTCTGCCCCGTTGATGCTGCCAGTAATCGGGTCGGGAAATCGCCGACCGGCGACGGCGCTCACAGAAGAGGAGCACGTGCCCACGAGACAAAATTTGAAGCCTCAGGCACCAACAAACATAATCTCTCTCCCACTGGTGAACTCCTCAATAGTATTGTTTACGAACACTCGCCGACTATCTTACTGAATAGCCAGAATTACTGACCAAACGTTATTGTCGATTGCATCCTGAGTACAGGGAGTCAGGTGAAGTGCGATTGAGATCAGATCTAATCACTATGCATCTCAATAAACCTATGGTCAAGGTAGGCTTAATATGATATTTTCACACTTGGCCTTCGGATCATCATTCGGCCATCACATTCACTCTCGTCACTGGCCCTTTATATACCTTTTTTGCATGTAACTGGTAATACACCAAAGAGAGCAGAATGACGCACCCGAAGATCGCCATGCTCCAGTTCATTGTAGACGGATTGACCTGCTCGGTTAGAGGGAAGAAGCTAAAGGCCCAAATGACAATCAAAACAAGAATGGAGACGGTGTCAACAAAGGGAGTAAATCTTCCCATGCTCCAGCGGGCGGGAGGAAGTGGCTGCTTGCGCCAGCGACGCAGTCGAACGCAGGTGATGGAGATGATGTACGACGAAAGGAGAGCCGCCGTGCCTAGCGACATGATGGCATTGAACGCCACGGACGATCCAATATTGATCAGGGAGAGAAGAGAAACAATGACCAAGCTCACGCATAGCGCATTTAAGGGAACGGCGAAAGTCGGGTTGACCTGCGAGTCGTCATTAACACCATTCCGTCATCCGCTGGGAAATAAGCCCACCTTTGACAGGAAGTTGGAGAAGGGTAGCCCCTTGTCCCGGGCAAACGCATAGACCTGGCGAGATGTGGTGGCAACATTACTGATTGCAGCACAGAACTGCATGGCCATGATGACCACCGTCATCCCAGTGGCAGCTCTGACGGATCCTGTCGAGTTGAGGAAGACTTGGATGAATGCAAAGCCCGTCTGAGATTTCAACACGGTGTCAATATCCCCAACGCAGAAGGCGAGTGTGACGATCATGACGAATCCTGTAGATCCGTTGAGGATAAGAGTCCAGATCATGCCAAGGGGGAGGACTCTGGATGCGTCACGGATCTCCTCGGCTATTCATCACATTAGTTGTCAATAATCTGCCAGGGTTCAAGAATAGACCTACACATGTGGACGGCTGAGTCAGGACCTTTGGTTGTACTTATTGTCAGCAGATCACACCCCCAGTATCTTGGGGATAGTCGAACATACCTATCAAGGCATAAATCGGTCCGACTAATCCGACCAGACAAGCAAGGCCGTTATTTCCCCAGCCGCCTCGATCTTCAATGGATCCAAAAACTTCTGATGCGGCCGGTCTCGGCGAAAGCACCCAAAGAGGAATCAAAATGCCAAAGAATCCAAAGCAATGGATGACCAGGATGATCCCTTCGATCAAGGGCAGTTTCTGCGCCAGCAGGGTGTTGAACAGTAAAGCAATTAATGCCACTGCAATGACCAGCAGAGTGACATGCCACGGCTCGTAGGTATAGGTCTCAGGGTAATTGATGGCAACCACTCCGACCATCATGTTGGCGACTGTATAGCAACATCCGGCGATTCCAGTGTGCCATCCAAGCACACAGACCCAGCCGGTTATGTAGCTCAATATGCACTGACAACTGAGGGGTGCAAACTCTGATACCCAGTGATATTGGCCGCCGGATGTTGGGGCCCTATTAGTCCATTAGCGGAGGGCCTGCGGGACGAGAATCGTTATCAGGCAAATAAATACATGGATGCCATTTCAGCCATCGACAGAATGACAAAACTGAACCCGGCGAGACCTCCTAAATAGGTGTATATCATGCCTCCCTTGCCGCCATTTATCAAGCCATAGGATGCGCCACTATTTCGATCAGTATTCTGCCCATCCCACGTATCTTCGGAGCAGACAGGGGAGAAACAAACAAAAGGACCGCTTCCCAGGTACACATCAACACCGCCGTAAACCCCAGGACTGACAGAAATCGGAAATTGCGCTACCTTGGGTTTAGCAAACATTGCAGTGCTGTTCGACGTGGTCCCATACATTCAATTCCTGCTGTCTTCCCACTCGCCGCATATCCTTGCGATCCTGCGCTGTTCCAGCCTTTGCAGACACCTCATCTTCATCGGCAGTGGTATAGACCACTGACTTATTTTCTGCCCACATCCTGATTCGATAGGCAACCAATCCCGACTGAATTCGACCAACAAACAGAAGAATCGCGAATGGCAGTTGAGAATGTTAGAAAGAGGATAGAAAATGGAGGATTGCTCAGGGGCGCCAGATCTCGGGGCGGAATTGGTTGAACCACCATGGTGCACAAGTGGTCATCGCCGCACTTAATTGTGCTAAGCAAGGGTAAGGTGCTGGTCGTAATATCAACCCGGACAAATACGACCCCAAGTCGAATTCTGATCCTACTCTGCTCCAGGATCTTGCAGGTGTCCTGCTTGTTTTGCCTCTTATCCGAGACGTTTTATTGCACACGCAATGCCGATTTAATATAAAGCCAGCTAAGCGTTGGCTGAACCCCTGTCTAGTCTCTGGGACGGCGTTGTGACAACTCCACGCCCTTGTCTTAATCAGTGTCCATTCCGTTATAAGTGCGTCCTTTACAGGGCTTGTTTCGGTCCAAAAATGGCCGATCACTCAGATATTTCTCCGGATGATATTAACTCACGTTACAACCCCTGTTGGAGGAATAGCTCGGGGTTGGGCCTCGATTCCAGCCCTGTCCGTCGTATCCAAATCCGAGAACATTGATTCTCGAATGAATATCATCCTTGCAACCGGAGAAATCCAAGGTGCCTTTACACTTCCTCGAACATCCATCATGTCGCTTTGTGCTTGTTCAACTTCTTTAGAGATCTGCCGTCTCCGTTTCTCCTCCTCAATACAAAGATGCCCAATATGACGGGTGACGCGCCCTTTGTGATAACAGCAACAGATAAGTCCGGATCAATTGCGATTGCAGCCACATTGTTCATGTCATGGATGGTCATTGTCTGCTTGATCCGTCTCTATATGAGACTCACCATGAATGGGCCGTTGGGAATGGATGACTGGGCCGCTTTTTCTGCAGGCGTAAGTCAAGCCTCAAAAGTCTCATTTGGGCAGATTAAAGCGGACGAAACGCACTGACGATCTTGCGACCAAGGTTATCGGGATATTCCATGTGGTGATGATTATGAATGCTCTGTCCCATGGACTAGGCAGATCTCATCGGGAGAGTTCTGACTCCGAACTTCAAAAGGCTGGGAAGGTGGGTTGCCTACCTTGGTAGTTTTGCAGAATATTGCTCATAGCTTACCTCTGAAGGCATTGTATACGGCAAATCTTCTGTTCCTCGCCGGTCATGGGTTAGCAAAGATATCGGTTTGCAGACTTCTACGACGACTCGGTCGAGAAAAGGTCTATCTGCTTGCTTGCAAAAGCAGTCTTCTCATTGCGAGTCTTTGGTCCATCGCTTCTATTGTGGCGGTAGCCCTGAGCTGCCCCATCAGATACCTGTGGTCCGTGGAAACTCAGTGCCATGAGCTCGTAAGCTCTTCTCAAGTCTGGCTGGACATCGTGGACAGAGCTGAGATTCACAATATAGAATACCGCTTGGAAAGCAATTACGGCATTTGACGTCCTGATCGAGGCACTCCTCGTTTCTCTTAGTGTGTCCCTCGTATGGGCACTTCAGATGCGTCGAGAAGATAAAATGACTGTCATCCTCGCTTTTGGTACTCGAATGATGTATGTCGAATCTCCCACTGCGCTGAACTCGAAAATTAACCAGGATTTTGTAATTCTCAGAGTGATCATTCTGACAATAGTCCGCCAATCCTTCCTCAATACCGGGCTCCGGGAGAAAGACCTCCCCTTGTCTCTGGCCCACACGCTGATTGCGACGGAGGTTTTGTTGCACTGCAGCATTATGCTAGCAACGGTGCCGTGCCTGAAGCCATTTATCATTGCCTTCAATACGGGCTGGGGCCAAGGAGTCGCAGCGACTCCAGGAACCTCATACTACAAGCAGACCGAAACAAGTGCATCGCAAGCGCATCCAGAAACTCCAAAGAATGAGGATGAGCTAGACCTGGCTATAACCACACAGTCTCTGGAGAGTTATAACTCACAACAACTGATCATCCTTCGAACGCAAGAGTGGAGTCTGAGGGAAGAGTTGGAGATGCGACCGATGGGAGGCTGATTTATATCACTCAGATGGAATACAAAGGATATCGATTCGTCTATACCTTCACGTATAAATTTGATTTCTCCACCGAGATTCCTTCCGCCGCCGGAGACGCCAAGTCCAATTCTTCAATTGTGACTCTCTAACCATTGGTAGAGCCCTTTGTAGATCGGCCCCGACATCTGTTCGATCACGGAACCCAAACTTTCGATACAGAGGAGCAGCAGCGTGATGCGCATCCACATAAGCAGGTACCCCCTCTTTATCAGCCCGATCACAGCCCCATTGGATTAACATAGACCCGGCACCCTGTCGTCGGTAGTCTGGGTGTGTCACCAGCATGTCAAGATCTAATCTAAGGGGTCAAACTCTGTCAACACCGTGGAGTCGAACACTTACAGTAGAACTGCTTATCACCGAATGACTGGTTTCGCTCTTTTTCGAGCAACCCGAACAGCTCGTCGCAAGCCTGATGATCGGATTCCTCATGCCAGGGGGGAAACCGTTGTGCACTTTGCTGCGGATTCAGATCCCATCTCGCTTATGCAACTATAAAACCAGGTGAACCGATATCCACAACCTTGAGATATTTTCTGTGTGGGGTATGAAGTATATCCTGCCGATGTGTTTCTTTCTACCTCTGCCGGACTCCTGGGGTATCTGGGAACATCTTCAGATTCTGCGGGATGCTGAACGTCATCAGGGAGTTGACGAAAATGGAGGGTCCACGGTGGTTATTTCGTGGATGGACGCCCAGTTTTGTGAGACTGTGGCCGCAGACGACGGCCACTTTGGTCTTGCTGGAGCAGCATAAACGGTTATATCGTGCCTTTACGGGTTGTGAGTAGGAGGATTGGATATCGATCTGTTGTGCTCACTGTCTCTTGTTCAAGCTGTGTAGCATTGGATGAATGTTATTATAGTAGGAAGATGATCATTGCTTTGGCGAATTCCGAAAAGCCATTAAGCACTTTGCAAAGACATGTAGAGTGTGCACACTCTAGTTGAAACCAGTAGTAGGTCTTACTAGTCGAAACCGCTCGCTATTCCGTAAAGGAGGACTCATCCACGGGAGAAGGTAGTCACCGTACACTACCTCGACAGAGTCGAATCCACACTTTCTGAGGACCTTCGCCGAAGCTTTATTTTCCGTATCGCACCAAGCCTCGAGAACATCGAATTCAGGGCGGGCCTGCCAGAATACTTCCTTAAATGCCGTCAAGGCCTCCGTGGCAAACCCCAGACCCCATGTATCTCGATGAAAGATGAACCCAAGCTCAGGCACCGGGTCTGATTTCCAGGTCCCAATCCACCCCAAAAATGCTCCAGGAGCGATGTAGCCGCTAGGAAGTCGCGAGTGTTCCCTGTTCTGTCTCAAAGCCTCGATGAGATTTGGATCCAAATCAGGACGGAGTAACACAGCGTAGTTCTCGCCTTTGGGATTGATCTCGGGCAAGAGTTCGGACATCCATTCTCCAGCAGACTCTAAAGTATTGCAGGGCCCATGGCTGCTCCATTTCGTAGCCTCTGAGTCATTCCAGACTGAGAAGTAGCCAAGCAAATGCTCTTCAGTCAAGCGGACCAACTCCAGTCGAGATGTTTGCATTGTAAATACCGGCTCGTTCTTGGGAGAGAAACAGATTCAGGAGGACAATGAGTGAGACTTTCAAGAGACGGGAAAAAGGATGGCATTTTAACCGGTATGCGAAGAGTCGGCGTCCGATTTAGGAAAGGGGGCGTTTCTCTTCTTCATGTACACACTTTTCCCTCCGGTCTAGGCTTTCATTGTCGAAGCAGAGAAGAATAGTGGCGTTTCTGAGCAATATGACTCACTCAGTGATGATGGCCCAGCCTTAGTCTGACATGGTCAATCATCCTCGTGGTCTCTGAGGCGGCTTGGTTTGAGCCTGAAATCATCTGCATAATTAAACATGCACAGCACACAAATTTACATAAGCAAAAATAGAGCCGCTACCTCAGGCGTCAATAGCCAAAAAGACCGCATCTTATCGTCTTCAGGGAGTCCCTGTTAGCCAGTCTGATCAACTCATAATAGCAGAATAATCGGACGAACGATTTTAAGAAGGCATCTCATGCCAGAAGTCGAATCTTCACCCCGTCCTCGCCTGCGGGCCAAACGAGCCTGTCTACACTGCGATCGGCGTCGGGTCCGCTGCAATGTGATGGAGATGGAGACACGCCCATGTCATAAATGCCGGTCGATGAATGTAGCGTGTGATTTGGGAATTTCTAAACGCGGAAAGTTAGTGCTCTTTGATCTACTCCAAGGCCGATTCCTGAGGTTCCTAGGTAAACTCGTAAGAAAGGGCACCCCCGCCAATATACAATCTCCCGCTTCGACAGTCCAGAGCGTACAAAGATCTGGCAGTCAATGCCGGTTCTTATTTGGACAGCCCCATAATTATACGCCGACTGAAAGACACAACAATGAAACAACTGTTACTCGGCAACATACGGTCTCTCTGGGGGAATCTATACCGGAGCTCAGTAATTGCAGGAATATCCCCCGGCTCGACGAGCTTTTTCGAAGGTGGATATCGTGCGATGCTTGGTGTCTTTGGCCATCTTGATTTCTCCAATGTCCGGAGACAGGGGTAGGATAATTACTCGTCATTTATCAATCATTTCAACACACCTGGGTTAAATGTCCGCTCATGACAAGGGTCAGAGACACTCAACCTAACTAATATTCTCTTCTCTCCCCTGTCTAGCTCCAGTTTTTCCTTGGACCAAAAAATGAGTTAGTTATCAAGTACTGCCGTGTCATGCTGATACTTTTCTTTCACAGTCCTAATTGTATACGCCATCCGAAGATACACATGACTTAAGGTACGTGGAATAACCTCAAAGAGGGTGTTTCTAGATGCTGGATGGGCCGAGCTATCATTATCAATCGGATCAACTAAAATAATTGATTAAACATACGCAACAAGAAAAGCCGCTCACTGCTTGGAATGTCCGAAACTTCCACCAGGATGGACAGAATCTGCGATCCCAGCGAAAGGTCTTCGAAACATCTGCTGACACTATCTCAAAAGGTAGGTAGGCAGAGAATTCAAGAAACTCTCCTCGGTGATACAAGGTGATAGCCATGGCTTGAATAGACGGTCCAGATGGCGTCCATTCGTTCAGCTTATCCAGCCATATTGATGCACCTAGGAGAATGGATTTCGTGCGCACCGTCGACTATTGCGAAAGGACAATCTTGAAGAATCTGTTCGACCCTATGGACAGTCCAACCAGGCGGCTGTGCAGCATCTATTTGTACAGATTTTTGGATCTCAAGCAGACGTGTCTAACTTTGATTAGGACAGTGTTGCTGAAAAATAGATTGATTATTCATCATGTTCGCACCCACACTCCATAGTCACAAACATTGCATCTGCGGACTATTCCAGCCAAGACCATCTGCTCATAAACGCAAAGAAGTCAATCTGGCTGGGCCTGTGTAATCACCACCACTGAGTTTGCCGCTGAGCTAGGAATTCTGAGACATTGATGGATCTACCCATTCGGTGGTGCGTTCTCCATGAGCACTTGTGACTGTCAGTATTGTACGTTGAATAATGCGTATGGGCTCTGCAGAAGACTGATTATCTGCCAAGTCTGAAACGCCCAACTACAACAGAGACAACCCCAGTCCAGCAATTGCCATATGCCTCAATTTCTGCTTGGCACCATCCGTACTGCCTTCCAAGGACATCGATATTTCTAAATTCTGCTGGTTTGTAAGCATGACTGCCGCACACATTCCAAGTTGACAGGACCAGATGGTTTCCCATTGTACCAAATTGGCCCGCCACACTTGGGTCTTCCACTCGTAACCCGTCCGAAACCAATCACCCTGTTAGGTGGACTGACCCCTTTGGAGGCGCTAGGAACAACTATTCCATCAATGCACAGAGTATGAGGTCCATGAATAGCACAATGGGTAGAACAGTGCTGCATCGATTGTCTCCACTCAGGCATTTACAGAGGTGGTTCGACAACTCCGGCAAGGCAAGGGCCGCCCTGATCTGATCTGGTCGTAAGGAGGAATTAAGGAGGAATCCTGACGTATGAACACGCCATTGTCTCTCGACTGGGCCCAGGGCCCCAGAGAAGACCGATCCTACCCGAATAAATCGAAAAGACCCTCGTGCAGATGGCGACTGAACGGGTCCCACTCGTTGCGGCTGTTGCCGACGCAGAAGCCGCCATCGAAGATGTGGATGCTACCACTCTTGCCATTGTTATAGAATGTTGGTAAGATGAATAGTAATCATTATCATAGAACTAATAATCCGGTAGGCATATACGGTACGTTTGGATGGGTTGAATTATCGGTCAGCTGGTCAGCAATGGGCACCGCTTTGTGGCAAACCATGGGAATACCGCGACATTGATGGCTCGGTCATCTTCGACAGAGAATAGATCGGTAAGTTCTTCTTCGGTCCCAAGCTTTTGTGGAATTAAAAGAATCAATAACTCGGCAGCAAACTGGAAATATATGGGGACCACTTGAAAGAGAAACATGTCTTAGTTGAGATACTCCGTAGTCTTGGTGTTATTTATCGCAAAAATGGTCAGTTGACACTTGACAGTCCTCGCGGAATAACCTGCAGATCTGCGCAATGATGTCAACCTGAAACATATCAGCCAATCATATTGCGTTTATGTATGCCCAAGGATATATATAGCATGCCCCTTGAAGATCATTTCCTGTCTTAGTGTAGGAAAATTGCGGGGATGTGGATAACTGCGGATTCCATTGGAGGATAAAGGCATTCAGCCATCCGTACAGAGTAACACTTGGCCAATCATCCCCTATTCTTGTACTTCGCCGAGGTGAACACTGAAGAACGCAACGTGGAAGCAATAGATACCCATGGCGAGGGAAACCACCCTGGGATCCATCATATCCGACCTCAAAAGGTCCCAGTTGAAGATATCTAACATCAGCGAGGCAAAAAATTACCAATCATGCATGTCTCAATGTGGGTCCTCTACCTCTAGTTTGTTGTTTATGACCTCAATCAACAATACTGAGAGTACTCCGTAGGTAGTGAATGAAGTACCTGAGACAAGCAGATACTGGTCTCACTTAGGTTACATCGAACTAAGGGACATATATTCCGGCGGCACTCGTAACTGAGTCTCTGTCGCAGTATAAAGACAGCATCTTCCCATCTGAACCTCTCAATTTTCATCCTCATCACAACATCATCTGTTCTTCCTACAACCTTGAAACTCCAGATTTCCAAAATCCTCATCCACACCACTATATCCACGATGAAGCTCTCTGCCATCGCCTCTGTTAGCTCTCTCCTCGTCGGAGCCCACAGCCTGCCCACTGCCGCGGCCAATGACAATGGTCCCTTCCAGGTCATGGCCCTCCGCTCCGCCTCTCCCATCCACTTTCTCGGCATGACCGCTTCTGGAAACAGCTTTTGGTTGGGCGGCAAGACCACAACCTACTGCCCTGACGTCGTTAAGCAGCAGGGTGCCTGCCCCGAGGGCACTCAGACTGCTCTGTATACCAACGCCTTGGTGAGTCTTCACCTCTCTATCATGCTATTGTTACGAATCTTGCTAACCTGTCATAGGACGTCTCGGTTCCCGGTGGCCAGCAAATCTACGTTGACCCCTCTGGTGCCGTCAAGTTCACCACCGCTCACTCCGCCAGCATGCCTCCTGGCTCCACCGTCGAGGGATTCTCCTACACTTCCGGCGACCCCATCGGCCACTGGAACTTCAACGGCCAGGGCGCCACCGGTTTCATGGCTTGCCCGACTAAGGGCGATGCTCCCGCTCCCTACCAGGTCTTTGCCGCCATCAGCTCCGCGACCGTTCCCACCGGCAATGTCGCTGACTGCCTCGGATTCGATGCGGCCGCTATTGCCTGGACTCCTTCTGAGGGTCAGACTGCTGCCGCTTGGCAGTACATCTAAGACTGAGACAGTATCTGTATGCTTTATTAATAAGTGTAATGGCATCGGTTATTGGGGCGCAGATGGGACGGACTGTTGAAGAATGGATGGGGTCTTGTACATACTTGCATATATATCTTGCGTCGTAGCATTCATTGAGCCATTCAAACAAACAACAATACGAATCTCTAGACTACATGTCTAGCCCTTCCATTAATGTTTGTTTTCAGAATTTCATATCATTAATTACCATTAAATTCCCCAGAAAATGAATTATCCATGGATACTAAAGGTTCGTACGAGTATGTTGACATTTGATCCGGAGATATCATCACGTGGCACTGGAGACGCGTGACGTCAGCGGAGAAAGAGGAACCAACATCAACAATTCAACAACTGCCAGATGTCATTCTGTCGTACATCCTCAACATTCATAGCTCGATAATGGGTAGCTGGCCTTGGCAGTCAATTCACAATGTACTCAAATGGGGCAGCGCCAATGTCGCCTTCACACTCTCCCGCTCCCTCGGAAGCCTGGACCCCGGCTCGGAGACCCAGTCTCGAACCAGAGCGGGAGATTCTATCAACACGGGGCCATAATCTCCCTGGATTACTTCGCCAGCGATCGCTTTCAGTTCCCCCTGCTACTGCTCGGGATGAGTACGTTGTAGAGGGTGGCGATGGCGCACCCTTCCGGGCCAGACGCGAAAGTCTGCCAGTCTCTCTCAGAGGAATGAGCTTGATCGGAGCAAGTAATCCGATGTACCAATGGTACGACACCTCTCATCTCAAAATCGTGTCATATCTTTGACAGCAGGACAGGCACCGCTATTATAAATCCCCCGAGGAGCTGAAAAGCATGAAAAAACACCTGTACGTCAACGATCGTACACACACAATATCGTCAGGCCTAAACTGACACTTGCAGGCGGAAATACTACGAACGTACCAATGAGCTCGTGTCGCAGTATCTCTACATCGATCAATTGCTGGACTCATCGCTACCACATCGATTGATAGATGAGTATACTCATGATCACGATAAAGTCGCCCACCTCTCGACAAGAGGCCGAGAGCAGAATGGTGAGGGCTCACCTGTAGACGCATCAACCCGGAAGGTCAAAAGGACCCCTCGGAACTTATACCGTGTTCCAAGCGAGCGGTCACCGCTGCTACCGCCAACCATCGAAGAGGACGCCCCTGTTCCCCAAATCCCTTCCCCAGATGTTCGTGAGCACGTCAACAGCGGCGATCGCATCATCACAGTGGCCATCTATATCAACTTGCTCGCCAATGTGTTCTTGCTGGGTGCCAAAATCGCCGTCATGAGCTTGACGAGTTCCATGTCCGTATTGGCCAGTTTGGTGGACGGCGCGTTGGACTTTCTCAGTACGGTTATTGTGTGGATGACAACCAAGCTTGTTCAGCGACAGGACCGGTACCGATACCCCATTAGTCGACGGCGGCTGGAACCTCTCAGTATCTTGGTGTTTGCGGTGGTGATGGCGACCTCGTTTGTGCAGGTGGCCATCACCTCATTGGGGCGGTTGCTAGGCCCTGACCACCAGCTGGTGGAGCTCTCGCTACCATCGATTTTGATCATGGCTAGCACCGTCGTAGTAAAACTGCTCTGTTGGTTTTGGTGCCGATTGATCAAGAATACTGGTGTGCAAGCCCTAGCGCAGGACGCCATGACGGACGTGGTCTTCAACTTTTTCAGTATTCTCTTCCCGCTGGGTGAGCTGCATGTCTTTACCTGTTCCGACGTGAACTAACAGATAATTAGTCGGCTTCTTTGCCAAATGGTGGTTTGTGGACCCCCTTGGTGGTCTCCTGCTCTCGGTCTACATCATCTGGAACTGGAGCGGGACCGCAGCCGAGCATATCCGCCATCTCACCGGCGCCGCTGCCTCGCCCACTGATCACAGCGTCCTGCTATACATGACCATGCGGTTCTCCAAAATCATCACCAAAATCCAAGATTTGAAGGCCTACTATGCGGGGGATCATCTCAATGTCGAAGTGGACATTGTTGTGGATGAGAGGACGAGCTTGCGCGATGCTCATGACGTCGGTGAGAGTCTACAGTACATGCTGGAAAGCGTGCCCACTGTCGACCGCGCCTTTGTGCATCTGGACTATGACCCGTGGAATATCCCGAGCCATATGAATCAATTGGAAGCGTAGTTTGTGTATCCGCGCGATTGCACATATGTCTTCGACGATATTGCTGAATATAGGACCGGCATCCCTTTGTACATACATTGTCTGGTCTGAGTACGCTGGTACGTGGAGTGCATGATACGGTATAGACACCAGACAGCCAATCACATATTGAATGCATTTTCCAGGGGACAGAGAACCGACGTACGAGTTCAATTAGTATGAAGAGCTTGCATAAAATATAAACAGCTCATGAGCTTTGAAGGCAGTTGACACTGTTTGGGTGGGCATTCTAGTGCGCGACTCAAACATTCCTGGCATAACCAGTCTGCATGCCACTGTAGATACGTAAGACAGAGGAATGTGGCGAATATATCCAGCCTTGCACTCACGATGAAGAGGACTTCTATCATTTGTTTCTGTCAACCACGTGTCCAATGACAGGTGCTGACAACCTGACAGATTTTGATCTTATCCACTCAAGCACGAGCTTGTGGATACTATGCTGTATGTGAGACACGCAGCGGCCACCAAGATCAGATATTCGAATATGCGAAGGCCTTCGCGAGTCTGATGGAATGCAGCTAGCGCTTACTGTTTACTGTCAGCTACAAGCCAAGTGATGCTGTGTTGTCTCTGCTTTTCGCGGTTCCAAGGTACTTCGCTGCCTACTCCAAGGCTACGGCTTCTTCCTGATCCTGCTGGACGAGGATAACCATACCGAGCACCTCAGCTGTAAAGGATGGACTTCGAACGATTCATCGGATGCACAACTACAAGGCAGTTTACTTTTGCAGAGGGTCCGAGCTTCCAACATTCGCCACAGCACCGTCGCATTCTTCTCTGTCTCACGAGATGTTTATGCATTCCGCACAGATTAGAAAGCTCGTGATTTGGCCCCTTCGAGTCCAGCCATGACTGATGATGGCGAAAGCCCTGTAGGTGGCTTGGCCCCGCGACTACATAATTGCGGGACTTGTTTCCTTTAAAGCGGACGCCACCTGGTGGCAGCAGCCTCGGTTCCCAGGTATTTCGCGGCCTATACTTGCAGCCACGGACCTCATCTCGTTTATCATAGATAATGGTGCTCGAAACACCCTTTCAGACCCCTGCCAAAAGAAAAGAGCAATGTGCGAACAAGAAGCCCTCGCTAGGAATACGCGTCCCGGTAATCTGCGTTCCATTTTCCCAGTGTCTCTGATTCACTCCAACCCATGCTTTTCTCCATGCTTTCCCTGCGGCCGGGTATCTCCCCGTCCTAACTTTGCCAATAGGGGCAGAGGGCAGATGTACGACGACCCACGGATTCACAAAAGCGGCCATCTCGTGACTCGTTGAGTCGACAAGTCAAAAGAATCAAGTCGAGCCCCCGGGAAATTCAAACGCCTCGGCGGCAACCAGCAGTCCCAAAGGTTGACGAAAGACACCTATCTAGAGAACAAGACACTCGAGACCTTCACTCCCGTTGTCCAGCCCCAAGAGACCGGTCTGCGGTACCTCTACAAGACGATACATCGCCCTGTGCTCGTGCAGCTGGGAAGAAGGACATTTTTCGACGTCGCGGGCTGGTGTCAAAAGCGAGGAAGAAACTCGGTCAAGCACAGCTGGAAATGAAAGGGATGACTGGACTTCCTCAAGAGCTGTCGGAAAAATTGAAAGACGGCGGCGAGTGTGTTGGATGAATTTCAAGGCGATCGAGTTGCTGCATGTTCGTAGAGGAATGGTTTATACAATATTGCGAGTAGTTTCTTTTTTTAATTTTAATGGTCATTGAAATCTCCCGAACAGAGGCAGCCAGGGTAGGAGCGCAAAGAGAGAAAGGATAGCAGAGCGAGGACAGCTGACTAGTCCATTGAAGTGACATCCTTGAAGACTATCTTTAGCATTTAATGCTCAATAGAACAAGCTGTCTGGAGAATCGATATGGCGGCAGGTTTGTGACTTAAGGACCTGTCGATTTATCCATCAGAGATCCCCAATGTACGCCCGTGACAAGCTTGTCGATCTCAACTGGTTGTCTAGTTGATTAATTCAAATGCGATAGGTTCCGTCGTGACTGGGAGGGGAAGACGATGGGTCAAGTAGCTTGATTCCTATCTACTTCCTCCTAGAACTGTACAGCTGAGAGTGCTCTCGTGTCATCGCGAATCCAAGAAACCATGGAATGGCCCAGATCTAGGTCATACGCACGCCCAAGCATTCTCATCGGTGTACTTGCCAGGTCCCACATATTGATTCCGCTTGGGATACTTGCAGTGCTTGCGGCGATACTCTATCTTACCATCGCTGGACTTCTTGGAGCCGCGCACATACTCGGGCGCAATACCTTTTTCTACCCACTGCACCATTGCCATCAACACGTTATCTTGCGCGTCATCGCCGGCATATGTAGACGATCCCTGGCCGATGGAAGCAGCACCTGTCCCCGGCGAACAATGGCCCATTCCACTAATGGGGAAGAAGCGATAGAACTGGTCCAGCTGCGAGGGACTCAGCCCCATGGTATCGGCAACGTGCTCGTAGTACGCCTTGGAGCTATCCGAGGTGATGATCGGATCTTCCAAGCCGTGATAGTGCAAGACCTTGCCGCCTGCCTTTTGGAAACCGGAGATATCTCCGTCGAAGGTGGAGATCTGGAAGGGATCTTGCGCATCGGCTGCCGCTGCGTCGGCAAGCGTCCAGGTAGAGTGGTCCCAGTTGCTGTTGTTGTAGACGACGTATTTGTACCAGTCATCTCCGTACTTGAAGCCCTTTCCGCTGTAGTAGATAAAAGACGCGGCGAGTTCAGAGCCGGGCTGCATGCGAGGGTACAGCCATTTGCCGTCCAGGCCATACATCGGGGAGAAAACCTCGTTGACGGTATTGGCCTGCACACCCGTCAGGCAAGAGGTGGTGTTCGCTGCAGTGGAATTGCAAATGAGGGTTTCGAAGATGGGCTGGCAGAGATCGGTGTCTTCGATGATACCGTCGACTGCGCCATCGAGAGCATCGCATTGCCGGATAATCTCATTGTGAATCATGGACCACTGCGCGCTTGTTACAAATGTCTTTGAGTCTGGCGGCCCGGTGATTTTCAGGAATCGAGAACCCCAGCTGCCCAGGTTGACGAAGTTGAAGGCCGGTGCTCCGGCCACCACGCCATCAAAGTCCTCTGGGAATCTCTGGATAGACTTCCATCCTTGCCGGCCGCCTGTCGAACAGCCCAGATAGTATGAAGTCTTGTATCCTTGGGGATAGAATAGTTTGGTCAGCTCTTTACCCACCACTGTCCCTGTGTGCAGGGCTCGGTAGGCAAAGTCCTCGATGACTTCGGGGTTGTTCAGGAAGTATTGACCAGTGTCACCAAAGTGGCCATTATTGGTCCCGATCGTTGCGAACCCGTATTGACTGGCATAAACCATGTCCGCATAACCCACGCCTGACGTCTGGTCAGTAAACGTGACCGAGATGGGAGAGTGTCACGAACAGCCATTCAAACCTCCATTTCCTGTACTCAAAAACCTTCCAGTGTAATTGCTGGGCAGCCAGGCCTCCATGAAGATCTGGCTGTTGCCCGAAGTGGTCACGTTCAGTGCAACCTGACAAAATTCGATCTTGCTGATCGATGAGCTGGAGGMTCCGCCGCAGATAGGCGGGTTATAGGCCATGGAGATGTTGGATCCAATGGGAACATAAGTGGTAGAATGCACATGCACGTTGTCAATGCGGATTTTCTTTTGGAATTGTTGACAACGAGACTCGAAGCTGGTAGAGTTGCCTGCTGCAGCGGCCGAGGCCAGCCCGATCAGATAAAACGACCATTGCACCATGACTGAAGCAAAGACAGAGGCAGAGGTTATAATTGCTCACTGGCAGGATTCTGCGATCAACGAGATTACTTATGCATATTTATAGTCCTTTTTCATCCCTGAACCCCAGCTCCACTTCCCCGCATTAACAAATTATGAGGGTAAATGGATGCATCCACTCCGCACCCTCAATGGTGGGAAATCCGGAGACTAAAGTGAGTCGGCAGATCTTCAGCATCAGCTGTTGCCGTGCCTAGGCTTTCTGTCTCGGGCCAGGATTCGATGCCGTGCCATGCAGCCGATTCGACAGTCGGCGTGTCCTGCGACACGCTAATTAGGCCGATATTTATCCGTAACGTGGATGATTCAAGAGTTTAGCAAGCTTTCATAGTTATCCTAACTCCTTTTTGCCTAATTGCAAGCCAGAGGAATTGTGGTCCTGGCGCAGCACCTATCACTTCAACGGCTGGTTTTACTGCAAGGGTCACTATATTGCGTCTCCTTTTACATTCCAGCTATGCAGTACCTMGGTAGAATATGATAGAAATACAGCTAACTCGATTAGTCAAGGGACAACAACCTATGCCCTCTTATCCTTTTGCGTCTTGTGCACCCACACGTAAACAAATGGATAGATCGTCTCTGGAATAAGAGTCGTAATAACAATCCCAATGCTCCACGGTGTCCAGACATACCCCCAATTCTGAGGGACATTAAGGTATCGCCAGAGGAAGACCCCATAGGCAGTAAAGCAGCCCAAGTACCGCGTGAGCCTGATTATTAGCAGCGACCTTTTGACGTCGTACAGTGTACATACCATATCTCTAAAGAGTGCCCCTTGGTGCTATGATCCTTCCACAACTGATACAGACATATCCACCCAATGGGAAGCTGCAGGATGATTCCAGTCCAATACGCAGTGACCTGCTGCCGCTCATCTGGATATCTCTGATTTAACACCCAGAGAAATGCAATTCCCGCAAGGCAGCCCAGGATCATATTCCGACGGAGGACCCGTCGCTCACCCGGGGTATGAGCCTTCCGAAGTGCAACAATCACAAAGCTCAGATCGAGCTCGAACCAAGCCAGAAAGGCCAGCTTCTCAAAGCGAGTAGATGTGGTTGTAAAGGCGTAGAAGAGCTCATACGCCATTGTCAAGCAGCTCTTATATATCAATTGTTGTACATCAATGCATGGGAGTGGACATACAGAAATCGGATACTTCCCCAGCGAGCACCCGGGTAGGTCTTATCGGCATAGGTTCGTATAATGCAGAATAGGTAGCAGAGTGCATAGAGCACACCGCAGCTGATGATGAGGCCATCCTGGACAAATAGGTAACTCTCGGGTGGGTTCTGTCGTTGGTCGGCGGGTTGGACAATGAGATGCCGAACCTTTTGTGCCAGCTCGAAATTAGACATGGTTGATCTTGGTTGATTCCGAAAATCTATACAGCGAATATGTGCTTTATAAAGACATTGTGGAAATTGACTTGATTTATCTTTGTCTTTGTTTTACGACCGGATGCCCGGAGTCGGGATGACATCAGTTGCCCTCTCGGCGGGTCTTCCGGGTTAGTATGCATCAGATGATGAGGCGATGTCAATATCCGATTCATAAATACTAGACTGGCCATAGGCAGTCAGGTAATGCTAGGCTGACCATAAGAGACTATATACAAGGGAACATTTGTGGCAGCGCCTGCCTTGACCTGTTGATTGTATCATTGCCTCAACACACGCCGCTGTCCGGCTCTTTTGAAGATGAATTAATGGATTGAAGTAAGACAAGTTCTCTGTATCAATATTTCTAGCGCCTATGCCCATGCTCCAACAAGGCTCATGCAAAAAGCGCCCATGAAAACTAGTAGACATGCAAAAACACGTTTCCGGCCCCGGAGAACACGCCAGCTTTCGTCACTGAGAAAGTCCTCCGACATCAATTCGACGAGAGAGGCAAATATGAGAAGACCAGAGGATATTGCATTCATGGTGCCCACCAGGAGCAGTCCTACTTCTGAATCTGGGCTGTAGAGGGTATGTGTTGCAAGGCCTATTGCCTGGCCGATCGGTGTTCTGAGGAGAATCAGTATAATAAGCTATTTGAAAAAAGACAAGGCCAGAGAACTTACGTGCATCCATAAGCCAAGGACATAAGCCATGGCTGGATGGCTTTCTCCGGCCAATCGAGGGCAGCGATGCGAGAACCCAATGCGAGACCCTCGAATGTTTCTATCCGATGTTAGCTGGGTCTAAAACAGGAACTAAGGAAGAAAACATACGATGGAATACGATGGCAATCAACAGGATCACAAACTCGCTGCCTACCGACACGCTGAGGGACATGCCGATGAATACGCTGTGAAAAAGAATCCCCATTTCCAACAGGAAAACCTGCATGACAGCTTTTTTGTGTTTCTGCTCAGGAGTGAGAGCGAGATCATCGCTTCGTTCCACGTCCTCGAAAGGCTGTACTTTGCTTGCTTGGAATGCTCGCATGCCTTCAGGAGCAGAAGCAATCCGCATGATGCGATCGGAATCTTCACCCATGCGGTTGATAGTCCGACTCACGCTAGACTGCCTGCCAATCAATGGGCCAAGGTCACGCAAATGCGATTGACTTTCGACCCTAGTACAGATCGGTCTTTTGACCTCGTCTGGGTAGGACCGAGACACCTTCTGCTCAGAGACTTTGAGCCCACCACGGCACACATGTCGTGCGGGGCTGAAGACCATTTCAACCACAGTAACTAGAAAAATGCCAGCTAGGGCAATGGCTCCTGGCATCGCGKGGTAGTCGGTGGTCCAAAAGTCTGACAAGCAGGGATTATTGAGGGAAGTAAATGCAGTCGGAAGCAGATGAACAAATGCGGTGGCGATGAGGACGCCCGTTCCAAAATGGCTGACAGTAAAGAGGGCTGACGGCGGGATGCGTAGACGAGGGAACCATGTTGCCAATACGGGAAACGCGCAGGCCAAAGTAGAGACGCTCAAGACGATAAAAAGAGCGCCTATGTGGAGAGAGGTGTTATATTCGCTGTTCTTGACGTCTCGTTGGGCGCATGTGGATCGTTTGATGTGTTTTGCTTGTGAGTTGCCTGGGATTCCTGGTCATTATTATCAGGACAGTCTGCAGAGGGGACACTGTCACCTACCTGCTGTATCAGAAACCGAGACGGTAGAGCTGAAGCATCTTCCCAGGCTCTCATGGGAGATGAGCGCAGAGGTCAAGAGAACTGATAGCAGCCACCAGGCCCAGCTCTTGACCTTTTCAAGTGACAATCGATCAAGATGGCAAATACGATGGTTTTGACTAGAGATATTGTTGTTTTGAAAGTACTTGGGGCGTCCTTTTAGGAGTCAACAAAGATGCATGATCTAGTCAGTCATTGGAAACATACCTGACGGTGTCAGTGACGCCCCAAGAGACTTCAACTGATCCCCGATTGGAGTATCTCGGCGTTCAGGCATAGTCTGGGTGTCGTCCCAGCTGGTCAACGAGACGGCAGCCGGCCCAGAGCCCGACCTGCACACGCGGGCATTAGTGATGCCGTTCAAGTCTTGGCGGGTGGTCAAATCCGGCGCCAGAGAAGGGGGATTCTGATTCCATTCGCAGTGTAGAAGAGTGTCGTCTGTGCGGGAGGGACAGTTCATGTTGGTAACCCGTTTAAGACTTCTTCACAGTCGAGTACCAATGGATAGCGGTAGAATTGAATGAGAAGCACGAGAATCCTGACAGGCAGCAGAGTGAAGAACAGCCATCTTAATACGTAATATAATCGGAAGGGATTCTTTCTTGGCTCCATCACGAAACCGCTTGGCATCGGGAATCGCATTGGCCTTCAGATCAGACGGGAAAGACCCTATATCAATTACTGCGTGCCGAACTCCCTCGACTGTTATCCAAGCCAGGGTGCCCTTCGCAGTTTCATCCAGTTGGAGATGATAGATCTCGGTTATGGCTGGCCCAATGTGTTGTTGTGCACCCATTTGCTCTTCTTCTGCTCCAAACCCGAGGTTCTTGGCGTCCCACTCCGGCTTCTTCCCTAACAGGCGCTGATTTACACCGGACTTTCCCCACAGTTCCCCTCGTGTTGTTGTGCGCGTGATGATGCTGCCTGACATTTAAATACTGACTGTTCGTTTCTCTGTGGGATGGGAGCATTTTACCTTAGAATAGGTCACTGCTTATCGCCCACTGCATCTTCCTAGTCAACAATTGTAAGTTTAATAAATCATTTAAATAGGTCTCGAATCAGCTGACGGTGATTAGCAACAAAGGCTGCTTGGTGCATGCGTTATTCATTCAGTCATAATCGGAATCCTATTCCATCGTTAACCCATTCGATAGTCGACTCGCACTTTGAGTGTTGAACTCGCAATTAATCCAAATCACCCATAAGGCTATGAAAGAAAATGGCTGTTATCGAGCATCTGGAATGATTCTCCAATAACATCTGGCATTCCAGACACCCCACTTTCCGGACTGCATTCATGCCCTTGTGATGTCAATACCTGCCAAGCTTCACAACGATATCTGAACCAAGATGCAGTATCACGGACAGTGCCTCGTTGACACAGCAGCCACCGGGAAACTGCTTTACGCCAATGTTAGCCTGAGTTTCTGGGCCGGAGTCGATTCCCAGACCGGAGAGATCATTGACCGCCATCATCCACTCCACGGACAATCCGTCAACGGTCGCATATTGGCCATTCCGTCCAGCAGAGGATCATGTACGGGCAGTATTGTGATGATAGAGCTCTTGTTGAATAAATGTGCCCCCGCCGGACTCATCTTCCAAGAGCCAGAGCAGATCATCACACTAGGGGTCATCGTGGCCAAGACACTCCTCGACCTGTCCATTCCGGTACTTGTCCTCAAACCAGAGGAATTCCAATCGCTAAAAGAACATACATACGCTACAATTACAGGGCCAACCCTCCAGACCGGAGAGCACCCTCTCCCACCACCCATCTACGAAGCACCTTCATCGCCCCCATCAAAGACCCTGCACCTGTCCGAAACTGACCAAGCAATCCTCCATGGCGCCCGAGGAGCAGCCGCCCAAAAAGCGATGGAGGTCCTCCTGAGCTTCGCCCAGATTCAAGGCGCAACGAGGCTCATCGACATCTCCCGCGCCCACATCGACGCCTGCATTTACACCGGCCCCGCCAGTCTGCGGATCCCGCAGACCTTCCTGTCTCTGGGCGCTCGCGTCGCCATTCCGACCACGCTCAATGCCATCTCCATTGACCGACGCCGCTGGAGGGAAATCGGCATCAAAGAAGAACTGGCAATTCCCGCCGACCAGCTGGCGGAAACCTATCTGGCCATGGGCGCGCGACCTGTCTTTACCTGTGCACCGTACCTGCTGGAGTCTGCCCCCACGGCAGGACAGGATATCGGCTGGGCCGAGTCCAACGCGGTGGTATTTGCGAATAGTGTGCTTGGGGCGCGGACGCAAAAGTATCCCGATCTGATCGATGTGTGTATTGCGTTGACGGGGAGGGCTCCTTTGGCAGGCGGCCATGCGGATGAAGGCCGGACGCCGTCGGTGGTGGTTGAAGTCGCGGGTTTGCCGAATATGGATGACGCGGTATGGCCGCTGTTAGGATACCAAATTGGTCAGCTGGCTGGGGGAGATATACCCTTGATTGTCGGGTTGGAGCACACAAAGCCTCGTATTGCGGACCTTAAAGCTTTTGGAGCTGCTTTTGCGACCACGGCATCCGCCTCAATGTTCCATATACAAGGTGTGACTCCAGAAGCGACCAAGTTCGAAGGGATAGAGCAATCAGCGAAGCGGCAGGTCGTGCACGAATCCGACCTCGTGCGGACGTGGGAAGAACTGAGCACCGCTAAGGACTCGTCAGTTGGGCTGGTGTCTTTGGGGAATCCTCACTTCTCGCTAGAAGAATTTGAATCGCTCTCCCGCCTGTGCGCCGACCGCAAGAAGGAACCCTCGGTGCAGATGATGATAACAACCGGTCGAGAGACCTACGAGCTCGCGGCTAGCAACGGTTATATTCAAACACTGGAAGCATTTGGTGCAACCGTCATTACTGATACCTGCTGGTGCATGATCCGAGAGCCGGTAATACCTCCAGAGACAATCAATCTTATGACGAATTCAGCCAAGTATGCGCATTATGCTCCAGGAATGGTGCAGCGAGGGGTGCATTTTGGAAGCCTAGCGCAGTGTGTGGTGGCCAGCTGCACGGGCTATTTTGGTGGAGGGCCATCATGGAAGCAAGACTGTACAGCATGACCTGTGATATACATCAAGAAGGGGATCCCGTGCCTCGCTACACTGCGTTCCACGGATCACGAATCGGGTACCTGTGAAATGCAGCCCCCGTGGAGGATGAGTTTGTATACTTGATGACGGAAGAATTACCACCACACAGACCTAACGGCCCTTTGCACTACTACAAATTTTCGAAATGTGAATCGGATATGCACATGCATCACCTAAGTCAACAGAATCATCAGACAAGTCCACTCAAGTCCATATTTATTCAATCGTTTACACACTCGTTTCTACCTTCGATATGCGCCACAGATCAGTTCTGGTAGCCATCACGGCTACCTTGTTCGCATGCCACATCACGGCAAAGAACGTCCCCTCGGCTCTCAAAGCCTTCTACAACAAGGCCGGAAGTGGCGGCGACTGCACCGGTGCCGACGCTCTCCGAACGGGCTTCTACAACACCGAATGGAGCGGCGGTCAGACAACCTACTGCACCAAATACCTCCCCACAGGCAAGGGCTTCTACCTCAAGGGTCCCGGGTCCGACCTGGCAAACATGGACATCGACTGCGATGGGGAGCAGGGCAGCGGCGACGTACGCTGCAAGTCGTCAAGGGACACACAAGGCCAGACACGGTGGGGTCTGAGACACCTCGAGAAGTACGGGGTCAGGGATCTCAACGCGAATATACACCCGTATGTGGTTCTGGGGAACGAGGGCAGCTACAGTCCGACGTTTGACCTGCGCACAGTTGGCGTCGAGCCTCTGAGCATTGTGGCTGTCGTGTGCGGCGACGAGCTCGTCTACGGGGTTTGGGGCGACACCAACGGGGACGACAACGAGCATCCCATGGTTGGAGAAGCCAGTCTGGCGTTGGCGACCGCGTGCTATGGCCCGAGTATCAGCGGTAACCGCGGCCATGATGAGTCGGATGTACTATACATTGCGTTTGCGGGCAAGGAGGCTGTGCCTGCCGGCGCCAGGTGGGACGCAGACAGCTACGAGGCGTTCGAGGAGAGCATCACTGCGCAGGGGGATAAGTTGGTCGCGAAATTGTTTGGCGACAAGTCAACAACGGCCAGCGCCTCTGATCCTCAACACACGACTTCATCGAGCAACGGCGACAGCGACAGCGATAACGACGAGGAAGATTCAAAACGTAATCGCAAGTCCAGTGGCCGGCGAACCAATATACCACGACTTTGCCAAATCATTTTGATTGTCTGTATCGCCCTCGCCTAATTCGTTCAATCATAAATTTAGAAATCCGCCGCGACATGTGCTGTTTTGGCTTTGCTGGAATTGAACACACTGAGGGGTATTTTGTAATCACTGGCAATCTTATCGCAAATTTGACTTTCGACATGTCAGTCATGTTAGCCATGGATGAGATGATTGGCTTGCCTGCCGTTTTTGTTCATTAATCAATGATGTGTTCACTAATCAATGATGTATTCGACATTTGTCTGTCTCCACTCCACATACATTCCCCGCGACTTTCCGGGCTCGCCGCAGCCAAGATAACGGCGAGCATGTCTATGATATAACACAGTACAGCAATATTTAAATACACTGAGATTCTACCAGGGTCCTCATGTATATCCTTTCCATCAAAAAAAATATCCGTATATAAACGACCAAAATGGGCATCGATTTTACCGTGTACAAAGGCTCCTCCGACGGCTCCATCAAGAAAGCGACCACCCACCGCGATGACCTCCAAGGCGACTCTGTCCTCGTGCGCGTCACCCACTCCGGTGTCTGCTTTACGGATGTGCACTACATGAAGGCCGACATGGCGCTCGGCCACGAAGGCGCAGGAGTGGTGGAGGCAACCGGCCCGGACGCCAAGAACCTGAAGAAAGGCGACCGGGTCGGCTGGGGCTACGAGCACGACTGCTGCGGGCATTGCAAGCAGTGTCTGACGGGCTGGGAGACCTTCTGCCCCGAGAGCAAAATGTACGGATTTGCCGATCTCGACCAGGGGTCGTTTGCGACGCACGCTGTCTGGCGTGAGGCCTTCCTCTTCAAGATCCCCGATGCGCTCAGCAACCAGGACGCGGCGCCGCTGATGTGCGGCGGCGCGACGGTGTGGAACGCCATGATGGTCAACAACGTGAAGCCCACGTCGCGGGTGGGAATCGTGGGGATCGGCGGACTGGGCCATTTGGCCATCCAGTTCGCGGCCAAGTTGGGCTGCGAGGTGGTTGTGTTCTCCGGCACCGACAGCAAGAAGGACGAGGCGATGAAGCTGGGCGCGTCGGAGTTTCATGCGACCAAGGGCGCCAAGGAGCTCAAGGTCAGCAAGCCGCTGGACCACCTGCTCATCACAATGAGCACTCAGCCCGATTGGAAACTGTACCTGAATATTCTGGCGCCGGGCGCGGTCATCTCCCCTCTGACGGTGGACAATGAGGATCTGAAAGTCCCATACATGCCTCTGGTAACCAATGGGATCCGTATTCAGGGCAGTATAGTTGCGGCTCGCCAGTTGCATCGGGACATGCTCGAGTTCGCGGCGCACCACGGCATCAAGCCCATCATCATGACGTACCCGATGAGCGTGGAGGGAATCCAGGATTGTCTGAAGACGCTGGAAGATGGCAAGATGAGATATCGTGGAGTTTTGGTTGCCGATAAGCAGTAATATAGCAATATCTTTTATGACAATGAATATAGTTGGCAATCTATTTGGATTCCATTTGAAGAATTTGTTTATTGGGAACAACTCGGGACGAAAGCCCAGTCCGTGGAGTATTTACTCTATATGGGTTAATTATGAGCACATAATCACCAAGGGCGCTCCCCAGTAGTCGGTTATCCGATAAGGTCGAAGATCGAGCCCGGCACGGTCACTTTCTTTTTTCCCTTTTGCTTTTCCGACCTATCGCAGTTTAGGATTTCTTGTCTGCTTTTTATTATTATTTGTTAGCTTATTGGCGTATGGTTTGGATTAAGATAATTGTAGAGCTCCAAGAAGGGAACCGAGGCTGCGATGCTCAGTGCAGATTTTGACAGCATATTTCGCGGAATAGGGAGGCAGTTGCCCATTCGATCTTTTCTTCATCCTTCGTCAAGTACATTGGTTTGATATCCTTGAGATTCCCCAGAATCCTCCTGTCTCAGAAGGCCTACAGCTCTCTGCGCTGTTGTTCATTATGAGGTTTCTGAATCCTGAATCTAGTTTAGCGGGTACTCAATCTGTCTGCCTATCAATGGCGTCATAATATTGACGATGTCACGGTGAGAGGCCAGAACTAGGCCGTCAATGCACATCCTTATGGAAGATGAACAGCTTAAGCGGCAAAGACAGACCAATAGAGACGAGACGTTACGCACGCACTGCGAAATAGCGCCGGAGGATTGGGCCCGCTTTAGATCCCGCTGGAGTCGACGGATGCGGTCGCTTCTGCTATTGGCCTCCGGACGGCGCCACTTCAACGTTATTGCTGAGTGGCACGCGTCCTGCGGGGCCATAGGACAATCCGACCTGCCTGGTTCCTGTCCTTAAAAGCGCCGCGAGAGCAGCCAACTCTGCTGTCGTGTGGCTGTGTGTGGATTTGATAGCCATATCTCCTACTGACAGCATTGCGCTGATGCCGCTTTTTCAGCCTTGGACCCGTCCTCCACCGCGACGGATTTACTTCATCGCCCCTGTCATCGGGCTTTTCCTGGTTTACTTTCTCTTCTTCTTTGAAACGACAGCTTTCACTCCGAAAATCGTTGTCCCGTCGATCACATCGCAGCAAGACGAAAACGCATGTCCGCCACTCCCAGGCATTGAGGATGTCCTGGTTATCCTGAAAACAGGCGTCACAGAAGCACTGGAGAAAGTGCCAGTTCACTTTCAAACCACCCTTCGATGCATTCCCAATTACGTGCTATTCTCGGATTTTGAAGAGGAAATCAACGGGACCCACGTGCACGATGTACTTCGCAGCGTCAACGAGACCATCAAACGCACCAACCCGGACTTTGATCTCTACAACCGTATACAGGAACACGGGCGCAGCGGACTCGCGCCGGCCGACCTCAGCCGCGTTCCCAACACCGCATTCGGAATGCCCGACAACCCCGGCTGGAAGCTGGATAAATGGAAGTTCCTCCCCATGATCGACGAAACACTTCGGGTCCGCGACGATGCCAAATGGTACGTCTTCATGGAGGCCGACACATACTATATCTGGGCGAATCTCCTGCAGTGGCTGGCGAAACTCAATCCGAACAAACCCTACTACCTGGGTAATCCGACGCAGATTGGCCCTGTTATCTTCGCTCATGGCGGGTCGGGGATTATACTGTCGCGCGAAGCCATGCGTCGAGCGTCGGAACTACGAGCTCAAGACCTTGATGGATGGGACCGATATACCGAGGAGCAGTGGGCTGGTGACTGCGTGCTGGGAAAGCTACTCCATGACGCTGGAGCACCCTTGTTGTGGTCGTGGCCCTTGCTGCAGTCAAGTACCCCCGCAGAGTTTGATCACTTTTCTGAGTCTTATTTGAAAAAGCCGTGGTGTTACCCTCCGGTTGCGTATCACCATGTGACGGCGGAGGATATCCAAGAGCTAGCAGAGTTTGAACAGAGGTTCTTTCGTAACGTAAGTTTTCCATTGAAAGTTTTGCGGAAGTTACTAACGGGAGAAGAATTCTGTCATATTGCACAGCGACGTGTTTCGTCATCTCATCCAGCCACAGTTCAAGCCTTTACAACCCGACTGGGATAACCTCTCCGAAGAGGAGCAAGTCATTGGTGAGGCGAGCTGTAGGGAGTTGTGCGAGAGCAAACATGAATGTCTCCAGTATTCTTATGAGTCTGGGAAGTGTCGCACTTCGAAAATGGCTAAACGGGGAGTCCAGAAGACTGGAGTTTCCTCTGGGTGGATAACCGAACGGATTGACGCCGTTGTAAAAGAGATGGGCACTTGCGCGACACCGCAGTGGATTCTCCGCTAGCTCGATGAGGCTAACTTGTACATAGTCGATTCTTATCAGGCTGGCCCTGATCATTCTATCATGTTCTTACTACTCTTCTGCATTCTACGAGACATACGAAACAAGGGGCAATTCTGAAGCCATAAATTCATTCGCTTGCTTAAGAGGCAACTAGTGTTTCAAAGCTTTCATAATGACCGATATCTGCTGGCTTTGATACAACCATCCGGACTTGTCGCAGCAGTCCTAGCCATGTCCATTAGAAATGTCATCTCCGGTGCGTAGATGGCATTCCTAAGATAGAGTCGGAGGGCGAATATCTGTGCTTATAGCCAAAGGAGCTAGTATACTTGTTTATACAGTCTTCTTGAGCCGGAGTGGACAATTACCTGGCACCAGTAATGGGCTACGACCTAGGCAAGGGGTGGAAAAATGTTCGGTTGATCAATTGATTGATTCCAATTCCCAGTTAAAAGAAACATGCCAGACTCCCGCCAATATTCAAATGGGTATAGCCGCCCTCCTTCCTTAACTCCCATACACAGTCCTTCAACGGCAGGCACCAGTAAAAAACCCTTTGCTTGTAAAACCTCTGGAGTTATGGATTCCTCTCGAGAGGAAACCAAGCAAAAGGAAAAAGGTATGCCTGCCTGTTCGGTTCGATTTCAGTGGTCGATTCGATGTCATTGTGATAGGTCGTTGCTGTTGAAAATAATTGCGCAGTCTGTCGTACGAATCGTGGCCAATTTAAGTTCATGGGGTAACCGATTTCTCGAGACGAATATTTGCGCGATTTGGGTATAAACAAGTCATGCGTTGTCGTCTCGATCGATATTCTGACCTCAGTAGAGGCGAGAAGGGGAGGTCGAGGGCTTGAACCGGGTACCAGGAATGGGTATGATTCTTCGGTCCATAATGTCGCGGAAGAACCGGCGGAAGTAAGAGTACACCTCGTTTGTCTTTGTACCGCTATCGGATCGCAGGACCGTTCGATGGAATGAGATCTATTGAATGTTGGCGTGCTATTGAGGCTGATGCTCGGGAATCGGGTGTCGTACCATGCCGTTGTCGTCGATCTCGAGGAAGTAGAATTCTTTTCCGTTGGTCGCAACGCCGTAGACCGAAGTGATCCGTTTGTTTTCACTCTTTCGAGCGTTATGGCAGAGTGCTATAATGTGTCAGCCACTTTTCCACCAGATAGTTGCGTATAGAACTTACCCATGAATGAGACGCACTGCCAGAGGATGGTCGCCGGCCACGGATTGACGCAGATGACAACGCCGATACCATTGCCAGGCTCCGCGGCGTTGTTCACAACGAAATCAAGCTCTCCTTCAATTGGGAATCTGACGCCCAGAGCCTCAACTTCTTGTTCAAAACCTCTACACCGAGGAATGGAAAGGACCGCTGAAGAGAGTCTAGCGCGACTCTGTTTGCGATAGTCGAGCTCCTCCACGTAACAGTGATTTAGGATTGCTCTGATTCGTTTGCAGGAGGTTTCGTGGTCGAGGTACTGCGGGTCGTTCTTGTCTAATATAGCTAAATTGCGTACTGAGGCTAGTCGGCCTCCGAGTTTTGCTGATAATAATGAAGGCGTGCGTGCTTGTGCTTACCGAGGCTGATGGGGATGGGGACCTTTTCCCGTTGCTCTAGGGTCCACACTCCACGTGGATTTGGGTGACGAGACAGGCCGAACAATGGGTAGAGCGTATGGGAGAGAAACCCTTCCGTGATTTCATCCGGAGTTGGATCCCTCTGTCGTAGAGCAGGCGAAGGAGGCAAGGGCCCTTTTCGCCCGACAAAGGGCCAGTCGGTGTCCTCTTCGTTCTCTGAAGACGGTGTTTCTGTAGGCGAGATCAATGACCACGCCTGTGAGGGAGATGTTGCTGCTGATGGTGTTGCTGCTAGCGAGGTCGTTGTTGACCATGCTTTTGAGAGTATCACTGTGTTGGCGAGGTCTGTGAGGGTCATGTTCATTGTGGTGAGTTTGTCAATGACTATGTTTTTGACGTCAATGTCGCTGTCGGCTAGATTGTTGATGACGGTCTCTTCGATGGCCATGTCCATGTTGGCGAGGTCGCTGGCGATCTTATTTCTGAGCGCCATGTTGCTGTTGAGAAGGTCTTTGATCACCATGTCTTCGAGGGTCGTGTCGTTGATCGAAATGTGTCTGATCGTCATGTTGTTTGTCAGCTCGATGTTGTCGATGTTGTCGATGTTGTCGGATGGATGCATCGAGCCAGAATGCAAAGCTGGAAGACGGGGTTCTTATAGTACTGGCTGTTGACTCTACGTACGTGCTCATTTCGCCTCGTAACCACGGTAGAACATGTCTTTTGCTGGTTGAAGATCTAAAATAAGATACTCGCAGAGTTTTCCAGCACTAACCACGAAACCATTTAGTTGAGAATGATGCAAGTATGATCGTATATGCTCGTGGGAATGTTGTTCGAGAGAAGGATTGGAGACAGAGGTTTCGTCTTCATTTCGATGAGAGTGAAAATGCCTGTCTGATACCCTTCCTCATTTCAGCCTACCAGGCAGGTTTAGCATACTGTTGCTCAAGCAGCGCTGATTTACACTATTTTTGTCCTAAAGCGAAATATGCTCATAAGACTAGAAAATTTTTTTCTTGTGTAAGAACACGTCTTGATGAAATCATACCCTCATTCCACTGGTCTAGACAGCAGTAGACTGCAGTACCTTCCAGTCTGTCGTAACAAGAAAAACTGAGACGAGGGCCAGAGATATAGGGAGTTATGATATCAGATGCTGCTATGTTGGAAACTGCCAAACATTGGCTCAATTCTCCGCAATTTACGATTAGAGTTATCAACTTATCTCCGTTCTCCCCGCATATACATAGATTGTCCAACCTTATCCTACCAAGCACCACAAGCCTCTTGCAACACCCCCATAGCCTGCAGCTTGGAGGGTATCTAGCTTAATACACTGTTTTCTCCTCATCGCCCTGGCCAGCAGCTGCGAGACATTCCGCATGATTGCAGACGGCCGCTAGTACCTCGGCGGCCACTCTCTGGCACTCGGAGCCACGGACGTTGCAAACCCATTGCTAGATCTCGGACCACGCTCAGCTTGCCGCTTGGGAAGGTTAATGTTCGCTTGAAACCTCGTGGCGCAAGCCAAGTCGCCCTAGTGGAGAGCTCTAAGTTTAAATCATCGCAGTGTTTAGGAGATTCAACAAAAGGTAGGAGGCGAAAAAGAAGCTATATTCTTCTCAGAAACAGGGCCACGTAACCTCTGAGGGCCGCGTCAGCGTCATCAAATCTGTAAAGAGCCCCCAGTATGGATAATTCCAACCTGCAGTATCGACAAAATGGCTCATACTATTCCGTACCATTCTCGTCCCTACAGAGTGGAGCACGTTGGTTAATAACTATTGTGAATCCGGCACCATCCGCTGATCTACAGAGAGCGCTAGAACCTCAAGCAGTGGCGCTACGTACACTCCTAAAGTACGATGCATCAGGCAATATCCAATTCAAAAATCATGATAGAAACCAGTCCCCGTTTGGAGAGATTGGAGAGATCACTCTAACTAGCCAAATCCAAGATATAAGAATGAGGGTTTCTTCCATGTGTATGAACCAAATAGCCTTCGAACGGACCAGCCCCGATTCAGTATGTTTAGTTATCGATCGATGATAGAATTACATGATCATGTCTACTGTATAGCTTCTACGGCGTTATTGTCCGACCTGGGGTTGAACCGTTGAACACAAACACCCGGGTGAAAGCTTGTTGCTGATCATTGTTACCATAGGCTTACCGATCAGAGTCATGACATCAGTTATTTCTAACGAAAACGAGGAGGCTCCCTACCCCTTCCTCCTAACGCATATATCGCTGTTGGTACTTTATGATAATAACCTTGCGAATTTCCTCTCCGTGAAGGAATCGTCTGTATTATTCAACCTTCCTGATGGATCGTGAAGATATCTCCCACTGGTTTTCAAACCAGGAATCAACTCAACCACCTCTTATCGGGGCTTTTAGCCAGTACCTATCTGTTCAAGACGCAGTCCAAATCTTTAAGCAGTTCCATTCCAATAATTGGATTCCCAATGGTCAAGTTCTCTGGAGCGGCCTCCATCGCAGAAAGGCCCAAGAATGGGCTGACAAGCACCATCTGCAGACTCTAACCACGGCTATGGGCCTGCTAATGGATGAAAACCATCCGGACTGCCCAAAATGGAAGAAGACATCTCAACAATGGAGCAAATACATCCATGGCGCTTCCGCAATCTTTGCTTGGCATATAGCTCAGGGTGAAAAAGTCACGGTGCTTTCCCCTCCTCCACCAGAACGGTTCCACCCCTCGGGCCTCTCAAGCTACCAAGTGATAGAAGAACCCATCATTAAAGGTTTGATCTGTGAAAGCGCTGTGCACCAAATCATGATGGCCCATCCAATGGTGACCGAAAGCGAAGATTTCCTATACAAGGCGTGGCCTGAAGACCAAAGCTTCCTTTGGCTTGCAAGATTCGGATCAAGAGATACCAAAAGAAATTGGAGAGATACAGGGCACGGTGCAGATAAGTTACGACTGAAGCAGCTAGTGGTTGCTTACTCGGAACAACGCGCCGTTTCTATTAAGCATGTCAACCACCAAGAAAAGAAAAAGGTTCGGCGAGAGACCTATTCTATCACGCTCGTAAAATCAATACTCATCATATTACCTAGATGACTTTCACCGAATTAGCTTTCATCGGCTTACTCTCGCTCGTCGTTTTAATCTTGCTATCCAAATTCACGATACTACTTTTGGCGGTTCTGTTATACACACTCATCGACAAAATCTTCTGTAGACAAGAAATCGACCAATATTCTCAGTCGCAGGAGATGGAGAAGTATAAAGGGAGACTGGATACGAGACAAGAGGATAATAAAACAGCCCACTCGAACAACGTTTCAGGTCAAATTCCCAAAGCCAACACAGATACGCAAATTAAGGCTATCAAGAAGTGCAAAGAAGCAGTAAAAGCGTGGGTAAAGGCGCAAAAGGCAACCGCAAGAAAGCTCAAAGCTGAAAGGAAGGCTCAGGTGAAGGCACAAGAGAAGGTTAGACAGAAGCACAAGGAAGAGCAGAAAGCACAAGCAAAGGCGCAAGAGCTCATAGCTGAAAGGGAAAGGATAGCCAACGCAAAGAAGAAAGAGGTAGCCGCACGAAAGCTCAAGCAGGAACGGAAAGAACAAGCAAAGGTGCAAAAGGCGGCTGCTGAAAAGCTCAAGGCACAAAGGAAAGCCCAAGAGAAGCAGAACAAGGCCAGAAAATCAGTAAAGACAGCAAAGAAAGCGAAGGCGAAGATATAAGAGTGGGTAGAAAGAAGCTCAATGAAGATCGGGAAACATGAGCAGCACCGGATCCAATCAAACAGCTAGAGCTTATCCGCAGTGAAGCACGATGCAACCAAAAGAACTCATTATCATAGACAGGTGCCATTCAAATACTCCAATACCACTTCATTCTAGCCTCTGGAAGTAGCTAAACAAAGCTTTCTTACGCATATACTGAACATATCTTCTCTGCCATGCTGCCGCAAATGAGCCCTCAATTGGGCCAATGCAGTGGTTTCAAAATCAGTTACGTCTTACAGATGTTCCTCTCGCCTTTTTTTTTTTTTTTTTGCTGCCTATGCAATTTTTCCCCGGCTGGATCACTATACTTGGAGATTTAGTCAACAACTCCAGATACAAAAGATGCCTCTTGATGTTCCAAAGTCTGCGTTCATTTTTGATCACTAAGAAGAGAATTGGCTATACTCTCTACCGGCCAACCCGTTTTTTGCCCCCAAATCCTCATCTCATCTACAATTTCGCTTAGTTTCCGGGCATCTTTTAGCCACGGCCCACCTATTATTATAAGCATAGCCATCATCAAGAAAGGAATGTAGAAGTCTTACAGAAAGATATAGGCCCAAAGGAATTAACCCAAACAGGCGCAGACCCACTCGACAGCGCCAAAGCGCATACAATTGTGGCGTGATGTACTAGTTTGCTTTCCAGGCTGTGGATCCTTTCGATGTGCTGCAGAGTGTTGATCAATGAAGGACAAGGCTCCGCAAGCCATAGGATGATCATCGCTGTGTGATAGTATTGTAGACCGGCAGCTGCTACTATCAGTAAATCAAGGAGGTTACGAATATAGGAGGGAACCGTACCGTGCCACCCCGACGTCGTCCACATACTCGGAAAGCTGCTATTGGGGAGCAGATGTGGTGTAAGGATGGGGTCAAATGATGAAGAGAGCGATGTCCTCCAGCCCTCAAGCTGCTCTCTCAGACTGTTCCACTCGGATTGGTCCAGGGGAACAGCATCACGTAGAAGACACCTGTTTATGACTCTTCCTAGGAGGTAAGTGATACGATTGGAGAGATCGTCATCACATTCAGTCCTCGTAGGCAGAGGCTCATCCGGGAGCTGAATCATGAGGCTGCGTTTTTCTATGAGTGCGACCGTGATATCCTCTCTCAGGTAATTCCAGAAACCGGCACTCAACAATCCGGACTCTATCTCGATCGGATGGCTCGCCAGCAACGAATAGGACCCTTGAAGGTGATTCTGGCAGGTGACATTTTCTAAAATTGATCAGAGATCAGAGCATCAGCTGGTAGATATGCACCCTAGGGCAGTGATCATACTTACGCGAGATGATTTCGAACGACCGAAGAAGACATATCGCAGCCAACGTCTCGCCTGTTCGAAACTCATCGGGATGCTTCATGAGAGCCAAGAGTCTTCTCACGCTCTCGAGATGATATGCATCGGCGAGATCTTTGAAGGGAGTTGAACCAGATGATGAGCTCTGGCTGGCTGCCGCAAAGGCCAGTATTGCACTAAGGAGTAAGGCATTCTTTCTTGCGAGGATAGGAACTATGTCCGTGAAATGACGTCTTCGATCATTCAGATCGTACCAACCAGCTAGATTATCGATATAAGATCGAAATACGTGAGCTACTCGTGGATCCTCTAATGCTTTCATAGGGTCACTGGTGGAGACATATTCGTCGCTTTGAGATATCTGGACATCTAAACTTGCTTGAACAAAAAAGTCTAGCGATGTTGCAGACTGGCCGTGCTGGTTTGAGGATGCTATTGATCGGGAAGACCGGCGGACGCCGTCGCTCCATGAACAGGGTCGTGAGCTTCGTTGACAACGTTGGCAACTGGGACGATTTCCATCACCTGAAACGAAAAGTACAAGTTAGCTTTGACGAGCCAGAGGAAGAGAAAAGGGGCTTACACTTGATCTTTCGCAAGCGACACGGTTGGCTACAGGGGCAGTCAGCTCTCAGCTTGACAACTGACAACTTGGAGTCTAGCTATCACGAACCAGCCTGACAAGACGACGTTAGTAGGTCTGTGCAGAAGGGAGCTTAATGGAGGGACGAACGATCTGTGCGAAACGGACGTGGCATGGGTGGGTTGAGTTTCAATAATGCTTCAAGCTCGCATTATTGATAGACGAGGCTTCGCAATTGGAATGCGGGAGTTGAGAGGTTCTTGCTCGGTACATAATGATCTCGATAAAATCCGATTACCCATCCAAATTCTTCCTCCTAGGAGCGAATCGGCAATAATCCCCAGGGGATGTACTCCCTATGAGTGGCTGATTACCCCACATGGATCCCCGCATTAACAGGAAATGCGAAATGCGAATTGCGAAAGACGAGGAGAATCAATGACAACTAATTGGGTAGCGTTTAAGGTATAAATATGGCGGCCATTGACAAAGTCCAAGTACATTACGATGGTCACTCATACCATTAACTATATAGCTAGCGATGCAAAGACTTGCACCTCCATTAACTCGTTGGTCTCGCTGCGCCTGCCCACTAACTGACCTTCGCCTTCGGGTACAGCAACGAATGGCTTCCAGCTATCCCACCAGCATTCGTCCTTCCGCCACAGAGATCAAGAACGGCCAACTCACGCCTCAGAATCTGGAGACTACCATTCACAGTCTGTACCATGATGGTCTTGTTGTGGTCGAAAATGCAGTGCCGCATGCCGCGCTCGATCGGCTGAACGAGAAGATGGTGCGGGATGCATATGCCCTGCAGAGCAGAAAGGAAAATAGTCCATATAATTATAACCGGGGCAATATACAGCAGGATCCTCCGCCTGTGAAGGACTACTTCGATCCTGGCATTTTTCTGAGTGAGTGCCGTGCCCAAACGACAAGGTCGTGCTAACAGTCTCTTCCCCAGACCCAATTGCTACCCAGATAACAAATACAGCCCTAGGCCCTCGTCCAAAATGGACATTTTGCTCGGGAAATACAGCCATGCGTCCGACAGCAGACTGTCCCCCAACATCGCAGCCGGTCCATTCAGATGCAGACTTCGACCACCCAACACACCCCTTTGCCTATGTGGTCAATATCCCCTTGATCGAGATGACCCCGGAGAACGGCTCCACGGAGATCTGGCTCGGAACCCACATCGACTCTGGCCTGCATGTTCAAGAAGGACAGCATGGTGAACGAGCAAGCGGACGCATCAAACTTGACGAACTGGAAAAGCGACGAGCAATCCGGCCGCCGTGTCAGCCTGTCGTTCCAAAGGGCGCCATAGTACTTCGGGATCTTCGACTCTGGCATGCTGGAGTCGGTAATCAGGCCGATCAGGTCCGCGTTATGCTGGCAATGAGTAGGTTCCCTAGTGTCATTGGAGCACGGTCAAAGCTAATTAACAGTTCACTTTGCTCCCTGGTACCGGAATCCGATGCGACTGGAATTCTCCGAGAGCGTACGGCCGATTATAGAGAAGGAGGACTATCTCGAGGTGCCGGTTGACTGGGTGACTGAAGACGAAGCAATGTCGCGTTACCTGAACCGTGCTTTTGGCAACGCATATGACTTTAGCCAACTGCCTTAACGATGGAATATAACACAGGGTGTTGTTTCTCTTTCGGAAAACCTGGAAATGATTGCCGTGGATGTGCGTCAATTTGGGTTATGTGTACATATCATGAACAGGCTTGGTAGTATGAGGATTTTGGAGCTTCAACAGTTCGGCGATGTGCTCTTCGTTGTGGCTGCGGTCGCAATGGTTGGCTGTCCAGCTCTGGTCGATATGATTGACCCTCCAGCTCCTGTGGCCAACCAAAACCCTTGGGCTGAATAATATAGGAGCAGTGAATCTCATTTGGAGGGATGGCGCGTTTATTGAGTCTTGTTGATCGCGCTCGATGGGACCGCATGAACCAGATAACGAAGGCAAGAATAGCTAATGAAACAACTCCTCCAGCAACTGCTACTGTGTTTGTGCAAGCTGCTGTTGGAGACGGTGAAGACGCTGTTGAAATAGTAGACGCGGTCGTTTCAGTAGTTGTGGTCACTATTGAAGTGGACAATAATGCTGAGAGCGATGTAGTTGTGGTGGTAGATGAGGATGTTGACGGTGCTATTGAAGACGATATCGTCGGCGAAGAAGAAGCGACTAAGTGGTCTCTTAGTACCAGTAATCACAATTCTCCCATGATAAACTCACTTGATCCCGACACTATAATTGACAAAGCAGTCTGTCCCTGCGGCAAGACCTCATCCAGCGGTGCGCAACCCACAAATCGTTCGAGTTGACCTCGAACCCCTTCGTGTCCTGATCGCAGCAGAAAAAGTCTACCGCAAAATACAAATCCAAGGTACTATTTGCACAACGCTTTTCCTTGGGGCCTGATCGAGCCTTCCAGCATTCATTGCCGTAATCGCCCGGCCCGCAATATGTGGCCATAGGGCAGCAGTTGTGCCATTGTCCCCATGTCTGCCCGCAATCGAACTCGTTACTGAGGCAGGTGTTGTTCCTTTGACGGCCAATCCGTCAGTCATATGTAGGATAGAGGTGAGTCTGTCGAGTAAATCCGAAAACGAGTCATAGCAAGAAAAAAAAGCGTGGGATAAAGCAGTTAAAGAACAGGGTAAGGATGCATCATAGTCTCCAGCTTAGTGTTTTTCGCTTGAGAATGAAGCGCTTACACGAACTACACAATAATGAAGAGACTGATGTAGTTCCACCATCTGAGTCTACGACAATTCAGCCCAACCAGCTTTCGGGGGGTGGTAATCATCAAGGATGTCGGCGGCTAGAATGCCAATGACTCCCACCGTCTTTTCTGGATGAATTTCTGAGCGCCATGGGTAGGGCATGCCAAGTGGCTTTGCCGGTAGTGAGTTCAGGATTTAAAAGGAGATTGCTCATCAATTGACCGTTGTCAAGGTGCTGTGGACATGATGAGATTTCGGTCGTCATGCCGTTTCTGAAGCTCCGGAGATGCAAGATATCCATGTACCTTGGCTATGGCCGTCTGATTACAGACAAATTCAGGACGTCCTCCTAATAATGGATGCTCATTTCCTGGAACTTGGCTAGATGTTGCATCGACATGGGGATTATTATGTATGCCTTGTTTAATACCTTGAGGTTGCAGCCTGGCTCGCCTTGAGTATTTTCTGTTGAAGCAACAGACTACAACAGACTTGTATTTCCTGCATCAGTGACTGTTGCATCGTCAATAGATACAACGAGTGAATAATGATACAACTTAAAACTTGGCTGTTGTCTCGCCGTCATCGGTTATCTTGTGGTTTTGGTTGCTTTCTTCTGGGCAATCCGCACAACCAAGAAACATCAAGCATTATATGTATACAAGCGACGAAGCTGGAACAAGAAACACTTGTATTTTTGAATCTCTGGAGTCATCTCTTGTCTTCGAGACATGGTCTGTCCGACCGTGGAAGAGTGCGATGGCGACGGCCTCGTTTGATTGACTTCACTACCCCGAAAAGGATTGTCAACAAGAGGCCGAACAAAGGTATACTACCCATAAAGGTCTCATTGCCAAGATGTAAAGCCTTTCTGGCAGTAGATATGATGCTATCCTCGCTTGCGATGGGCTTTCCTGGGGCCTGAGAGGATACAAAATGGCCGTGCGATGTGGGCCTGTCCTCGACATATTGTTGTCCATGGCGGAACTCGCCACCTCCGTCTAACACATAATTATCCTTCCGATATTCGTCTGGGAGTCTATGGTTGTAAGATTCGCGGTAACTCGGTCCATATTCTGGTTGTTCGCCGGGCTGGTAGCTCTGGTCCTGCTCCCGCTGCCATCGTTCGTAGTCGGTTTCGGGTCGCCCGCGCTTCCACATGTTGTCGGATAGGATTCGACGTGTGGGTGTGTCTGACAAGAAGAGAGTTTGACTAATATCTACAGACAGAACCATCTGTAGAACAAGCCCTGCCGAGGAATGCTTTTAGTTGGCGAGACGATCCAAGGTTCTCAGAGCATGGGGTGCGGTGGATAATAGATTGCGATAATGATCATTTGTTCCTCGATGATTGTTACCACATGATATGAAGGCAATAATTTGCGAAGTGGATATGCGGGATTTATCCTTCGAGTCAGTGGTGGCTGGCATCGGCCAGTCTCAGCAAGTCAGCAAGTGCTTTCTCTTACTCGGAAGCAACTAGGAGGGTTCTACAGCACCCTGCCTGGCGGTGATCCAATGAAACAATCAGCGCTCTTGGGACCCTTCCGAGCAGTGGGTCCTGCGATGGAACCAACAGCAAGGGTATGTTTCTCGACACGAGATGGTGGTAATGCTGTGGATTAAGATTAAGCTCGGTTCGATCCATGGACGAACCTCAGGGAAACTGAGATGTTGGAGCTGGCGACATCAAGTATCTACAAGTGAACTCGACACGCCCTATGGGGATGTTGATAACACCTCAAAATTAATATGATGCATTCGTCCCGTATGCAACGAGCAACGTCTAATGCAGCGATCGCCTCTGGACCAGCAAATGACAGCTCGTTTCAGCGCGCCACACGCAGGGTTCACAATGAAACCAACAGTCTGTCAGTCACTCAATATGGTCAAGCAGCGGGGCCTGCCAGTGACTTGCCCAGTACCTTAGCCCAATCATGCAGGGTCAACGGCTCAATCCGGATACCTGAACAGGTAACTCTGAGGCAGACACTTTGTGAGAGCAGTGAGGAGAGCCAATACAGGATTTGCCAGGCTGTCGCGTATGGCGTATACCGTAGCCTTACAAAGCGCCTTTTCCACATTCTCAAACAGATTCATCATCATAACTGTGATGCGAACGCACTTCATCAGGGTTGGCTGTTAATTACACAATCTACATTTTCTTCTTGGCATTGTCACTTCTACTATGAACAATGAAAATACAGAAAGTATATCTCTCAGGAATATATCTTGTAATACTAGGAGTGAAATAAGAATAGAGTAAGCAGGCATGCAAGGTAATTTGTCACCAGCAAGTTAGCACAGATGCAAGTCCCTGTTTATCCTGATTTCCCCTCTTCCCAAATACATGAAATAGGCCTTAAAGAGAATAACCTAGAGGTTCTTATATTTTACTGGACTGACTTGCTCATTATTATTCTGCCCCTCTTACATGCAAATATGCAAGCACAAATGTGCCCTGACAATGTGGCCTAGGAACAAATCGAGGAAATACCTGACAAATGGCTTGCTCAATTTCTTGAGCAGGACATCTTGAGACCGATCGCTGACTTCGTCCTCACTCACAACAGAGGCAATGCGACCAAGTTTGCCATACTTAGAAAAAGGCTCGTATAACATCTCTTTATGGATGAAGCACCGAAGAGGTGCGACCGTTATACGGTTCTCGCAGAGCGGTACCGTCGTTTTCCCTGAGGAGGAAGTCATGAATGGGGTTGCTGTGATGCGATCTTCGCAGACCAGACATCAATACCTATCCCACTTGTTGTCCACTCGGGTACCAAGAAGAAGAGCCCCCTCGAACTATGCCCATTTATCGTGATGGATTATATCGAACTTGAAACAAGAATGTACGACGATCTCAACACAGCAGGATGTCCAAAAGAGGAACGTGGAATCCTGGACTCGAACATCGATGATGACAAGCTTGAGATGCTATATAGCCAGCTCTGGGCTATTCTGCTTCAGCTTTCGACTCCCTCTTTGCCTCGTATAGGATGTCTGAGCCGAATTGATGACTTCACCTGGGAAGTAATACGCCGGCCTCTGTCAAAGAATTTGAATGAAATCGTACGACTGGGAGATTTACCGCGATCTAACCTCCCAGATATAGATACTACATATAACACAGATTCTTCATGTTATGAAGTCCTTGCAAACCTCAACATTGAGCATCTTGTACACCAAAGGAATGATGCTATGGAGTCCGCATATGACTGTCGGCGAAGTTTGTGGCACGGCAGCTTTTCCGTAAGCTCGCCAGGGCTAAGCGACTCACCAATCCATCGCTGGAGAAAGGGTCGTCCAAAATCTGGAGTGATGATTTACGGCCAGCTAGTGTACTACTCAGTGAGAATATGCAGATTGTCGGAGTGGTGGATTGGGAGTTCTCATACGCAGCACCCGCTGAATTTTCTTATGCGCCGCCTTGGTGGCTGCTTATTGAGAAAAACCTGAATTCTGGTCAATGGGCATCGAGGACCTGACAAGGGTAATTTGATTATCGTCTGAAGACCTTTCTCAGGGTGATGAAGGCTTGCGAAGACACAGCCATCCAGCAATGTCGGCTGAAAGAAGACCAGCGGCTCTCCGGTCCTATGCAACAGAGCTGGGAGAGTGGAGATTTCTGCATCATGTATGCAGTGTCCCACAGCTTTGCCTTTGATGCAATCTTCTGGAAGAATATTGACCCACAGTTTTTTGGGCCCACTGAGAGTCCCGAGGAAGCGTGGATAGGTAGACTCGGTCTGCTGGATGAGAAGGAAAAGGATGAGATGGAACAACTGGGGGCTTTGGAAGCTGAGAGAAATGGAAATCAGGATTTTGGCGTGGGACCCCGATTAGTATACTGTGACTTTTCGCTAGCAATTGAAGAGACGGAGAGAGAAAGCAACGGAGGAGAAAGCGAAAGCGGATGAAGCGGATGGACCAGATGAAGCCCTCCAAGATGCAGAACAGCGAAGTGGACGAGGGTAAGGCCACTCTGGGAACAGGAACCATACGTGATAAGCCGGCACCACCATTTGTCTGGCTAGTTGTGATCGCAGATGATTGTATCTCGACTTGTCTTGATGCCGTGCGTGGTTTGATATGGTACCACTTCTTGCATTTCTATTCTCTTCGCTGCGTTTCTGTCGTCATAGACCTTGCCCTTCTCGACCGTCTTGCTGCCTTAGACTTTCTTAAGTGGCCGATTTGGACTGTTTCCAGTATGACCCATAGCCAATTCTATATCCTCCTACATGTCGATCTCGAACAGCGATTTTGTCACGTCCAGGTGCTGTTCGATACCACAAAGTAGAGAAACCACAAAAGACAAGTTGACAATCCAATCGAGCAATGATGTCTTTCATCAAACATTCTCCAATAGTGGAGTCCTGGCGTTCAACGTGCTGATTATCAACGGTCTGGGTCAACCATGGATAGCTGACTTATCATTATGAAATTCGGTGCAAGTGGCGATCGCTATCTCAAAAATGAGATCCGTACGTCAGCACATTTCGAGCAGTCCAGGGTCACTGGATCTCCACGCTGGGTTGATGACGACTGCCCATGGTGGATCCCGTACTTAACTCTAATTGGGTCGACCAGAGACCCTTTGGGATATTGCCAGGTACGGTCTCCAGCATACGCAATGACCAATTTCAGTGATCGACAGTGGCTGCAATTGGGTACGGGAGTGGCTGCCTCTAAAAAAGAAGTAGCAATGCAGTTGGTATTCGGTACAAACCTTGTTCTTGCTCAGTGCAGTGGATAGTGGAGTGTGGACATGAAAGATCATCAATCGTTCTTTGTGGGTCTGGTACGACTGCATCGAAGCGAAAATAAGCCTCAATAGAGCAGCTGTAGTAAGGTCTGGACTTTCATCTTTGTTGCAGATCATATTTCAATCAACCCACTTTCTATATCCTACAGACCTCCGCCAATAATCAGAAAGAAAGCGGACTCAAAAAAGGTACAATGTGATAATTGCGAATCGGATCGCCCGGCCTTTGCCCTGTCCCACACCTCTCCTTCAAGCTCAATTTCTGTGATAGGCCTAAATGGCAATCATATTGTGGCACACGTGGATCGATGTCAAGGCTTGAGGACTTTGGTGGTCTTTCTGGTTCCAATGCAAGTGGACTGACTGACTGCAGCCCCGTCGAGGCTGTATCCAGAGAGATATAAATGTCCCTACAGTACCTTGCCCCTTGCCTAAGTATAAACCTTCCCAATATCATTGTTGGCAACACATTTTTCCTCTCGAGTCCCAGTCTATCTACCCGGTCGTCAACATGAAGCTTAGCATTATTGCTCTCGCCTTCATCGGCTCTGCCGTTGCCGCCCCTGCTGCCTCTAGTCCCACTCCTTCTCCTACCCTAGCGGCTTCTTCCTCTTATGCGGCTTCCTCCACCCATAAGGCCTCATCCACTGCTAGTCCTTGGGCCACCCCAACATCTCAGCCAGGCTGCGACATTAAGCACGTGGGCGACAACGGCAAGCATCTCGGTTGGTGCAAGCAGGCCAAGCACTACGGCACCCACAAGAACGGAACAAGCATCTAGACCAATCAAGCGGTCTAACCGCAGTCAGCAGAAAAGAATGCCCTAATCCTGTGAAACGTGTCTCCCAGCGCTTCAGGTTGTCGGCGAGACCAGTGTCCGACTGGAGACCTCTTCGAAATGGAAAGTTGTGCGTCATTTGTGACTCGGAGGATTTCCTCTTTTCTGTTGATATCATTCCCTGTACTTTAGTCTTCGTGCGGTACTTACGAGTATCCCCGTGTTTTCCGGCCCTCTCAAGGCCTTGCAATCCGGTTCTAGATGTTAATATAGGGGACAATAACTGAGATTGGTTCTGCGTAAGGATATTGGCTGGAAGTCACGGGGAGCAATAACTGCTGTAGCTCCTGTGGCTAGATTGATTGTTCTCTTAGAGTGCTGCTTATGCCCGCTTGGCAGTGAAAGACATAAGGGCTTGCCGAGATTTATATTGGAACCATGCCTTCTATACCGTATAACTGGCGGAGAGACCGTTTTTTCTGTACCTCGGCCTCAGTTATATATCAAGGTAATCACCCAGGTGAAGCCGGTCTATGTCGCCGTCCTATCTCGGAAATCTGAATATTTATTGCTTACAATCTCGATATCGGGATAACATTCTGAACACATGTATTAGTTGTACATCCTTCCACCTGATATCTACAGATATAATTCGGATCGAACAGCGATGATACTTCCCGTTGTCACCGGAAAAACATAGCTTTAATGTGTGGATTTTGATGTAACGATTTCGACGCTCAGTGTCCTATTCTTATTCTACGCCTCCACCAGAAGAAGCAAATCGGGTACCAGAAGACCAAAGCCCAGAAGATCAACTGGCCTCGTCGAAGATCACTTCTTGGCCAACCCGGCAAACTACAAGTACGATTCCTGTCACAATTGTACGGCGAAGCCCTTGGCTATTCTGAGTGGAAGTCGGTGGGCAACCGCTGGAATGAGATTGAGCCTGCGGAATGAGGAGAATAATTGAAACAATGTGAGTCAATGTGAAGATGTATCAAGTTTGACAAACCCCCCGGTGCCGATCTTTGATTTATCTCTGCGCGGACTTAAACTGGCAGACAGTAAGGCACTAGATAATCTCCCCCGAACAAAGAAACTAGTACACCAAAATCTCCTCGTCTTTGGCTCCCGCGTCCCTCCATTTACCAAGCACCGTCTTCATGTCCACCGCGACCTTCTGAGCATAATCAGGCACAGGGGCGACAGGGACATCCGCCGGGTTCCCCCTCACCCAAGCAACAGGTTCTTTAGCAATGCCCGCGAACTTCTTCTTAAGCTCTTCAACCTGCTGAGGCTCATAGCCACGGCCGAAGAGCACGGCGCGAGGAGGCCGACTGTAATCGTGGGTTCCAATATCGTTGGGGTTCTGAGACTGAGGATCACGGCCTACAAGCAGATGCGGGAGCTCAGCCTCTGCGGCCTCATATGACTGTATGAAGTGAATAACTGAAGAACATTAACACTAGGTTTTGGTTCACTTGGGCACCAGATCAAAAACCTTCATATTCAGGCAGCAGGTGCTGGGAGACTGGTTTTCCGACCGCGGTTTTCCTGCCGCACGCGACAACTGGCATCGGCTGAGCAGATGAAGACATGTTGCGAGAGAGCCGTATGCTGCGGATTAACGTGTTTCGAAGCATTAGTGAGGAGATCCCACAACTAAGCCCGTGTGGATGACTTGATTTATATTCCTCGTTGCGGCGCGCTCGGTCTCAAGATGAAGCTCGGACGGAGGGCGAGAGACCGATCTCCGACTCGCAGCCAACCCACGGACGTTTGAGGTTCAAAGCTCAATACGAGATGAATTTGTCATCACAGTGGCTAAAGTAGCTTAGTAGCTATAGACTTCAAGGTAGACTCTAGTCTAGAAAATATTTAGGTAGAGTAGGGCTCCAATCTTCGTCTGAATCACAACCTTGCCAAAATCAGGTCCAGACACAATGAGTACACTATAGCATGGATATGCGCCTTACCGCTGGGAATAACAGTAACAAGCAGCATATTAAATAAGGTCCATCCTTCATTACCTTAACTAGACACCAGCCACAACACCCATACACTTTTAGCATGTTAGAGGCCATAATGTTATAGCAGCCTGCCTATTAAGCAAAAAACTACGCCTGCTAAGGCCATTACTGTACTTATTTTAGTAGGTGAGCAGTACCGCCCTGAGGTTATGCAATCCAGATTCATGCAATCTAGGTGAGCTTAGTACCTAGGGGTGAATATCATATCATATGATGCTCATATCGCACTTCATTAGTAGGAAGAGGGTTTAATCGGGATGATCGAATTTTTATTTGGCTCCGCGAAACGCTGGACTTACTATCACAGATCTGCTCTGCGCTTGGATTTACTCATCGCCAAGTTCAATAACTATCCGTGGCAGAATGAGGGAATGACTCGTAAAAATGCTCCTGGCCAACAAGTTAACAACCAAATACAGCATGGTTGCTACGTAATTCGCGTTTGAAGTCAAGCGTGATATACCACAATGGACTTATGATGAGTACAGAGCCAATGGGCACTCAAACAAAGCTTACTGGTGATCAAAACTGTCAAATAGCTAGCTTACCAGAAGTGTAAGGACTTGTAAACTTGTTTAGAACTAACGAGCGACGAGTACCAGACTGGTTAACATAGTATAGATACGAATTTCACGGGAAAGCCAGCAAGTTGGTTGATGTTGAATCCTTCCAACGATACCTCTCCTGCCATCTCCCTCCCCTCACCTTTCCACACTGGATCTATACAACGCGAAACATATCAGTGATGCTGGCCCAATAGATCTGGCGGTAGATTGGGCATATACCATTCCAACCCGATTGTAATCATTCTAGCACACGGCTCCGCCATCATTGCCGCCGTGGCATGTGCCACTGTGACAGTCTTGGATCTCTGTCCATTTACCACCTCGGCACTCAACCTTTTTACACGAATAACCATGAGCGAAGCTGGTCTGATCTTTCAACCGAGACATGTTAACATACCACACCAGTCCTGTCGCAACCGCAAAAATGCCTATCTCCGTTCGAGGCATTGCAAGGACTGTTCGTACGCCTCTGGTCACCGCCATAGCCAGCACCGCAGGTGTCCAGGACCTGGAACTCCCCTCGAGGGACTGTGGAAGCGCTTACGGCGGCGGCAGCCATGAGAGTGCAGAGGAGAGCTGTAACCTTCATGATGAAAGAGTTGTTGTATATTGAAACGAGGTGTCTCGATTGAAGTTGAATGTTGACGAAGGCTTGATGTCCAAGAGTACTGAGTTTCTGGAGGAAACATGGACGTATTTATACCTCTTCGAAGCAAAGGTCAAGTCATCGTCCCAGTCCAGTTACCTAAGAGTTAACCAGGATGATGAGTACTCCCTCTCCTGAAAAGACTGTATAGTAACACCCCTGCATGGCTGTCATGCTCTGCCCTGCGAAAGCACTGCAACGAAGAAAGTCGAGATGCGGAGATTTTTGGAGATGGATCAAGTCAGCTTGAGTTGTTCTAACAGCCAGTTGATCACCAACAGCCCCCAAGTTAATCTCAGCAGTTTAGTGGTTTGACAACCGACAGATGCTACAGCAGGTGCATGGATCAGAGTAGGCCTTCGGAGCGGAGGTCTCAATACAGGACAGTAATAGGGTCAGCAAAAGGTATCATTAACCAATTATGTTGCCAGCATGGACTCGTTGTTATGCAATTTCTTTTCTGACCTGTCTCCTCCGGTATTACATCTGTTGGTCTGGGTTCAGCTCCATCTCGTCTGATATGTGTATTGCCTCACTCGCAGGATACCATCTGCTTTTGATGCGTACATTCGATGAACCGCAGTCTTCCACCAACAATCAAGCCTAGAAAGAGGAGCCAGACAGCTTCCTGACACTATGCTAGGCAATCTGTTCCAACTTATTTTATTCGTAGACCTGGCAACTTTAACATAGATCCCTTTATGAATTTAATGCAGTAGTTTCAGAATAGTGGTACATACGCCATAAGGCATCCGGCATAGCTTTACAAATCATTGGAGTCGCGTATCAGATCTCGTATGTGGATCGAGGCCGAAATATTGAAAATGCCAGGAGTCATGTCATGCCCAGTTCATTGCGCACTATGCACGTAGCAAGACATGGCCCCAACTACCGTCCCGCGGCTCTGACTCGACTGAGACGACGCCGCAAGGTAAGGTACTCGAGATCAGATAGCCGTGGCGTAGAAGGCAACCGATCAGGAAAGTGTCCCAGTGAGCATGCAGGGGATGTCTTTCTTCTTGTTTTACCGCTGTTTTCCTATTTGGGGATACGGTCAAACTGGATGGTGACTGGATACTAAAGGCACTAGGATAACCACAGACCCGTTTCACTCCGGACACCCACTTTATGCAAATTATGGAATCACCTGATTAATTTCCACCACAAACTCTTCCATGAATATGTTCCTGGGTAAATCAGATAATTCCTTAAGCTGCTTAAGTAGTGTCTGGAGTAAAAGAGGTGGTGATCAAGAACTGTCAATGGCCCAGGCAAGTTATACAAAAGGATCTTGATCATGATACCAATTCTTGGTTTCATTGAATTATACATGCTAATAACCTCCCGTGACGCTTGTCGATCTATGATAACCGACTCTGCCATGCAGGGTTCTGCCGGCACAAACTCCTAGCGCATACTTGGTGGCGAAGACACTTGTCCTCCATTGTGGCATAGCCCTGCTTGGCAGCTGGCCTTCGCATAGGAGGGGCCCAAGGATGGGGGGTAATCCTCCAATGCAAATCAACTTTTTAGGATCCTTAATATAATATAATAAATGATAAAGGGTTACATCCGGCGCGTCCGGCGCTGATTAATCTTTGATTATAGTGCCTAGAGCGCTGTATAATTTGAGCCCAGCCCTTGGCGGGGCGGGGGTGGGGAGCCTAAGACTTGGCCTTGGCTGAACTGTGTGCGTTCCCAATTCAGGTGAAGTATACTATGGGAAGTATTATAACTAATCGGTTGTGAAAGCATGAAGCCAATACGTGATATACCTTCTTCCTGAACTTACCCCAAATTGTGGAATAGCAGAGGTCCAGGGATCTTTTCTTTAGGTGGTAATACCACCTGGAACAGATCGACTCAGGCGGAGTATTTCAGAAATAAATCTCAAGCAGCAGGCCAGTGAGCTGGCGCTAGCAGCGTCTTGACTAGCGCGGCGGGGTCTCCCGAATCAAGCTAAAACCGGGGTCTCGCCTAAAACAAAAGTACCCACAACTTGGTTACAGTAAAACCTCACTAACACAAGCCTCGACATGTCGGTTACTTCGATATTAGGTTCCGCCAACGCCACGGCCATTGAGGGACATGCTGTCCCTCGCATGATAGGGAAGACCGACTCGAATACTAGTTCGTCTTTTCTTCCGTTGTCAACGATGAGAAAGCCAATTAGTACTTACGGGATGACTAAATCCTTCTGATCTAAGAGATCTTAAGCGCCCGAAAAAGCCAGATTCCTAAATACTATCAGAGAAGATCGCAGAGGTACCAAAAGTCCGCTGATCGCGAGGCTATCAAGTGCTGGCTCCGTCGGTCAATTGCTATTCTAGTTTAGGCAGTTATAGAGCGTGGTGGGGTATCCCGGTCATTGGCCAGCGTGTTTGGAATGAGTGACGATCGACTGGGATATTGCGGTATTCCTTGTCCCAGGATGAGTATTACTGCGGCTCTAGCAACGAATAGACATCCAGAAGACGCAAAACTATCCAAATGAAGAGGCGATACATGCGGAGAAGGCTGGAGCCTTGACTCGTCAGCTCTCAATTTCACGAGACTAAGTCTTCTCAGCTGTCTAAAAATCTGTTAATTCCAGAGGAGCCTACTTAGCTGAGTGGCGGTTGTCATTGGGCACATAATTAACCAATAAATAAAAGATGCATGGTCTGCTCAAATGATCTAAACATTCTCGCATCGTGCGGTAACATGGCTTCACTGGCCAGCAGTCAAATCACTTTGTTTCAACTGCACATTGTCGTGAGCGGACCTGTCTGGATCACGCATCATTCTTCATTTGTCCCGAGCTTTCCCAGAAAGTGGAATCTCAACCCCTCGGTGACGACGCCGTTTTCGAAGTACACTGGCTGATTTTATAATGATTATTGTGAGCAAAACCGACAGAATAATGCTGCATATCATCGGGTAGCTCATGAGGCCATTAAGCCTGGAGTTTGGCGGGTGCGCAAAGGAGCCCTGAAAACCGATCTGTTCTTGACTTTCCAGGTGCGATTTGTCTCTTCCATCGCTTAAACGGTCTTTGCCTTTCCCATTCTCAATCGGGTCATCGACACCTTGCACCGGTGGTCCATATAGTGGCTGATCCCCTGGCTTGTAGTGCTCATCTTGTCCGCGAAGCCATCGTTCGTAGTCGGTTTCCGGTCTAGAGAATTTCTTTGGCTTTGCTGAGGCCATCTGCTTTCACAATCGGTCCACGTCTGAAAGAGTAGTAGTTAGTGCAGTGATGGGCGTGGTGGGGAGAGTATTGGTTCTTACCCTCGACAACAAACAATTTTCCTGGATTCCGAGATCTACTATAGACTCTTGCCGGGGCTCAATATGGAATGTATTTGTAGTTGAAGGTGTGGATCCTTTCTATCCTGGGAGCTGAGCTAGCCAACAATATACAGAAAACCCCTTTCCGGAGAGGTCCAGATCCCTGTACGTTATGAAGCTGGACGCAACCCAACGATTTTCGTCATTCATAACTGCCATTTCTTCCTCGGCTGTTAAAGATACAGAATTGAGGGAGAACCCAAGGCTCAATTGAGCGTTACCCGCAAATCGCAGTTGCTGAAACAGAGTAGAGATTCGGAATGACGGTGCTCTCAGCAGTTTTCTTTCCAACAATCTTGGGCCAGGGCGCCTTAAAGAGTCGATCGCGAAGATCACTAGCAGAATTGCTGGTCAGGTATTTATGTCATTGGATTTGTTTCACCGAGGCATAATCTCTTTGCCATCCGGGTTATCCAAATGCATACATGACACAGCACAACAGGTTGCTTGGCATTATTTAATGTGAAAATAGATACCCTATTAGAACCTCTTGTTCCAGGGTCACCCTAGCAATACTTAGCTCGCCAAGCCTCTCCTTTAGTGAGCTCGCAGGTATCACAGTGACCACACTAGCGCCTACAGATATATGAAGAGCCTGTTAGAGTGGCTTCCTGTGTCCTCCTGCCACCCTTGCAGCTAGTCCCAACATGGATCAGCAACCAACGAATAACAGTACATAGCCGTCAGCGTCAACCTCATTGTGCATAGGCACCTTGGACCCGTGGAGAATTTCACCCTCCCAGGCCACAAGAAAGTAGAGTTTCCGACGGAGTGCTCACCAGAAGTTGTGGTCTTCAGGCTGACGGATAAAGAACGAGTTGCTTTGCACCGAGACAACTGCTGACGTGTCGGATCTACTGAAGAGGCATTCATGGCTGTGCCGGAAACATCTGTCTGCTTTGGGTGGAACACATCAGCTACCAAGCTCCACCATTGGCATCTTCTTTTAGAACCGTTCAAAATGGGTTAACACCCCAAACACGTTCCGTTGGCGTACCCTGTACACAGACATGGAACCTTCAGGGCTGGCTGTTGGGGTTCTGGGCTTCGCTGGTCTATTTGACTCCTGTTTGGAGGCTGTCGAGCGATTCGACTCTTGGAGGAATTTTGGAGACGATTCACGCTTCCTGCACAATTGTTTGCAGGCCGAAAAATGATAAGGCCCATAAGAATACTTTGAGCAAGCCCTTGATCTATTTTATTGGTGCAAGAGGTAAGTGATGGGAGACGTTCATTCTGGACTGCTGGCACGTATGCTGGCCGATATAGAGAATGTCAGCTGCACATCAGCGAGTCGGAACATCGTCTTACATTGACATATATATCAGGCCGGACCGGATGTTGCTGGAATTTAATGTAGCCATAGTATCTGTCAGGACAAGCTAAATTCATATCTTTCAGCAGGCCCGGGCATTTTCAAATGACTACACACCAGAACAACATTTTTGGTCGGAACCCATCAATGCAAGCTCTCTGGCGCAGAACCTTTTCAAGTACTCCGGAAATGAAACATACCAAAGCATTCTCCGAGGCCGCGTTGTCTACCCTCTGCTCTCCTTCGATCGCCTTTCGGCAGCGTCATATCAGCTTCATGTATATCAAATCGCCAATTGCAGCCCTCGGATATAGGGCCCCTTGTCTCGGGCGACGATTGTTTCTCCGAAGCCAGGGGATTGTTTAGAAATTCGACTATAATTCTGGCCCTAGCACCATGCTACAACATGAAACAACAGGACACGGCGTTTTTCCTTATGCAGAACTGAGTTCATGCCTTTGGCTTTKAGAGTGGACGCCTTGGAGATCATCCAGGGTCTAGAATCTGATCAACAGGCGATCAACGGGAGAACACCCTCGAGCCTCGTAAACGTAGCCGAAGTATTAGGCGTTGGTGGGGACTCCCGCAGGATATAAGAACTGGCTTCGTCACTTAGGATTTGCTGGGGTGCATCTTGTCCGCTCCAAAAATGCCATGCAGAGTCACACAGGCAACTAAGATATTTCATGCACTGAGCATGGCTGGATACATTCGGATACATCGCACGAGAGATACGCACGCCCAGAAGATCCTATCACTGTTATTTGGTCGGGACTTCTGCACCAGCATTCGTAGCATTGTCTGGGTAGACACAGGATCTTCGCTGAAATGCTCGTATTATTCTATTATTACATATCTAGCCTTGAAGATATTATAAAATGATTGTACATCGCCCATCAAGCAGGACAAAGACCTCAAAAGGTACATATGGAGACAATATGGTGTACAATTCAAAGACTGGCAGGAATCGTACACCACAGACAGATGCCATTTGGACCTCCCATCCTCCTTACAGGGCAAGGGCGACAGCCAGCACACCAGCAGCACCGGCAAAGCTGACGGCCACGGCGCCGGTGGCAGCAGCGTTGTGAGACGAGGTCGAGGTCGAGGTCGAGGTCGAGGAAGCGGAAGCGCCGGCAGAGCTCGAGGCAGTGTTCTTGGTGGAGGAAGTAGTTCCCGAAGAGGAAGAAGTGGCGGTGGCAGTGGCAGTAGCACCGGTAGCGGTAGCAGCAGAGCTACCGCTGGCGGTGGGGGTAGCAGTAACAGCGGCGATCTCAGCCATGGCAGCGGAAGAAGCCCAGGCCTTGACGTCGGAGGGCAGGCTGGCGTACCAGCCCGGTGTCTGTCCTTGCTCGATCTGGTTGATGATGCTAGAAGCCTCGGTAGGATTGGCAAAAGCCTGAATGACAGAGGGTGGAATAGCGGTCATCAGGACGCTGAGGACGGAGCTGGGAACGGAGGCAAGCAGATCCAGATCACCGGCAGCCTGAGGGGCGGGAGCGGGATTGGCCACTGCCAGAGCGGCGAAAAGGAGAGTAGCGAGCGCCTTGAATTGCATGGTGACAGTATAGATAGATAGCGAGAAAACGAAAGGAATGAACGACAGTAGAGACACAGAAACTTGTCGAATACAACAGCACAGTGGAGCGAGGCTCTGCTTTATTTATTTCTGGGGAAAGAGCGGACCCTTGGGGCTCTTGGAGAATGGAGATAAATATGATCCATCATCGTCTGTATTGCCCCTTTTCTGAAGTTTATCCACAGCGTTTGAGCCTCGTTCTCCTCCAATAGAGTGTGTCTTTTCCAGAGCCGTGCAGCCTAGATCCCGCACCATAAGAGCTAAGCCACGGTTCTCCCACGCTATCGATACCACTAATCTCTCGACTACTGCTGCAGTCCAATGAAAGGCGGGAGACTGCGCGTTTCATGAACCTAACGGATGAAGGAGTAGACAGGATTGGTCATGTCGGAGAAATTATTGGGCCCTGGTGAAACTGTGCAGGATCTCAAGGATTTTTTTTAGGAACAGAAGGGGATCCTTCAAACATCCTCCTACACACCGCAAGCAGTAAATGGGCATCCTCTCCTGCGCTAAAAGGTAATATTAGCAAGACATCATCGTTATTCGTGGAGTGATAAAAATCCAGCAATCGGTGGAATGTTTCTACCACCTCTGGTAGAACTGAGACAATGTACAAAATTCTTTTGAAACTATCCAGACTGTAAACCATCGTTACAGGTTATAATCTTCTGCGCATATACGTCGTATATACGGCTAGTAGACATATCTGAAAGTCTTGTTCTCCCTATCTGTCAACCCGGCCCACTTGGTGTCATCTTGCGCCTGATCCTCCTGGCCTTCTTTAACACGGTCCCTACGCTTGTTCTCCCACACATAATACAAGAAGAGGACGAACGAGAGGACCGCCGCAGCAGCCTGCGTCGCCAGCACTGCGATCTTGGCCGGGCGATATTCCGGCGCATCGCGTGCCTGGAACGTCTGAGGGCCAATGATGTTTCCGACCGAGAAGGAGCCGGCGACGAGCGCACTGGCAAACGCGCGCTTGGTATGGCCTGCGCAGTTGGCCGCCGTCCATTGGTAGAGAATGGGGAGGGTCGCGACCACGGCGTTGACGAGGTAAATGCCGATGAGGACACCTGCTTTGTTGTGCTTGGGGAGGAAGGAGAGCAGACCGCCGCCGAGGATGCCGGGCAGGGTGGAGGCGATGAGCCAGGCCCAGCGGTGGGAGACTCGGCGGATCCCGAAGCCAACCAGGAGGGTGAAGAAGATGCTAACAATGCCGGAGGGCATATTTAGCAGGGCCGCATGAGGGCCTGAGAAACCGAATCCGGCAATCAAAGTCGCCGAGTACGAGGTCACCACTCCACTGGAGACGGAGATCTGGAGGTAGCGTGTCAGCAATCGCAAAAATGCATTATAACCCGAATAGCGAACATACCAGCATGGTGATGATGGTGATGAACCACAGCTGAAGGTCACAAACAGCCTCCCAAATTTGCTTTACGCTAAAGTCACTGCTCCACACGCCGGTCTGGTTGACACTGACGTGGTTCAAGAGAGCGACTTTCTCGCGGTCGGTCAACCACTTTGCCTTCATGGGCGCGTCCGGCAAGAAGATGAAGGTTAGTGCGCCGGTAAGGGATGTAACAAGCCCGAGAACGAGGAACATGACGCGCCAGCCTTGGAAAGACGGGTTGTCCACATGTTGGAAGCCAAAGGAGATAAGACCACCTAGGATCTGTGCCACACCCAGACCGACATACCACAGCGTGAACCGGGGCGCAGCTTCGCTCTTGGTGTAGTACTGACTGCTCAGCAGCATCAGAGAAGGGCCGATCGTGGCTTCGAAAATGCCGAGGAAGATCCGTGAGACCAGGAGAGTACGATAGTCACGGACACCGGCACCAGCCGCCGCTGCAACGCCCCAGAGGAAGACATTTGCTCCTAGCCATTTGGCTGGGGGAGTCTTTTGCAGGAGAATTACTAGAGAAGATCACCGGTAAGAGTGGGATGCTGGGGTCACCGGATGGATTAGACATACCCAGGGGAGCCTCCGCGATCAAGTAGGCAATGAAGAACCAAGTCGCCGCATTGGAGAAATCATTGCCAACCAACTTGAGGTCTTTCCTTATCCCCATCACAGCCGCATACTGCCAGAATCATCAGAGAAAAAGGCTTTGTGCGAAGGGGAGAGAGTGGCGTACATTGAGCATCACCTTGTCKAGAAACTGCAGGATATAGCAGGAAAACATGAACGGGATAATGCGATAGTCGATCTTGCGTCGCAGGGCCGCAAGATCGACAGTCGCTTCATCCTGGACATTGGCATGTTCATCCAGATAATTCAAGGCATCATCGCGTCGTCCATGGACAGGGTGGGTGTCTATATCTGGCCTTTTCTCGGCCATTTTGGTGACAAAAAGACGACGGAAAAAAAGAAAAGAAGAAAGAAAAAGGAAAAACGAAGGATGAACGAAGGAAAAAGCAACAGGTCAGTTGTGAAACGTGAAGTGGAGGGTGGTACAAGGATGAAGGGGAGGGACGCAGGTTGCAATGCTGATCAGCTATCTAAAGTACGCAACGTAGTACTGAAGGATGATCTCGACTTTAAACGAATGGTTGGGGGCCAAGGGATGGGTGGGGTTGAAGAATGCACCAGTCCTATATTATTTTTCTTGCAGGTTTTACTTTGAGCAGACTGCAGGTATCATCTTGAACGTGCAGGTATCCCGATCCAGCTACACACCGGCGATAGTAGCGCAGACGAATGCAACTCTTGCCCAGGGTCCCCGGTCTAGCGCTCCAAGCATACAAGGGCCCAGAAACACTAGATACTCATGGCGCAAGACTAGAAGGGCCGGTTTTTCTGCTCTGAATAAATTCATCTAACCATCTCGGGTCATGTCCGCCGGAATAAATTAATTTTCTGGCGAGGCCAATCCTGCAGGAAGAAACCAGGCCTGCACAATGATCAAATTAATTCAGCCTTGGGACCAGATTCCAACTGACGCTGAGTGGACTTCTAATGATCCTCCCATCATGCATGATTATACAAAACAATGCGATAGGTGACTGCTGATCTTATTATTTCCTCGTCCGACATCTTCTTTATGTGACGGTCAACATGGGCTGGGTACACAATGCGTCCCCGGAGATCGACGCCCAGTCCAGATATCCGCTCATTCTGGGGGTGTGCATTACCCTGACGGTCTTGATGGTCATCACGGTTTGCCTGCGACTGTTCGTGCGTATCAAACTTGGGAGATTCGGCGCTGCCGACTATGTGATGGTGTTTGGAATGATATTCAGTATCGTCTACAATGCTCTCTGTATCGCCCGTAAGTCCATCATCTATTCTCATATGGCCCATGCTCACAACAGCAGAAAGCCGTTATGGACTGGGATTACCACTGGCGTTGCGACCAAAGGCGGACCTCCTAACGTACACAAAGGTACTGACTCGTCCGCTTCGTGCTCGATTCGATCTTTCTGACCAGGCAATGCAGATAAACTACGCCGGTCGCCCGTTCTACCAACTCGGAATCGCGGGTTTCAAAGCCGCACTGTGCATCAACTACCTTCATCTGCTCGCGAAAACCTCCAAGCGCTTCTATCGGATGTTGATCTGGGTGGTGATCATAATGTCGACCTTGGGACATGTGGCTGGCACATTGGTTCTGATTCTGAACTGCACGCCAGTAGGTGACTATTGTTCCGCACAAGGTCAAGAGCTGTGCTAAACAGATTCGAATCAATAGGTAGAGCGGGCCTGGAATCCGACCATTTCTGGTACATGCCTTCCGGTAGGACCGACCTTCTACGGTCTTGCGGCCTTTACGATCGTCTGTGATGTCGTCGTCATCTTCCTGCCGATTCCATTGCTACTACAGTTGAAAGTGAAACCAGCGCAGAAGGCAGGCGTGGCATGCTTGTTCCTCCTCGGACTGTTCACTACCCTCTGCTCCATTCTACGGCTAACACAGATCCATCGCGTGGTGGCTGTGGATGGGGATTCTACCATGTTAGTCCTGTGGGGCACAATCGAATTCAATGTCGGAGTAAGCTTGTCCAGAGAGTTGAAGGATAGAACATAATCTCACAGAGTTCCAGAATATCGTCACCTCTCTTCCATTCCTTACGCCCCTTCTCAAGATGTTTGTGCGCGACTTTCGCTCCCGCAGTGCCAGCGAGCTTCGCAAGAACACTGGGTACTCCTTGCAATCCTACTCCAGGAACCGACACTCGCAATTGAAATCGGAACACGCCAAGGAGCCAGCCCCTGTTCAACGAACGCCCAGTGAGGAGCTAATCCTCGACACGGACGATTCCATCGCTCGAGCGAACGCCGAAATCCACGTCACCGTCGAGTACCGTGTCTCACACGAGAATGGTAAATGATACGTGGGGGCGGTTCCTGTGTATACGTTTACCATTCCTTTACTTTTCCTTTTGTTTCCAATTGTTGTGAGGTTGCCAACTTTGGCCGACAGATAGTTTTATAGATCAATACCATGGTTCAATCCCACTAGGATGATTCCGACAATATGCCCGAGGACATAACGGATTGATCTTCAACTAAACTACCAAAGTAAGCAGCGTCCTAGCCTGAGCTCCGTTGTCGAACCCAGATTTCTACTTTTTGCGCGTGTCTGGCGGGAATCGGATAACTGGCAATTCAGCCTATTAGCCAAAAAAGACGCAAGGTTCCATTCAACCGGGGCCTTGATATCAAACAGGTGTTAATGCCATAGATATTACTGGCCCATTAGTTTTAAAGTGACAGGGATCAACAGTCAAGGTTCGCCGGCGTCTTCCTGGCGTCACTCTAAAAACACCACTAAACCCGCAGTGATATAGGCGGGAATCAAACCGGCCATATTATTAATTCATTCGAGGGTTGGATTAGGGCGGTTCCATTGACACATTGAGTTTCATAGTTATGGTCCGAAAGATTCCTTATCCGCCCAATCCCGCTGTAGATCCATGCTGCCATGCAACCTTCGAAAGCTACGCAACCAGTTCTACCCAGGTGCGACTGGAATTAAAAATCTCGCATACAAGGTACTAAGGACAGGGGATGTCGGATATTTGCCCGGCTTTCGAAGGATCATCGGTGGACTTCAGGTACCCACTCGGCCAGCCATGACAGGGGCTGCGTAATTATCCGAATGGTCCAATTATCGGCTGCTCACCCACCCCGCCACTTGTCCCTTGTGTCAAAAGTTCCTTACGGCTGACAATTATCCTTCTGGCCTAATATCCCATTCTATCCGGGTAGTTACCAGAGCCAAATTTAATAGCCAACCGCCAAGTCAACAGCATGTCCCATCTCCCCATACTCATCATCGGTGCAGGGATCAGCGGTCTGACCCTGGCCCAGTATCTGCACAAGTCAGGGATTCCATTCCTTATCTTTGAGCGGGATCCCTCTATCGATATCCGTACCGGGGGATGGGGTCTGACGCTGCACTGGGGACTGCCGATCCTACGGGAGATGCTGCCCGAGCACATCGTCGCACGGTTACCCGAATGCTCAGTGAACAAGGAAGCTTCCGAGAGTGGCGATGTCGGTCGGTTCCCGTTCTTCGATCTCAGCTCCGGATCGGCGCTGTTTGAGGTCCCCGCTGCGGAGAGATTGCGGGTGAATAGGGGGAGATTGAGGGAGTTGTTGACGTCGGGGATTGATATCAAGGTCTGTCTCTGAGGTCTGTGGTTCTCTAAAAACTAATGGGAGTAGTGGTCCAAAATTGTTGTAGACGTCACATCGACAGAGGAGACTGTTACGGCGCACTTTGAGGATGGTACTTCCTACACCGGTTGTCTTCTCATCGCCTGTGATGGCGCAAATTCTCGCATCCGTAAACTGGCATACCCCGACTCATATCAAATGAATCCGCTCCCCGTCCAGCTTCTTGGAGTGACAGTCCGGTATTCGCCTGAGCAAGCCGCCTGTTTCCGGGCTATGGATCCGTATATCTTCCAGGGAGCTCATCCAGAATCGAACATCTTCTTATTCTTCAGTTGTATGTATGCCTTCTACCTTTGGTTCTTACCACTAATCGATCTACAGTCCTCGACACCCCGAACAACTTTGACGACAGTACAGATGCTTACGTCTGTCAGATCATCGTCTCATGGGCCGACAATAAAAACATCCCGCTCCCACCCGATAACGCTAGACGGATCGCATTGTTGAAAGAGTTGACAGCCAACTGGGTCGAACCGTTCCGGTCGCTCGTCCACAATCTTCCTGATGATTCAGAGGCACGCTCAATCCGCATCCAGGACTGGATCTTCGCCCCAGGAAAGAGTCTTCATCCGCGCGTGGTGATGATGGGCGATTCAGCGCATACTATGACCATGTGTAAGATATTACGCTATAACTAGTATGATTACGCTAACATGAGCGTCTAGTCCGTGGCGAAGGTGCCAACAATGCCATCGTGGATGTTCGTGACCTCGTCCGGCGAATCGATTTCGCCTCATCGGAGTACGTCCTAATCCTCATCGTCTGAACTGACAAATTCTGACTGTGTATAGCTCACTGTCATCCGATTCACTTCGTCGCTCTATCGAAGAATACGAAAACGATGTCTTTAGGCGGGCAGAGGTGAGTGTACTGAACTCACGACAGGCCTGCCTTGATGCCCATGATTACCCAAGCATCCTGAATGGAAGCCCGCTCGTGGCGAAGAGAGTGCTGGATTAGGAGCCACCGTAAGCTACGAGGGATTTGAAGCCTCACTCAATCTCATTGTTTTCATGCTCTTGGGAACCTGCGATCGATGCAGACCGAGGATATCCGTCCCCAGGCTATAATCTAGCATAGCGTTCTGTCACAAGTTGTGCTATGAAAGAAGCAATAGAGTCATTGGAGCTTGTATCGTAAAAGCAGACAAGTTTCAACACTTCAGCAATGTGATCAGTGGGTGAGGCCATTAACCTTGCTATAGGCGGCCTAATCAATTCTATAATCATTGACGAATAATGTAAGTTACTAGTGAGAGCTGTAACTTGGTATCTCTCTGGACCTCTTCGTTCAGGGCATGGATCCCAAGGACTCCGAGTCCTACAAGTGAGCTATCAACATGACCACAGTGTGCCACAACCAGGTTTTCTGTTTCTTTCTAGCACCTTTTTGTCCTCCGCAAAGTCTGACATGACAGCCACGCAAGTACTTCGCGACATTGATCACCGTCCATCTCCACCGGCCCATCCCAGTGAATCGCGTACCCTTCCATAGAAATTCAACGTTATTAATTCCAGTGCTCCAAACCAAGGGAAACGAGTCTAAAAACAAAGAGACGCATCCTAGACCACGAGATAGCGACCAAAATAAAACGTGGCGTTGCACTAAACTTTCCGCATATACTTCCTTTGTTCCCCTTGGGACAATGAGACCTCGAGGCATTGCGCGATGACTTTGAAACAGAATATTTATCCTCAGACCCATGAAATGCCATTCATCTACGAATTATTTCCTTTCTCGATGCTGCGATGCCAGAGTTATCGATCATCTCCCTGGTCGTGTTGCTGTTAATCCAGTCTACAGCGGCACGCTCAAGAGCGATGGCGATAACCAATTCTACTCCATCCTCGACGGCTCCTCACTCGACGCATACCGTCAAGGTAGGCCCGAAAGAGAACCCGCATCAATATTCGCCGCACAACATCACGGCCGCTGTTGGCGATGTGATTGTCTTCGAGTTCTACCCGCGCAACCATTCCGTCGTCAAGGCAGACTTTATGGCACCTTGTGTGCCTGCTGCTGGGGAGATCTTCTATTCCGGCCCGTACAATACATTCAACGAGACTAGCTATGGGCAGCTAGACGGAGAGGTTAGTGCATCGTCTATGTCGATATCAAAAGCTAACGGTTTAGCCTCCTACATGGTCACTAGTTGTGAATGATACCGAGGTATGTAGAGCCATTAGAACTCGAATCAGTTGACTAACATGAATTACAGCCCACGTTCTTCTACTGCACGGCCGTTGACTCCTGCCTCATCAATGGAATGGTCGGAGTAATCAACCCGGTAAGTCTGTGCCGACGACCGAAAACCCATGCTCATAGCGGTAGAACGAAACGATGACCTGGGAAGCACAATTCGCCCAAGCAAGACGATACCCCTACATGCTCGTCCCGGGACAATCACCTCCCGCCGAAGGAACAGGCTACTCGTCCTCGGCTGCCGACGCCCATAACAAGAGCCCTTTCAGCGGTGGCGCCATAGCCGGTACCGTGGTCGGCGGGCTTGCATTTGTTGGCATCCTTCTCGTCCTTGTGATTATGCTCCATCGGAACAGATATAAACAGAACTCATCCTCACATGTCGGGCGGATGGAGCGGACGGCTCACTGGGCTCTCTTTAGTAGTCGAGCCGAGGGAAAGAGTGAGCAGGGATTCACTGCGTCGTCGTCAGTGGGTGGCCATGGTACATTCTCGTCGAGCTCGGGCGCTTCGCCGTCTGCTGTCTCGCCTCCTCTGCAAAATGTTGGATATTTGAACTGGGAGATTGCAACAAGGCAGCCACCGCCGCGGGAAGAGATTCGCCAGCCGAGTGAGTTGGAGGCGAGGAGTGTTGTGGGTGGGAAGCCAGGAGGGATGTACTACGGATGGAGGTGATGTCTCTAGTTCTTCAGATAGTTTGCCATCTTGTATTCTCCTTCCTCTGTTTCCGACGTCTTTGTATTCTACCATTGCGAGTTCTTCAGCCGTGGGAAGCTTCACTATGGGTATTGACTCAGTAGGTACAACAACGCTTTCATTATGAAAATAAATACTATACATAATTTTCATGACCATTTTCGTCGTCTGAGACTCCTTTATGGAATCTCATCATAGATTCTATCACCCGGCTTTGGTGGCTCCAAGAAATCCTTTGGAATCTGAGCCGGCAGCTGATTCTTCTCGGCATACTGGCGGATAGCTTCGAAGTTTTTGCACTGATGCTCTGTGTTGAAGTCTACATACGCCTCTGGGTGATCGGGATGGATCCAGACTTGGCCGAGGACTCCAGTATCAATGGTGCACATGAGTTGCTGCCGTATGATGTCCAGACAGTGGGCTGGTGACTTATTGTCAGTCTTGGTCTTGAGCAGGAACTGCGAAAATACGTACAAACGTGCCGTCGGACGATAAAATCGTCGTTCTTGAAAGCTCCTTGGCCGAGCTTGTGGTAGTAATCGTAGTTATAGTAGAGCGTTTGGCGCAGTAAATTCTTCCCAGGTCAGTATCCACCTTGATATGATAGGGCGAAGACATACTAGACAATGTAAATGATGGAAGCCCTCTACATTCGCCGGATAGCCTCCTCCATACTTCTGGTTGATTTTGACCTGGTCTCGCGCAAGTCCAGACTTTTCTGCATCTTCGGTCGGAACTCGCAGACTCCTATCTACTCATGGTTAGTATTTTGTTTATCTCAGCAGAATATGTCTTACAATTTACACCTAATGCCTCCCATGCTGCATCGACCTCTGGGCTGGCATCTTGCCGGTAAATGTTCTCCTTGAGCAGCGAACCATTAAACCGCTGAGGTTGAAATGTTATGTCGACGTTCGAGGTAACAGGCGCTGTGCTTGTTAATTATGAGATTCTCCAGTTATTAGAAAAACGGAGAACGTACAATAATGAGAAACGTGACGAGTACAGACCCTATCGAGGTCTTGTAGTTGTTGTCCGATGAAGAGTCCAACCAAGCACGAAACGACTGCTGTCGCGACATAGAGCAAGACCTTGAGCCAGGGTCCATGCGATCTAGTTCGAGGCTTTTCGTCATGACTCCAATTCTGGGCTTCCTCGTTGTTGAGTAGGCCATAGTTGGCATCAATATCGTTATCTGAGTCGGAGCGCGCCATTTTGTCCTTGGGATACGTAGGAGGTGATCATCAGTGCAAAAGCTCAGATCAAAGAAGATATAATCCGAACAAGCAACGCGACCGAGGCAATCCTGACCGCAACAACAGTCGGGTGGGTGGCAGTGTGACTACTTCCAGGTAAGTACCGTGCATGTCTCAGCCCCAACCAATGGCGGATTGTGGAGTACCAGGCCCCCCGCCGATGTAACCTGGGATTTGATGAGGTGTAAGACACGGGCTGCCCTGCTGGCAGATCCCTTTCGGCTCTGTGCGACCGAACAACGCTTGGCGGTCTCTTTGTCTCACTAGAAAGATATTAATAGCGATCGCATGATGTAATGACTGATCGACGAGGCTTGGCTTGCAGACAAAGGTCACGAGTGTGCGGAGAGCACCCAATCTCGACTTAGCCGAGAACCCAAGAACTGCAAGCTTAAGACATGCAGATGCCTATTCCGGTTGTTCGTGTATTGAGCTTTTGATCTCCCGGGTGACGGTCGCAGGGGTTGCAACGGGAATCAGAGGTGGTGAACATAGAAGCTGGTGCGATTGACTTTGCAGTTCCATGGCTGCATTTACAATAGACGAACTGCTCGGGAGGGTTATTGTTTGCATTATCTCTGGCGACAAAGGCTTGTACAATGTAACACAGCCGTCGATGTAGCTTTCTGCACCGTATCCTGCCGTATCCCTGATTGGAACACTATGACGAGCTTCTATCCACGCCATCCCAGACCGCTGCAGTCATCAGAGACTTGACCAATAAGCGTTGATCCACGACTTGGAGACAGGAGAGTCATTTGCTACTCTCGGGCATAAATGCGAGCTACAGCAAGGAAATAGGAGCAGTGCACTGTCTATAAAGCCTGCTACCCTGGTCTGCCCAGAAGACTTTCTTCATTCCCTACCACAGAGCAACCTCTACCCTTCATCCTAAACTTTATCATCCAGCACAATGCATCTACTTAGCAAAACTGCTGTCCTCCTCCTGGCTCTGAGCGTCAGCGCCAGACCCATCGAGGAGGCTCGCGCCGAGACAACAAAGGCGCCCGCCGGTTATGGAGACTACAAGAACTATGGCTCCTACGGCAAGTACGGCGACTACGGCCATTACAAGCGCGACGAGCCGGCCACCACCACATCCACAAGCACCGAAACAGAAACTCCTGTTCCGGGATACAGCAATTACGGTGATTATGGAAACTATGGCAAATATGGGAACTATGGTCACTACAAGCGTGACGAAGAGCCCACCACCACTACCACCACCGAGACCACGACTCCTTCTCCCAATCCCGCGGGCTACGGAAACTACGGAGACTACGGCAACTACGGCAAGTATGGGAACTATGGAGAGTACAATGTGAAGAGAGACGACGAGCCCACCACCACTACCACCACCACCACCGAGACCCCGACCCCCACTCCCGGCAGCTATGGTGACTATGGTGACTATGGCAACTATGGCAATTACGGCACCTACGAGAACTATTAGATTGTCGTCCACGGAAAAATGTAAGTTCTCTTTGCTGTGATTGGAAATCGCCCATCCTGATGCATTGCAGTTTGAGAAAGGCTCTGAGGAATGATTACCGACGTGGAGAACCGATGTGGCATATCGAGCGACAACTGTGTTGATGATGATAATCATGTTACACACTCCTTAATCTTGATGTTTTGTCTAGATGAATCATAACATACGAGTGTCTCAAACGTTCATTATAACCGATGTACACTGTAAGGAATAGGAACACCCTTACATAGCAATGTGCATCGATGACTGGTAGAGATGAAGGTGAATGTACCCCCTCCCTCAACAGCCCATTAGAAAAGATCGATATTATCCATCCGCGGGAACTAAATCTCCTGGAAATAAAACACGATAGTAGCTTCTATGAATACGCCCATCGACAGATGAGCACCTTGAGCAGGAGAATGGAGGCCAGTGTGGCGTATGGCTCGTGACTCGTGACAATATTGCAATAATGCTCCTTGCATATATATGCAGGGGGCCACACTGATTAACCTACCGAATGCACCGCTGTACTCAACTCATTTCGGATGCACGATCCTGCTGCCGACGCCAGGCTCAGACTCAGCCTCCGGTGCCTGGTCGGTTATGGCACCGGCGCGAAAGATACCAATTCAGCGTATGACGAAGCATTGGAGACCTCACATACTCATTCGTTTGGTACGTAAGACTGAAGGCATAGGTGCAATAGAAACTAGTCATGTTAGTTCAGGGTCCAGGGCAGTCCTCAATTTATGGCTATTTCGCAGTCATTCAAAGAGTCGAAGCAATTGGCTGTCTTCTAGATCTACTTGCATTTTAAATTTAGATGTGAAAAGCTTGATCAAGGCTAAGTAATTGATCTACAGGAGTTTATTTGGGCGATAGTGGCTGGCCTTGTGAAATTGTTGTTACTGAGACTAATTACCGATTTAAACCAGCAGCGTATAAGGACGAGGTCAGAATCGGATGCTCGCTCGTGTGTTCACTTTCTTCGACTACTGTTGTCGCGTGATCATCAGTAAGCATAGCGAAATGTCGGTGCCAAATCACCCATATACTCCAACTCCTCTTCCGGCAATGCCTGCAAGTCAATTGTCCCATTCGCAATGGCCCGATCACGCTTTTTGTTATCGTACAAAGCTGCCAATAAGTAGACGATAGCCATCACAGCGGAGAAACAGAGGAATGACAGACTGATGATGTACCCGTTACGGTAGCGAGGGGCGCCTTTAGCGAGAAAGGAGTAGGTGGAGATAATCCCGCCGACTGCGAAGGTCAGCATGGACTTTGCCCTGTTAAATCAGGACGTACTGTTCCCAACCCCATGCTGCCATCCCGTCCCTACGCTTCGTCGACGATGACCACCCAGATTCATCGAGAACCAGCAGATCAGCACGGGCATGGCACTGTAGCAGCCACCCGCGACGAGAAACAAAGCACCGTATTGTACCTTGTGATGGTCGTGGACGTTGAGGAGGATCCCAAAACCAGCCATGGCGATGAGCATCGGGATGATAGCAAAGATGAACCGGTGCCGCAATTTGTCAGACAAAAAGGCGATGAGCATGGAGATGAAAAACGCCGCGGCCCAGGGCGGGATGGAGTAGAGCTGTGTTTTGATGACTGAAAGGTCAGTTGAATCTAACCGATAGGAGACATGATCGTACCGTCGTTGCCGTAGGTTTTGATGATCGAAGGAGCAAAATAGGCATACGCTGCTGTCGTCAGTATCTCACCATGAGCAAAGAGTATACACCCGTACCATAAGCCGTGACGCCCTGTCCAAGATACATCGGTCCGCCGATAAAAACCTTGTCTGCTCTGCGTTAGCGATTATCCGTCATGGCGAAGAAAGCATGCTTGCAATCTTTGAAAAAAGCCAGAACATCGCGCCATCCAATGCGCGCGTGTCTGGCAGCTTTGCCCACATCGTCCGCCAGCTTGGAAAGTATGAACAGCCTCTCTTGCTCGCTGAGCCACTTTGCGTCCTCAGGAAATCCTGGGACGATGAAGAAACAGGTCATCGCAACGAGGCAGGTGATCACGCCCTCGATGATAAACACCCAGCGCCAGCCGCGATAGCCACACAGTCCGTCCATTTTCCCGATTCCGCTTGCAAGCAACCCGCCAAACGCACCGGCGATAGTTGATGAGTTGAAGAACAAGCTAAATCGCTTCTGCGCTTCGCTGCGTTTATACCACATGCCAATAAGGTAGTAGCCTGTCCGGGTTAGCAGGTTTCGGGCGCAGGAGGACGAGCTCTAACATCCAGGAGACAAGCCCGATTCAAGCATGCCGAGGAACCAGCGAGTCGTCATTAATCCGCCCCAGTTTGACACAAGGCCTTGACAGACCGTGACCAGACCAAAGCCGAACATGCAAAATGGCACTGCATCTGTAGTCAGTATGTTATTCCTATTTGTGGACACAAACAAGCATACACCACACATGCGGCTTCAATTTCTTCAGAAGGATATTCGACGGAATTTCAAAGATAATGTAAGGCACGAAGAAGATGGTCAAGGCAGTGTTGTATTTCGTGCCTGTTTGAATGTGCAAGTCTTCCTTCAAACCCAAAACCACCGCATTGCCGATGTTAATACTGCAAGATTGGTGAGCATCAGTTATTGCGACATGAGAAGTTGACCCTACCGATCTAGGAATGCCAGCAGAAACATGACACACAAACATGGAAGGACATGCCAGTCAATCTTGGCCATCAACTTTCGCTCGTTGATGGTTGTTGGCGACTGCCCGAGCGATCCTTCTTTGCCCTTCGCGCCAGATTCTTGGTCTGATGCAGTTGTTAGCCTTCTGGAACCTGGTGCCATGGACCACGCGACTGACTGGCTACTTTCATAGCTGACACGCCATAACTCGCGATGATCTTTGAGTTCTAAAGTCACTCGGGGCGATTTGCAAAACTAAAAGTGTGCTTTGCTTTTTCACATCACCGACGTCAGGGGACTGATGATTCATCCTAGGGAAGATAACCATTCTGGCCGGTTGCGGTCGAACTGAACTCTCCATAACTCTAATTTAACTAATTAGATAGCTAGATTCCTATTATGACTTAAGTCTACTAAATTCCATCGAATTCACAAAGTTCTACAGCGTTATTGCTAGTTTCGCATTTCACTGCTGTATATATATACAAATGCTAATTTGACTAGAGTCGAAGAATCAGTCCTTCCTACCTGTCCCTTCTATATGTATGCCTTTTCCCTATGATTATGATTAATTCTACGCGAGATTCCACTACAGCGACGTCTCGAAAACATACTCAAGGCTGAATAGCCTCACAGCAGGCTCTCAGTGCAGCGCTAATGATCCATMAAAGAAATTTTCCTACTCTTCCGAGGATGTACTAGGTCGCTGGACGGAGACAGAGCTCAGACAGCCAGTCTGCTGTTTGATCTACTTCTACGGGTTTGGCCATACATCGGGTTGTGACCGCAGCAAAGAATCCAGAGCCAAAAGTGAGAGTCGCGGCCCATTGCTAGGGATTTCCGATATATAGTCATTTCGCTTCTTGCTCCGCCCCCGCATCCATGTATATCCGCGCGGACGACTGCTTAGACCCTGAACAGATGAGTATTGCAGTCAGCAGTGCTGCAAGCCTAGTCATCTCGCGTGTGCTAAACCTCGGAATTGCTCCGCGTGAGTGGAGAATCTAGAGCGGCCATAACCGACGATCTTCTTGGCCATATTTACAAAAGGCGACAACTCGTATCTGCGATGGTCAAGACGTAAAATTTTTTCGTATCCGTGGGCACTGTTCAGTTGCCGAACTCCACAATGGCCGACCAAAAACCATTTCGCGATCATGATGGAGATCCTGAGGCCAAGAAGGAGCTCGCCGATGAGGAGGTTATTTTGGACGAGGAGACATTGAAGCTCGACCGACAGACACTTGTCCGGCTGGATCTCTTGCTTATGCCCATGACCCTGATGCTATACCTGCTGGCTTGGTTAGATCGTGCAAATGTGGGCAACGCACGAGTGGTAAGTCATCCACCAATTTGACGTCGACGCAGACTGTTGCTAAAGAAGACCATAGGCTGGTTTGGAAAAGGACCTCCATTTGACCGATTTGCAGTACAAAACAGGTACATTTTGTCAACCATCCTTAATTGCTGATACTGACTGCTCAGCTATTACCGTCACTTATGTCCCCTATGTCCTGTCTGAACTTCCCTCCAACCTCTTGCTGAAGATCATCGGGCCCCGTATCCTCCTGCCCACTCTATGCACACTCTGGGGGGTCGTGACAACTCTCCAGTCTCAAGTGCACAACTACTCCGGGTTCCTCGCATGTCGGTTCTTCCTGGGCTTGCTGGAAGGAGGGCTCTTCCCGGGCATCGTCCTCTTCTTGTCCAACTTCTACCGGCGTCACGAACTTCAGGTTCGCATCGCCCTCTTCTTCTCCGCCGCTTCGCTGAGCGGCGCATTCTCCGGCCTTCTCGCCGCCGCAATCCAGCAGATGAGTGGTGTTCGCGGTATGAAGGGCTGGCAGTGGATCTTCCTGCTTGAAGGCTTATTCACCGTCTGCTTTGGTATTTTCTCGTTCCTCGTGCTTCCCAACGGCCCAGAGAAAGTCATCACCTTTCGCCCTGAGCACTCGCAGCGCTGCATCGCCCGCCTGCAGCAAGACAGCAACAACTTCGAAACTGAATCCAAAGTCACATTCAAGGGTGTCATCTCCGTCCTGAAGGATCTCCACGTCTGGATCGCATGTCTCATCCTCTTCTGCAACGGGGCATGCCTCTTCGGACTCGCATATTTCTCGCCATCCATCGTCCAGGCGCTTGGATACAGCCCTACAAAAACGCAGCTGATGACCGTCCCACCTTATGCCTCCGGGTTCATCGTGACAATGCTGACAGCGTACTTTTCCGACCGGCGCCAGCAGCGCGGCGCCGGGGCCTTCGTCACGAGTGGCCTCGCGCTTACTGGCGCCGCGCTGGCCATCAACGGACGTAGCGTGGGCATCCGCTACGCTGCGCTCATGCTTCTCGTGACGGGCGTGTATGCCTGCGCGCCTTGCCTGATTAGCTGGGTTCCGAACAACACGGCCGGCCACCTGCGGCGCGCGACGGCGGTGGCGATGGCGTTCATCGCGACGAATATGGGCGGCATCATGAGTACATGGATCTATCCCAAGGAATCGGCGCCGTACTTCAACCTGGGGATCCGCTTCAATCTTGCGTTGCTGGTAATTGCAATGGTGCTGKCTGTGGTGCAGGTGCTCTTGTTGCGGTTTTTGAATCGGAGGAAGGAGAGAGATCCGTTGAGAGCGCTCCAGGGGCTTGAGGATCTGCCGTATGAGGAGCAGTTTGCCAAGCTAGGGGACAGACACCCGAGATATAAGTATACTTACTAGTACGCTAAGGCCCCTGAAGCTCTGGTATATTAGACTAGCATACCCCTGGATGATACCCTGGGTGTAGTGTAGCCAGATGCTGCAGCCAGGTATCTAGGTCACAGGGGGCTTTACTGGTACTTTAAAAATGAGCCTAGGTATATTGCAGCTTGTGGACAAAGTAAACCATACTTACGCGGTTGAGATACTAGTCGAGCATCTTGACTAGAGTTTCCTAGGATTCATCCCTATCAGTCTGCATTATTCACATGATATCCCTCATCAATAAGGTTTGCCCAACAGTTTTGCCAAAGGCAAGAGAGAGACGCCGGTGCTTCCGTAGAAGTTATTAAACGCCTACGCAGACGTAATAATCCACCCAGAGATTGCTGCAGGTCGCGTCAATCTGCGTGTTCCAGGAGCGGAACTGATCGAAACCGAAACCCGCAGCTATTTCCATCGTGTAGCAGGTATCGCCCGACTTGACCTGGTAAAACTTGGCGCAGTTGCTTACGATGCCGGGCATCTGGGGCTCAGGGCCAGTGGGCGTGGGCTCCGTCGTCGTGGCGCCTGGGACGTGCACGCAAACGTAGTAGCCCAGCCAGAGGTTGGAGCATTCTGTCGTCATGACGGGTTAGGAGGATTTGTTAGGCAAGGGGGGCTCTTGATCAAACATACGGGGCTTAATACTGGGATTCCAGGCCATGAATTGGGCTTCGGTGATGCCGTACTTGGCCTCGATGGTATAGCACTGATCCTGATCGCCGGGCGCGACGAGATGGAACTTGTCACAGTTGGCTACTAGACCCGGTTGGGTGGGCTGGTAGGGGGACGACGACGTGGTGGTTGTGGAGGTCGTGGTCTTCAGCGTAGTAGAGGTTGTCGTCGGGGGCGCTGGGTCGTTCGAGACGGTGCCAAGGAGACAGTAGCTCTGACCGGGAGTGAGATTGGGACACGAGACACCAGGGTTCAACGCTTCGAAAATCTTGACGGTCTGACCCCAGGCCGAAGTGAAGGACTGGCAAGTGTCACCATTGTTGGCCGCCGCGGAGAAGTTGCAGACCACGCTGGCAGACAGCAGCTGGGGGAGCAGTCCCAGGAGGACAGCAGTCTTGTAACCCATGTTTTCAAGATCCAGAGAAGTGGGGGGGGGTGGGTAGTAGAGAGAAAAGGGAAGTTGGACTGTTGATCTAGTCCATGGAGTATACAGTCACTGGCCTCCTTTTATACCTACCTATACCTCCACGTGCTCCTGTAGGCCTTTTCAGTCACGTAACCGATGCATTGAACCACCGGCTATTCGAGTTCAACATTTTTGTATATTGGATGTTGTTGAAGCAGCGTCAGCACTAGCTGGGCTATTTGAGGCCCCTAAGACCCTAGTGCCTATTATAGTACGTTTATACAGTAGTCCAGGTCTGTCGGTGCCGGACATCCGTGCCCAAAGGGTCAGGAACTGCTTACATTAGCTTACTATACTAGCAAAGCAGCTATGGACGACTTTAAGCCTACCGCCGCCTGTAGCAGCCAAACAGACACTACCAGAGGCGGAGCAAGTGCCTGTCTCTCAAATTAGAGTAAGATAATTTTTTCATGGTGACTTTCATGGTGACTTTCATGGTGGCATCTGGCCAGTCTTAGCTTCTGCCAAGAGTCCCCAAAATTGCGCCGAGATGGGGTTCTACACGCGGAGTCCTCCATAGGAGATGAAGCTGATAGCAAATCCATTTCAAATACAACTAATCAACTAGCGTACGAGATTAAGCCCACCAGGAACCGGGGCTTGCTTGTCCCGGGCCTGGGAAAGAACAAATGGGTCATAAGGAGAGAATATGCACAAGTCATGTAAGAGTGTAAGCAAGCCATCCAAAAACCACTAGCAACCATGCTCCACCAACCGCTAATTGCGCTCCAGAGACTGCATTTTTGGCAGCCAGGCAGCTCACCTAGGGAGATGGGACAGTGTATGCATAGGAGGTTAGAGCAGCTGAGATACTCAATACAGCCGTTAGGTTAATCTTGACCTTGCAAGGGCTGGGGGTGGGTGTTGTAGAGGGGATAACTATATAAGAGGGTGCACCACTGTAGCTTTTTTCAGCTAGGATGCTTAGAAGATTGGTTATATTCTAGGCTTGACATAGCGAGTGAGCGCAAGTGTCATCGTCCGTCGCAGCGACGAGATCCGGCTGTGACGTGCTGTTCTTGGTGGTGAAGTAGAGTGAATGGTGTATACTATTGCAGGTGAAGGCCACGCCATCTGTCCGTGCGTCTTGGGAGCAGTTGCTGTATTCAATGGTCCAGGCAAACTGGAAGACTCCCTCAGTGTCCAGATGACTGGTGCTCTCATACAGGAAGTACGGGTCGCTGCTGGAGTAATTGATGGACGACAGATCAAGGTCCGAGGTATTGATGCTATCATTGGCACCGACCCCGCGCTGCTCGATATTCCATGAGAGAACCGGGTTCAGGCTCTGCACGAGGCTCGGGTTTTGGATAGCAAATACGATGGGTGTCAGCTTCGAGGGGGCAAAGGTGTCGTTGCGCGGAAAGATCAAGTCCACTTCCACGACCCCTGGAGCGCTGGAAGCAGCCAAGAGCGACGAAGGAAGCCCATGGCTGATGTTAGGGTGGTGAAGAATTGCAAGAGAGACGAGTTGATGGGGGGCTGGATGTCCTCGTTCTTAACATTTTGTATCGCCTAATTTTGGAAGTTAGGCCCCCTGGCTCGCACCAGTCCAGATAGTCGGCTATAGGCAGTTCTTGGCAATCAGGCGTCCACTCTCAGTATCGACTAGTACTCGACATGACTCGACAGTATTCGGCTACTGCAAGAACTGTCACATCGTGGATGCATCACAAGCACTCCGCCCAGCAAGACAAGCAAGCGAAGCTCTCCGCTCAGTGGCTTGGTCCAACGTGCCTTTGCTTGATCCCTACACTAGGCCAAACGCAGCCCCAAGGTAGGTGATCTGATTACCTACCCACCTGGGATTATTTAGTTAGCTTGGGCTGGTCTGATCCAATCACGATTGGTCAAAGTATGGACCTGAAATTGCCCACGAGAGGAAATGAGAAGACATACTTGTGTAGGTATCAGATGGCTCTCTACTGGCGAAGGAGACAATACAAAAGCCGCGACAAAACCGCTCTGAAAGGATGAGAAGCATTCATTCTTGCTTTTTATTCATTGTCAGTCGTTTATTCCTCATCACACTCCTTTAGACTTTCTTTTTCCTTTCCTTGTTAGGGGCGTTGCCCAAACACAATGACCCCCTTCTGGCTCGGTAGGGCCATAGGGGCTATAGGCCTCTTGCTGTCTGTCGACAGTGCCTCTGCGACGCCAGGAACGCCAGGGTTCAGAAAGCTCGCCAGTCCTGGCTACCGCGGTAGAGACGCATGTCCCGTGGCTTGCAACATCGCAGGACCTAATCCAGACCTTGTTCTATGAGTTCTCTTTGTACGATCAAGTGGATGATCCAGACACTCTTCATCGCATCTATGCTTGTACCTCCTATGGCGCAGACTGGTGCAACCTCCCACAGTCGAAAGGAAAGACTGCGGCTGCTGTCCTGTCTGTGAACTTGACCTATGATTTGGGCTGGTGGGCCTATGGCGCACTCGCTGCCACCGATATCAGCACCATATCCAAGCAGATGCGCCGTACCTGGAGAGTGAGCAAGCCGCGACCAAGAGCAACACGATCCTGTTTGCCCGGTCCGGCTCAGCCTCAGTCTCTACATTACTTAAGCTTGATATATAGCAAGCCCTATTCCTTGATCCACTTTAAGGATATCTCTGGGCCATGATTTTCCACTGCAACAAGCAAACCTATAATTAGTAATGCATCAAACGACCTCACTGCTAAAATATACCTAGCAATAACAGACATATATCAAGGTGCATTAAACTTTACTAAACATCGGAATAAACGTCTCAGCATCAAGACAATATACGCATGCAACACAAGTCCACTCATCATTTAGTTTCTGGTATGCACCAGCTTTCCCTGAACCCACACATTCTTCACATTCCGATCGTCACCACTCCACATCCACTTCTGAATCTGCTCCTGCCAAGTCTCATTTCCGAACAAATTAACATTGCCCACAGGGCCAGACTTGACAATGATCCGACCAGCGGAACCATTCACACCTGCCGCATCAAACGGGCTCTCAGTGCTATTCTTCACAGCACCCAGCTCAATAAGCTGCGCGTCCCAAATCATCCCCTTATCGAAGCCGCCAATGTCATCTGCCATGTCGACGACTGCTGCACCGCCGCGGGTGGCTAGATAGAGACTATCCTCGACAGAAAGCTTCTCATGTCCAGTCGACGATGAGTTACCTGTCATCGCTTGGAATTCGGTGCTGTATCCTAGCAATCTAGACACCAGGCAAGCCTGTCGGGCCGCTTCAAGCATGCTGGGGCTGTACCCGCCACTCACATCMGTGCCCAGACCAACCGTGAGGCCTTCGTCGAGCATGATGCGGACAGGAGCAAGTCCAGAGCCGAGGGCGGAGTTTGACGCTGGGCAGTGCGATACCTTGGAGCCACGCTCGCGGATGAGAGTGCGCTCGTCGTGGGTGAGGTGCACCCCGTGCGCGAGGATGGTGCGGGAGGTAAGCAGGTGAGCCTTGTCGTAGACATCGGCGTAGCTGGTTGCCTCCGGGAACAGTTGGTGGACGAGGTCGACCTCCTCGGTGGTCTCGGAGATATGTGTTTGGATGTGGAGCGGCGGGTTGTAGGATGCGGCCAGTTTGCCGAGGCCATCGAGGGAGTGGATCGAGCAGCTTGGGGCGAATCTGGGAGTGATGATGGGGTTGATCAACGCTCCTTTCGGGTCAAGGGCCCGGATGTAATCAATTGTCGACATTGTTGCGTTCAAGCCCTCGTCGGCGGATTGGTCTACATAATACGGCGGGCATTGATCGCGGTTGTCCATGCAGACGCGGCCGATGAAGGCGCGTTGGCCGCGGGAGTGGCAGATTGCAGCCAGGGCGTTGGTGGCCGGGACATGGATGGTGGCGAAGTAAGATGCGCATGTTGTGCCATGGGCAAGAGTGCGTGCGACCACTTGATCATAAACGCGCAGGGCCTCGGAGGGCGCGTCTTTGGGATCAGTCTTTTGGTTGTTTGGGTCTGACTTGGAGCCGAAGCTAGCTTCTAGCGGGAAGGTGTATTCATTCAGCCAATCCAAGAGGCCTGCTGATCCGAACAGCCCAATGTTGGGGAACTGCGGCGCGTGGATGTGGGTGTCTTTACGGTCAGTACTTGTAGATGGTCAACGAAGTAGATAGGACATACCGATGAATCCGGGAAAGAAGAACTCGTTTCGTTCATCGACTGACTCCACAACTTTGACTTTGGTGGATGCATTGGCATTGTCATTGGCTGTGACATCGGCGTCTGTCCATCCGTGGCGAGATAGGAAGGACTGGAAGCTGAAATCGTCACGAACTTGCCAATCATAGCCCTTTATACGGCCATCTTCAGAAGAGACCCAGAGGGCACCTTGTTTTCGGACCAGTTCTGGCTTCGCCGAACTCGAATTAAGCCGGGCGAGATGAATAAATGTACCGCGATAGACGGTGTATGGGTATGCGGTGGCATTTGCCCCGGTGCCGCAAGCATTAAGCAACGCAAGCAACCACCATAATGCAGGCAACACAGAAAAACTGGCAACTTTCAGAATCATAACGAAAACAGGTGCAGATGGATGCTCACTGTTTGGATCAGTCCACCATCCCGAGGACAGCGTAGATTGATATATCCTGAGCGATGCTGCAGAAATGAACGGTCAGGATGAGCAACACGCCTAGCAATTTCACCGTGGAGTGTGAAGGTGCACCTGCTGGATTCGAAGGCGGTCTTCGCCGCAGCAGCAGCGTCTGGCAGTCTGAGTTCAGGTAAGGACCTGATTGTTCGCGAGTGTTTTGAGCTCGGTGTTCGGCCGTTTCCGACAGATTGCTCGTATTAGGGACATATCAGAAAGAAAAACAGGTAAATGATGCGGGAGTGTGTGTCACGAGTCCAGATGTACGGTAAGCTGATCATTGGTAAGAGGCGCTCTAATAAGCGGTCGCGTTCAAGTATGCGCATTTGTACAAAGTATGGCATGGAGATGATAAGTTAACTACGCAGATGGTGTTTCTGTGCTGGTGAACAATGTACCCGATATGATAACTTAAATCGAGCATTCGAGGTTGGGACTACTTGCGAGCGTAAACTTGCAAAGCTTCTCGATACCACGAGCCAGGAGTCCTCTTGTGGAGAACGAGTGAACTAGAAACTAAGGTCGACAAAAACGCCGGCACATGTCCTGATATTGGGAGATATCGGACAAAGCCGAAGCCTTAACTTGCAAATCCTTTCCCTTTGAAGTAAGTGAGTGCTATCCTTCGACGCACGATCCCTCTTCCCCCACCGACCCAAACAACCAATTCTAGCAAAGAAAGTGGTTTGAGGGGACTTTGCACGAGGGTCCTTTCTAGGGAGCCCGGGTCACATTGCGTTCATCGAAGTCACGAGAGGAAGCATATATTACTTTCAATCATTTATGCCGAGAGAATATATATTAGTTTAGGTTTCCCTGTACCGTTATGCAAATGCAAGGCATAGTCTGTTACCCTTCCACTTGGTTCCTTACTATATGGACATGTAATATGCATTTCTGATGACGCAGGGATCAAATTTTAGCAGTACATATTTGAACACTACTACATATAGATCTAGTATTCACATCTAGTTATTAAATATAATATAATTAAAGATCGATTTAGATTAGTTACTTTCTGTCCTACGTCCTCATACAACCCCTTCCAATCCCCATATCCAGATTCCTTGCTGACTCCATAGTCAACGTACCCTTCGCTCGACATCGGCAGGTAAAAGATGTATCCTGATTGTACGTCGACGTCGGATACTGAACGCCATGAATCGGAGATATTTCAAGGGAACAGGATATCCCAGATTGGCCTATCGGATCAAATACTGGGCGAGAGCTTTCCCTTCCGCCGGTGTTAGATACTGTTGGCTTTTCGCCTTGTCTTGTATGGAGCGCCGTCCGTGGGACACGGTAGCGTAAGCGACATCGCCATGTCTTGCAGCCATCTCCACGCGGGAAAAGTTGAACTAATTACTAGATCAGGCGGATTGTTATGGTTCCATTAGGTTGCCTTATTTAATTTACTTAATTTAAAACCACTAGCTACATGACTCATTTTATTAGTTTGTAAGAAACTAAAAGGGACTCTTAAAGCCTAGAAGGCTTCTAGGTTATTAATAGTTAATGGACTTAGATTAGGCAACCTTGCTTTAAAAGTTGGACGCCTGAAAAAATTCTCTGAGACTAGCCTTGACAAAGGCCTTGCCATTGGGCTCCTTGTCCCATGATGTCACGTCAATCCGCAATACTAACCTGCTTAGCTGTAGCTCTAGCCCTCAGCCTTCGCTCAGCCTTCGGTGATTATCCGCTGCTAGCCTACTGCACCTTATAGTCGGACTCACAAGCACGTACGTACATTTAAAAAGAAAAAAGGTTTGCCAGCTTGAACATCTACGTATTAAGTATAACTTTCACTGTTGATAAGGATCGGTAACGTTACCCCTATCTTGCTTGATCCGGCTTGTTTTAACTTGGTCTGAGGCTTTTCTGAGCCAGTCTACCGCCCAACATTCCGACATGGCAGACAACAACATCCGAGACCGCTTGAGGTCGCTGGCCTTCGACCTTGGCGAGGCCAGGGATGCTCTTCGCGGCAAAGCTGTCCCAGTGGCTCTTGGACGCAGAATTACGCGACTTTGCGTCATCCGTGGCATTCGATACCACGAGCAGTTCGCCGAGCATCCAGACCTAGAACAGCTCAGGCAATATGTGCCAGAAGTCTCCCGTGCTTTAAACGCTCGCGCGATCATGAGCAACAAGATCCCCTCTATGCCTGAAGCGCGAGATAGACCCTACTGCATCTGGCACCCTCAGGTGGCATCGCAAGACACCTACAGGAAGCTGTGGCAGCAGTATCCTGACATGTCGTACCAGATTGCTCGCGCGTGCGCCGTAGCCAACTATGTGGAACTGTATCTCGAGATGCATCTGTTACCTGATGTCTCTGTTGCCGAGGAAGCCCGCGCTAGTGGATCCATGGAAATCTATGAAGCCATCATGCGAAATCCTGTTCGATATCGCATCATGAATGATTACACCAGAGAGATTACGATGCAGAATCCACAGCCTGCATGTTTGAACGACGATACAGCCATCGTATCCACTCTAGATATTAAACAAGGCATCCGAAAACCCCGAGGTAGAGAGATAGAACCTATCATTGAAGGAGCAACCATTGAAGAGTCCCAAGATGCCGACGATATGTTTGATGACGAGTACTATCTTAACCCCTTTCCTGGGTTTGATGAAAAGATGTTCAACATTACAGAGGACATGAACGTGGGCGAGGTGAATTCAGAAGAACCACAGCTGAATTACCTACCTGAACTGCTCTCTGAACCTCTCCCCGTTGATTTGCCACAGGGCAACAAGGACGTTTTGATCCTGATGGCGGCCTATTATGGGAACATCGAAAGATATGCAAGACTGCGTCGTCCTCGCATGATTGAAGGGGAGCCAGGGTGCCTCGTGCGTGGGATCTATCACAACTCTATGTTCGCCCTCTGGTGTAGGACCCAAACTATACCAGACTGGCCGGCCAGCTCGCATGCCGCGAGCGCGATACATGCTCGGATGATTATGAACAATGACTTGAGTCGTATCATTGATCTGGACACGAGGCAACCCTATAAAGAATTTCTTGCCCACATGCCATACCTAATCTGGTTCCCTAATCCAGCTGCTCACAATACATACAAGACTCTAGCGAGCACAGTGGCTGAGATGAGGCCGTCAGTCTTACACGCAGCGGTCTATACAGAGGATAAAGATCTCTTCGACTGGATGCTGGACGACCTCGGCGTGGCCCCGACCCCCCCTGCTTTTCAGGAAGCCAGGGTTCGAAACAGGGGAAGGGGAGACGCTCCTTCCTACTTCGTGCGCCGTCTAGAGGCTTGCAGTCAAGAACTAGGGATAGATCTTGCCGCTCCGGTTGAAAGTTTCAAAATGTACTCGGCGAAACCGCGGCGGAGTAGTACATGGTTGGCGAAGGAGCTGACACCGGGGGAAGTTCATAGCTCGGTGGAGGATTGGGGATTTTATGATGGATACATAGTAGATGCTTCCCAAGTGGAGTTGTTTGCATCAGCACCTGAATCTTGGCGGCCAGACTCATGGAAAGTTGAACTAGACTATGAGGACTGGCCGAAAAGGGGAAACACTGACGAGTAGCTTAGACGCATTAAGTTCCTAGTAATTGAGAGTTTCAGAGCTACTTTGCGAGTCACCTCTACAATGGGCCTAGACATAGTTTGCGTCTTAAAAGGTGCGGTTGTCGGTTGCGCCGTTGCGCGTCCGATGCCTTGGAAATGGAGATGTACTGAAGCATAGGCGAATGGTAGAGGAGAGGGAGGAAGACGCAAGCAAGATTGTCCAACACCGAATAGGATACGGATGCAGACATTGAGAGATCTGCTGATCGACATCAAAGAAGCTGATGTGGAAGTGGTAGGAGGAAGCCTGGTTGAGGTCACCAAAACAGATGAGGATGACGGTTACGGGACTCCTTACGGGGAAATGGCACAAATTTTCATGTCATTATGGCTCTAAACCATGGCTATTATCTTACAAAGCACAACCATTGCGAAGGACTTGCTCAGCGACAACAACCCATAGCTGTCCCGACGCTAGTTCTCACACATCCTATTGCTGACCGGGCGGCCAACACAGTGACAAATGGACGGCAAAGAAGCAGGACGAGTTCCCCAACTACATGGGCCAATATATCTCCGCCTGGGGCAACATTACCGAGAAGTCGCTGTCAACGTTATTCGACGGCTCCGACGACTCGCTCAACCGGCTGACAGACCTGATCTCAGACGGCAAGCTCATCGAAGGCAAGGGGATGGCACCACTCGGCCCACATGCTCCGGGAGAGAGCGCGAGCGCACTACGAGCGAACATCAGCAAAGCGTTCTTTAGATTCGCCGTCCCGTCCATCTAGACCGTTTCAGGCACGTACGGGTTCGTCATTGATTCGGGCTACGAGTGCGGCACCATCGACCCGATGGGCGATTACCTGGACGAGGACACGATGCACGCGATGGGAGGCTACTACGGCGGGAATCTCTATTACCTTCCCAGTCTGAAGGGAGATGGGTCGACCTGCACTGAGGGAGGGTGCATTGATAACAAGTTCTCTGCCCCGCCGGGCGTCGACTCCCAGGACGGAAAGGACTTTGGAGGTGTCACCGTTGCCGATATCACCAAGGGGTGAGTTCCACTTCCCAGCTTGGTTGACCGGGGATAAACTGACTACTGACCCATTAGATCAGTCCGTACATACCAGCAGAACGGCAACAGAACGACGGCGGCGTGGCCGACCCCAGCAACAGTGGGACACTAGAGGACCTCCACCACAGGACGTCACGACCCCAGGCTTCATCCGCCTGCCAGTGTGTAGCGCCGACTTCGCCTTCAAGGCCTGGGATCAGTCCGGAGGCCCCTACACCAATGTGGCCAACTACCCCTGTCTCCCGCACCAGGTACCAGACCACTGCGGCGACTCGGTGTTTGTCAACCTGACCAGCGACGCGTCCCTGAGCGTGTCGGACTGCATGCAGATCGTGAAGAACATCCAGAACACGGATGGCGATTGGGAGGTCAGAACGCGATCGGCAATCAGCACCACCTCGTGCAGTTCGGCTCGTGCGCCTTTGGGGTCCAGGGCCAGGGGAAGAAAGGCAACATCGACTTCAACGTTGGTGCTCAGGACATTGTTGATGTCACTACTGACTCTGTCAGGCAGTTTGGCGGGTCTGGAAAGGTAGGTGCTAAGGGGGTGATGTCTTGCGATGGAACAGTCATGGTCCAGCAGGTCGAATGGGGGCTATATTAGCTGTAGGATGTGCTTGTACACTTCTAGCGGTATAATAGGAGAACTCAGCAGCTCAGTTTGTCTCTTCACCCTTGTGGATATATCAAAGTCCCTTTGTTGTTATGTCACCTGCCACATCTAGTCCAGTGCCCAACCAATCATTACTCAATATTCGAAAACACGGTTGACTAGCCGAATGAGATCTACAACAATGGCCTTTAGACTTAGTATCCGAATGTGAATGTTAGCGACACGATCCGACACGTGGGGCAAGTTACCCATTCATTTGCCAAGAGCGGGAAGGGGGAGGCCGCTCACTGTGGAATGTGGGAGAACACGGGATATACCTCTATTGATATTTGCACTCTATGGTCATCACTCATATTTATCAACAATGATATTGCATGCGACTGGGAACGTATTACAATGATATAAATGCTTACGGTAGTCTAGATTACAACCATGGGGTAAAGCGCGCATTCGAGCAAATTGTGACTAAGACAGGATGCGGGTGATGTCATTCTGCACCCTCTAGATGCTTGCAGTAAAAGGTTTTTTAGTACTAGCAATGATCATACAACACGACGGGCCGAGTCATGAGCCTTTGGGCCGGAAATGTCGGAAGTACAAGTTCTCTTCAGGGTCTGAATAAATGCGGGCTGGACATCTGCATTCCCGTCCAGCCCGCTCAGGCCGACTCACTCCTAGAAGAATTGGACCACCACATCAGAAAATCGCCATGGAAGTGATCCTACCAAGATGGCTACCCCTATCAATATACGCTTGGTTTGTTCAGGAGGTTGCCTTTCATGCCGCCGGACTTGTCTTCGAATGGTGCGACCGCACCACTAGCATGCCCCATCTGAAGGTCCGCGATGTCGACCGCAAGCCGTACATGCAGATGCTGCCACGAGTGTTGTTCAACCAGTGTTTCATTCTGCTTCCAAGCATGATGCTCGTACAGGCAATGGGCTACTGTTTCGTGGGGCCAACGCACCTGCATCCCCTACACTTTCTTCTGTCGCTCCCGGCCATGGCCGTCGGTCATGACGTGGTGCAATATCTCACTCATCGGTATCTGCTTCATAATCCGAACCTACGACTTATGCGCCTTCTGCAGCACTCGCTGCATCACTCAACAGGAGCCAGTCGGGGAATCAGCGCATGCTACATGTCCGCCCCGGACTTCTTTCTCGAGATTGTTCTGCCGTATCTTGTCCCTCTGGCGCTGGTAGGAGGCGGCGGCGCAGATGTTCTCTTCCATTCTCTTGTCGCGGGTACGGGAGCTATAGGTGGTGTGTACGAGCACTCGGGGTACGATTTTTCTGCAGTGTTCTCACCAAAGAGCTTCATGGGAGGGAAAGGACAGTTGTCGAGCTGGACTCCAGATGTTGCAGCCTTGATCCGGGATTTTGTGGATAATCGTGCTCACGGCGAGCATCATTCTCGTGCAAATGTTTCGTTCTCGGATGGATTTGGTAGTCCAGGGATATGCGACAGCTTGTTTGGCACGCGGTGGGATCTGGTGGCTGCGCGTCGGGCAAGAGGAGGAGTGGCAGGCTCAACGGAGGAGCCACATGAACGCGAAATGAAGGGAGTCTGCTTCCCATCTCACCAGCTTTTTTAATACAGCACTGGCCATGCGGTGTGGCCTCTGCTGCTTCTTACACACTTCCTGATGGACCTAATGATCTCAGCACATGTGAATCTCACGATATCCTAATGTCCTATACATGTTTTTATCCTATTAGCACAAATTCCTGGAAACACGAGAGGCGTATCATTGTCTGACTTCCAGTATACCGGCGTCTCCTCAGCCTTGTAGACTTTCATTGTCGAGCATTATCTCAATTCGAACCGAGCCGCTAAATGTGCTCAAGGCAACTATGTACTGTCGCTGAAACAGACAGGCCCTTACGGGTCTAAGCGACGAACACAGTGGCTGACTTGCCAAAATCCTGGTGAGGATAGAGAGTAGTGAGCTTGAGGAAGCTATCAAAGACAAGCAGAAACCCATCGATGCTCTCTACTCTTCCCGGGAGACAAGGTTTGTCCCAGTGGTAACGAAATAATCGACGACAACAGCCCCGAACTGGCCATCAGCAACAATCATGGCTGCTTACGCGCAGCCTCACTTTGTCCAGCGTGGTTTCAATATGCGCCGCGAGAACTTTCGGTTACATCAAGCTCATATGCAAGATCTTGTTGGACCAAGAGAAAAGTACGAATCTCTTCCAAAAAGAAGACATAACGCGGACACGCCGCAAATCTCATCCACTCTGTCTGAAGAATCAGTATTGCGCGCAAGCCATCACAACAGCCGATGGCAATTCGCAACACGGAAGTTGGCCTGTTTCATACTCAGACTGGCTCTACCTATGAATGTAGAATTATGGCGTAATCGTCCTGCACTGCCTCGCAATGGGACCTCGGCTCTTCAACGATCCGAATGCGGGGAAGCTTCTTCGCTTAGCGTTCTCCAGCGGTCTCCTGCGATACATTCCCACTTTTACCATTTAGTTATATCCATGGAGCAATCTACGAGAATCCGCAAAAGAATCCCCAAATCCTGTCGTCGCTGCCATCGACGGAAACAACGATGTGTCGGGTTCCCCACCTGCGCCAATTGCACCGCAGCAAATCAGCCATGTCAACGGTCGGAGACGTCTCCATCTTGGCACCATGGCATGTCCAAGGGTGCATTGGCGCAGCGCATTGAGATGCTGGAGGCACAGCTCTCTGACATCACGGAAAGAACGCCATCTGCCAGTGGAGACCCCCCTGTAAACTCGCCAGTTGCACTACAGGCTGCCCAAGAGGAACGTCAGCCGCTCACAAACGGCCGAGTCTCGGCGTACTTTGGGCCTTCATCCGGCGTGACCATCACCGAGAATCTGAGTCGGATAGTAGAGGACGCTGCTTGGACAGATAAATCGATTCCGATCAGTGACGCAGATCAACAGGAACAACGGTCGCCTGCCACTACAGTTGGGCAAGGCGACGTTGTGCCACCTGACGATGTGGTTGGGATGCAACTCCTCGAGGGATACTTTAGCAATATGCACATGCGATTGCCATTCGTCGACCGCGCGGAAATTCTCCAGCTACACGCTAGACGATCCGATTCGCATGACTTAAGCCCGCAAGAGCGATACGGAATGTTCAAGCTGTTCATGGTGTATGCCATTGGAGCTGCGATGCTACAGGTGACTGAAAGACGCGACTCGACTCCCCCCAGTGCATTTTTTGAAAATGCAATACAATTCGACGACACACTCCGGGAGTCGCTTTCCATTGCTGGAATTGAAGCGCGGATGCTGATGGTCCTGTACGAGTTGCGATCGAGCTCTAGCTCCAGCGTGTGGTACAGCATTGGCCTGGCGATGCGGATCTGCACTGATTTTGGGATGCACCGCGAAACACACTACAGGAGTCTGAGGCCGTATGAGGCGCAGCTGCGGCGAAGATTGTTCTGGAGCGTATACGTGATCGAGCGATATGTGTCGTGGTCGCTTGGACGACCATTTAGCATTGCAGAGGAGGAGATCGATGCGAAGCTTCCGGCTGACACCGAGGTAATGATCAACCACGATGACAAAGTGAAAGACCCATCGAATGTCGCGGATAGAGCAGAAATACCAATCCTCAGACGATTCATTGCCACCGTTCGTCTGCAACGGATCATGTCCTGCATACATACCAAAATCTACCGCGTGGACAGAGAAATGTCTACATTAGTCCCAGAGATTTCTCCGTTATTGGCTTCGCTGGAGGAGTATAAATTGGCACTCCCCCCTCTGGAGCCTCACGAGGATGACTTTATCCAAATGCATTGGAATAACTGTATCCGTGCTCTGCTTCAGCCCTTCTTGAGCATTCTCAATCCAGAGGATGGTCTTATCAAGACCTGCCTGCATGCATCAGGCCAGACGTGCCAGTTTTTCAAGCGCTTGCGCCAGAAGAATGCGTCGGGATACTCATTCCTACTGGTGAATGCGGTGTTTGTTGCCGGACTTACAATGTGGTTGGTGTCTTTGCACCTTTCCAGATTGATCTACCTAACCCTTCTCTTAGTTTCTGTCTGTTCCGATCTCCCCGTCTGTGGACAACGAGCGTTGCAAATGATCTTCGCGCCTGCTCGTCGGCGCTGTTCGTCATGGCGGAGCGCAATCCCAGCCTAAGAAAGTATCGCGACGGCTTGGAGAATACGATTAACCAAGCAATGGACTTTGTCAATGAGGCGTCATCTGGTAGTTTGTGTACATCGAACCAGCCTACAGCGGGAGGAGAGGCGCTGCAGATACCGACCCTGGCCATTCTCGAGGACTCTGGTAATCCTACGGCGAGTGTTTTGGATTCGCACGCCGCACCTTTTTCGGTAGAGGCTCGGGGACACGGAGATCCTCTGGATGTGCGAAATCCGTTCACAGGAATCTTTACCGAAGACTTTTGGACTGGAGACGGGTTCAATCTACCCCTGCTGGATGGCTTTGCTTGGTGACTTGCTTAACTTGCGAAGTAGTAGTGATGGCAAATTCATTTGGAACAGAGTGACTACTTCAATCCAACGAACCAGCAGAGTGCAGACAGACCACAACATGAGAACTACCAATGACACGGGGCAAGAGTATCTTCAATACCTAGGTCCTCTCTGCGCGACTTGCTTGCGGGATCAAAGTATGGGATCTCACCCACGCCGACGGCACGGTTACCGCTCCGCGGACCGAATCCTTCGTGATCGCCTGTGGCAGTGTGGAAGACACTGCGGTTGTCCCAGATTGCTAGCCAGTGCCAGTCAGCTTACAGTGCAGTTGACGAGGTCCAAATCACCTACCAATATCATTCGGCTGGTTCCATTTGAAGCGAACCTGGAGATCATGTCCGTAGGTGATCATGTCATGGAACCATTGTAGCATGTTTGCGCTCTCTCTGCGCGTCAACCCGTTTATCTGCGTAGGAAAGGAGCCTAGGTAGCCCGTCAACTCCCCGGCATAAACAACCTGAAATCAAAAAATGACCACACTCACCTATTGGGAAAATTGACTTCCACCCAGTGATCGGATTCGTCCTCACAACTGGATGAACCGCCGACAATTCTCCTCCCACATTCACCGGCGCCCCGCGCTCCTTCTCGTACAGCTGAAACTTGCCCGACCGCGCCAGCCTTTGGAAACCCACACCCGCATGGGTGGCAGTCAACGTCTCCAGAAACGCCCGGTAGGGCCTACTGATCCGATCGTAGATCTCGTACCCGGATGCCCAGAGCGTGTCGCCTCCGGTGGTGGGCAGCTGCACCAGGCGCAAACTGGAAAAGTCCGCGGGGGCTTTCTCGAACGAGATATCGCTGTGCCAGACGGCCGCCATCTTCGTGTAGTCGGATCCCTTGTAGAGGGTCTTGCGGCCCTCCGAGTTGATGGTGCTGATCTGGGGGTCTGGGTCGCCGAATTCACGTGCGTCGTTTGTGACGGGGTGGATGTGCAGGCCGTGGGCGGATGGACGGCCGGTGAGCTCTCCCATGCGCAGGATGAGTTCTTTCTGGAGGTCATTGGTGAGATCATCCTGGGCACGGAAGAAGACGACTCCCCGTTCAGCGACTGCGAGGTGTTAGCAGTAGCTAGAACGCAGTACTTGTGGGATTATTTACCCATGATGGCCAAGTCGCGAATGCGCTGGTCTGCGGTGGGAGCGCGGAGAATGTCATCGGCAACGTTGCAGGCGCCTTTGACAAACTCGTTCCCAATCACGGGGGTTACCATGACGGGGTTGAAATTGTCCAGAGACCCGGTACTATGCTGTCGTTGAGTCGGCTGCATCGTGGTTGATCCAACTGCCATGGTTTTAAAAGTATATATTGAGAATGACAGTTGTGATCCTTCTTGAACTGTTGCTCATCCATCTTGGAGATGATGGTCCTAGTATATATACAAATGACCGACCTATACGTAGCTCAGTTAAAGGCTTGCAATGCACCTACATCAACCATGTGCCATTATTGATGCCATCGACATTATCCACATCGGCTTTCGGCGTTAGGCCTTAGGCCATCCCTCCGCTTAGTATCGGAGCTAGTCCTGAGGCATCCACTTTTAGCCTGATTTTGTTATCGCCGAGCGGGGGCCTTATCGGATGTCGGCGAAGGACGGCCAATCACAGCTCAGGAATCCGAGATCTGATTGAGTAATGGCCAGCCGAGGATGCCCCAAAGTGGACTAGCGTGTGTCACCCCCCGCATCTTTTGATGTCTCGGTTTCCCCATTGTTGATCTTACTTCTGTCATATATCCAGGAACGGCGCAAAAGTGTTGTTGAAAGGTGCACAAAGAGCAGCTAATACACGGTCAGACTATACCACTCAACATGGAAGGCGACACTCTACCCCTAGCGCAGTACCTCTTCAAACGTCTGCGTCAATTGGGTGTAGACTCTATATTCGGTGTACCTGGTGACTACAATCTGACCCTTCTGGATCACGTCGTACCCTCGGGACTCAACTGGGTTGGAAACTGCAATGAGCTTAACGCGGGGTATGCTGCGGATGGATACGCCCGGATCAAAGGTACTTACTCTCCTCCCTCGTCCTGCTTTGACGGACGCTGATTACTTAGGTATCGGTGCGCTGGTGACCACCTTCGGTGTTGGCGAATTATCCGCTGTCAATGCCATCGCAGGCGCCTATGCAGAGAGAGCTCCTGTCGTACACATTGTTGGGACTCCCATGCGCGCCTCACAGGAGACGCGCGCAATGATCCATCATACCTTTATCGATGGCGAATACCAGCGGTTCGACCGCATGCAGGAACATGTGACAGTAGCGCAAGTCAGTCTGAGTGACCACCGCACGGCGCCTGCGGAGATCGACAGAATCCTGCTGCAATGTCTGCTGCACAGTCGACCGGTGCGCATTACTATACCCGTTGACATGGTGCCCGTGCTTGTCCCCACAGCGGGGTTGGCGTCGAAGGTCGAGATCCCGCCTCCGGTGCGCCAGCCGCAGGTGGAGGAGGCGGCCCTGACTGCTGTGTTGCAGAAGATCTATAACGCGAAGAAGCCCATGATCTTAGTTGACGGAGAGACAAGAGCTTTTGGTACTGTTAATGAAGTGAATCATTTTGTCAAGACGACGGGCTGGCCTACATTTACGTCCGGCTTCGGCAAAGGCTTGATTGACGAGACTCTACCCAACGTCTATGGAGTGTATAGACCTGCTCACAAAGAGTTTGTCGACTCGTGCGACCTGGTCCTGGCTTTCGGACCACACTTTAGCAACACCAACACCTACATCTTCTTGGTAAGACCGCAGGACGAGACGAGTGTTCTACTCAATCCAACCTCCGTCCAAGTCAATAAAGACATTTACCGTGATCTCCCAGTCAAGTATTTCATTCAGCAGCTCACACAGCGACTGGACACATCTAAGATTCCCGCACACCAACATAACTTGGTCCACCCCTCGGCCCTGGTACTCCCAGAAGTGCCTCCTACCGACCTCGTTACACAGACTGCCGGCTTCTGGAGACGACTGTCACCCTTCTTCCGCTCTGGTGATATCGTCCTCGGCGAAACGGGAACGCCAGGCTACGGCGCCAATGATTTTTTCCTCCCCCCACAGACCCGTCTCTTCAAACCAGTCACCTGGCTGTCCATCGGATACATGCTTCCGGCTACCCTGGGAGCGAGCTACGCGCAGCGAGATCTGATTGCACGAAACGAGTACCACAACATCTCCACCGCCCGAACAATCCTCTTCATCGGCGACGGCAGCTTCCAAATGACCGTTCAAGAGCTGAGCACTATCATCCACCACAAACTCAACGTCATTGTCTTCTTGATCAATAATGATGGTTATACGATCGAGAGGTGCATCCATGGCCGGAACCAGGCGTACAACGATGTCGCCCGGTGGCGGTATCTCAAGGCCCCGGAGCTGTTCGGCGCGGATCAAGAGGGCGAATATGCGTCGCGGACATGGGAGATTCGCACCTGGGCGGATTTCGACTCTGTGTTGAAGGATGACCTGCTCGTGAATGGCAAAGGACTGCGGATGGTGGAGGTGTTTATGGACAAGTTTGACGCGCCGGATGTGTTGATGAACTTGCTGAATGCGCAGATTGCGAGGGACAATGCGCAGAACTAGGTTAGCCAATAGACTGGTAATTTAATTTATGCTTCTGCTCTGTGCCCCTCTATCGATGATGTAGGCGGTTTGTCGGCGATAGGACACTAGCTTGGCATCTCCTCTACTTAACGCCGAATTGCGGGGAGACCCATAGTGTATATTCAGAAGGCTAGCATTGAAGCCAATGTACCCCATTAGATCAATCTGCATTGTTATTGATACTATTGGGCTGTTATTTCTCATGATCTACCATGATGGTATCATCAAAATGCCTTCTCCTGCCTTGGCAGAAGATATATCAATCTCTCTTGGCCCGGGGCACTCGAGTATAATCAACTAAACACTCTCGCGCACATCAAACTAGGATCACATCACAACCATGGACAAATCCTCTAATACCAATGTGGAGTCCCTTGATCTCCAGAAGCCCAACAGGGAGGACCAGCTCGAAGAAACCCGTCGGTTCACCCCCCAAGAGCAGCGAAAGATCATCTGGCGCATCGACCGCCGGCTGATTGTCATGCTTGGCTTCCTTCATACTGTTGCCCTAATTGACCGGGGAAACTTGGGCACAGCTGCGGTGGCTGGCATGGTCAAGGAATTACATTTAAAGGGGACGCAATATGTGCGTTTGACTCTGGGTAGTACTTGATATCAGCTAACACCAGCAGAGCACTATTGCAATGGCGTTCTTCCCACCATATATTTGTTTACAGCTATTTGGACCACTCTTGGTACGCCAAATCGGCCCTATTTACTATATCTCCGGAGTGTGCTTCGTTTGGGGAGCCGTAATGGTATGTTTCTCGTTTCTTTCTAGGCAAAGAAGATCCTGACAAAGGAGATGTCCGCCGGATTTGTCAAACGATGGCCCGAGATGGTTGGTATTCGCGTCATCATCGGCGCCCTGGAAGCAGGCTTCTTCCCGGCCTCGATCTACCTCATTGCAACCTGGTATACCCGCTTCGAGATCCAGACGCGATTCGCCGTCTTCTACCTGCTCGGCTGTGTTGCGTCTGCCACAACAGGCATCCTCTCCTACGGTATCACATTCATGGTTAGTTCTTCCCTGTCTCTCTCGTATGAAAAAAACACAGCTAAATAAGAAGAAAGAATGGCCTTGCCGACCTCTCCGCATGGCGCTGGATCTTCATCATCCAAGGTCTCTTGACTTGCCTCCTCGCCTTCATCAGCTACTTTGTCCTCGTCGATTTCCCCGACAAGATGAAAGCCAGTCGACGTTCCTTCCTAACAGACGACGAATACACCTTCGTCATCGATCGCATCCACCGCGACCGCGCGGATGTCGTCGTCGAACCCTTCAGTATGCGCAAGTACCTCTCCGCCGGCCTAGACTTGAACATCTGGGGTTTCGGCCTGGTATACTACTGCACGACGACGACCGCGTACGCCATCGCCTACTTCCTCCCATTGATCTATCATGACGGCATGGGTCTCTCTCAAGGGGCGTCGCTTTGTCTGTTTGCGCCGCCGTACGCGGCCGCGGGGATGGTGATGTATGCGACCTCGTGGGTGGGGGATAAGTATCGGGCGAGGGGGCCGATTATCGTGTTCAATGCAATGCTGACGTTAATTGGATTGCCTCTTATGGTTGTGGTTCTAACTTTCCCTTCCATTCGATCATCGCTGATTGAAAATAATGTCTCCAGGGCTTCGCGACGAGTAACGGGCCGAGACTCTTGGGGTGTTTCTTTACCACCATGGGGACGAATTCGAATGTTCCCGCCGCGATGGCGTACCAGGTGTGTGCCTTTCGTCTTTCTGCTTATATGGATGTCACTGATGATGAGAAGGCGAATAATGTTCGCGGGCAGTGGAAACGCGCCATCAGCAGCGCCATCTTTGTTGGGCTGGGTGCCTGTGGGGGAATGACCGGATCGCTGGTGTTTCGCGCCGAGGATGCCCCCGGCTATCGACCGGGGATTCTGACGTGTATTGGGCTGACAGCGTTAAGTGTAGTGTTGGTTGGATTGCTTTCCGTGCGGATGCATTTGGAGAATCGGAGAGTGGACAGGGGGGAATCGGTTATTGGCGGGTTGGAAGGCTTCAAGTATACGCTGTAGTCCGCAGATGGCAGGAGGGGAGTCAATCTTGAATACAGTCAGATTCGATTTCCATACATCCAATGTACTTGATATTCCGTGCAGTAATAGTCTCATTGCTACATTCACGACGTAATCAAGGCTGCATATTATTTGACGAAGCAGAAACCTTCTTCCAGCTCTCCCGGGACTTCAACTCCTCCCAATATTTCTGGAAACGTGGATACTTTGCAATCAGGTCCGCAAACCCGAACTGTTCCACAAACACCCCGTAGGGCAGATGCGACAGATCCGCAAACGTCACCTGGTCACCGGCAAGGTACTTCTGCTTGGAAAGCACCCGCTCGTAGCCCTGGAGAGTCCGGTCCAGCTGCGCAAGCAGCGCCTTGACGCGCGCTTCATCGGTTTCACCCTGGCCCTTCATGGACTTCCAGACCTTTTCGTAGGCGATCTGTGAGACAAGGGGATCAAAGTAGGAGAGTTCCATGGAGATGGCCTGGTGATTGTCAGTACTCTTCCGAAGAAGTTGAATGCCCGACATACCTGCTGGTACAGAGCATAGGCTTTCAGATCAGACTCTAGGGGTGCGATTTCTGCTCCCTGGCCGCGGTATTTGGCGATGATGTATTGAGCAATGGCTCTGCTTTCTAGGCGAGAATTAGCACGAGAAGAACAATCGCTGCCTGGGAATGCTACCGAAGATTTGAACGCCTGTCTCGGTATCCTGCAGGACGGGCACTTTTCCGAACGGCTGCATTTCTAGGTAAGGCTCCGCCAGGTGTTCTCCCTTGGCCAGGTCGACGTTGACGATTTCAGCATCGACGCCCTTCTCAATGAGCGCGAGGCGCACGCGAGCCGTGCAGGTCGACCAGACGGATCCGTGGAGCTTGAGGACCATTGTTTCTGAACGGTGGAGTGGATTTGATTATTAATTTGAACTTGAGGTTGGGACTGTAAGGTTGAGAACTATGAAGCCAGACTGCGTCTTTATAGTCAATGCCACTTGAAAGTGGGGCCAGATTTGGGCAGTAGTTTTGGGCATGATTACCTAACAAGCAGAAAGAGCTTACGGAATTAATTCCGGCTCGCCGTGGGATTGGATTATTATCAATTTTCCTAGGCGTTCCTGATCCCTCGATCCATCGGACAGATCCTGCACGGACCGTAGCATAATATAGCGTACGGCGAATCTAGCCCTAGAGCAATATAGTCAGATCCAGATTGAACTCCCTTGTCGAAATAAGGGAAGCAGATCAGGGACAGGCGGATCCTTATGTCTGTGCCCTAGCCTCGACCTCATAACCCTTTATTGAAAAAGAGACGCCTATTTTGTCGCAGCTAGAACGCAATGGCTCCGTCACCTCGAGGATACTGTCTTCCAAGGTCCTCCCGTCAATTATCGGCAGGGGCTTTGGCCATGATGCATCATCCCTTATTTCACCAGACGACAATCTCTTCGTAAGGAATCTCCCCTGGATAGTCATCTCTGACAAATGAGGAAATTCATCTCTTGCATGCACCAGATCCATCATTTCAGCCAACATGATCGTCTCCTTCTCATGCCACCATCCAGACATGCACAAAGTCTCGAGCGATGAAGGAAGAAGGTCTACCAACTTCCTTGGAGGGAGCTGTTGATCGTGGTGAAAAAAATGAACCATCTGCAGCTGAAGATTCTTCAATTTTCGAAACTCTCGCAGCGATCCAACCCACTGGTGCTGCCTCTCAAATCCATGCAGCATAGAGCAGGAATCCGAGTCCAGACACAGTGTCTCGAGAGTCTCCGTCCTCGTTGCCAGGTTGGCTATTACCGTAGCCGTCCTTTCGAACATGAACGGACCGGAATCGTAGTACAATTTGAACGACCTCAGGCCGGTGCAGAGTCTTATCAAGCGCTCGAATCCCGTTCGCGAGGTACTCTGCCACAGCTCGAGATGCGTTACGTTCGACGCGCCATTCTTCATCTCAGGAAGAAGCAGATCAGAATCGTAGACCATCTTAGCCGAGAACACCCGCAGCGACGGCAGGTAGACGAATGGCAAGATCGTCTTCAACCCAATCCCACCTGCTCTTCTGCAAGTGGGTTTGAGAAGTACTTTTTCCAGTTTGCCCAACGGGCCACTTCCCATGAACTGGTCCTGACGCAAGATCACTTCGTCGACTAATTTTGCTGCGTACCGGGTCCTGCATTCTTTCCAAACCCATTCGATGTGCCGCAGGTTAGGCAAGATGTAGAGCAGGAGGGCAAGCCAGGCATCGCAGTTCTCCCTGTTCCGGAGCTGTTTCCGCCAAGTGGTCCACCCAGTATGGTAATCGACCAATTCATTGACTTCTGCGACAATCTTATCATCTACTGTTGGCATTGTTATTGAGTAGACATGCTTTTTGGACCAGGCGACCGGCCGACCCAGTATAAGGCTCTCCACGCTGAGGCGAGTCTTCTGATGGTGCAAAAGAAAATGAATCAGCCAGCTGAGGTCCGACGTGCAGTACCCCGCCAGTTCGATCGAACGGAACATACACGGGTATACAATGTCAAACAAACGATGACAACATATGGCGAAATGGAAGCGATCTTTGTGGCTGGTGATATGATCGGTTATTGACAATATGAGCTCTGTCGGGAGTGCTTCAAGTCGTTGCAGAGGCATCATGGAAGTTCATAGTAGCCCTTGCATGTACTAGCTAAGGCCGTGGGACATGTAAATGATCTGCGTGTTGTCGCAAGTCCAGCGGCGGAATAGCTTCGTATGCTCAGTCCATCAGAAATGCTCCAAGCTTCGACTACTTATCTGGTGGCGGCTGTGCGCTAGCCTCGTATTGTGTCGTTGCACTGCCTCGTTGGGCCCAAAATCTAATACTACTCTGGAGAGGCACTAAATATCCTGGTCAACCATTTGATTGGATCCTTCTTTCTCACAATAGGCTATCCCGTTTGTCCCCTGTCATTGGCGGTACTCCTCCGGTAAAGCCAACAGTCAAAAGCCATGCCAGGTAACTCACTCTCACCCAGTCACGGCTGGTGTTTACAGAAATTTTGAATAGCGGTAAAAGTATACCGTGCAAAATGGTGTGGGTAGCTTTCAGGTGCATCACACCAGCTGCTGGATATCCTGCTCAGAGATTTACCTACAAATCAGTCCATAAGCCGTGCCGATGTTGTCCTTGAGGTGAGATTGCCTGCGAAGAATCCTTTCCTTCTATTTAGCACCCGATACATGACTCTTATATATGCTATGTAGGGTATTATAAAGATTAGTCTTCTGATATCATTTTGGTGATGCGAGAGAATGGCAGAGCAGAGTGATCAGCCTCTCTCAATTTCTCTCAGCAGTTCTATTGAGTCAGATTCCATAAAAAAAGCTCAAATGCCGGGCCTGAGATTTATTCCCCTGAATTATAGGTCATTCTCGTCCCTGAATAAGACCAATAGAGCGAAAGTATATATTCATCCCTTGCAGAATTATCGAATTGCACGCTCCCGGGTGGCGCAGTGGCTGAACGCTTGAATAATCAAAACAATATTAACAATCACTAAATATAGATGGAAAAAGCATATGTATGATGAAAAGGAGAATGGTCCAGGATCAGACACTAGGCCAGTCGTTCTCCCACGTCAACTGGTTCCATCCAAACTGGTAGTCCTCGACGGCCTTGCCGATGCGCGTGTCCGCATAGTGATAGTACAAGACAAGCCCCTTGCTTGCGTCGTTGAGGATACCCCTGCGCACAGACATTAGTTCATTCTTTACCTTCTTCAATAAGGGGCGACTTACTGTCCGCCGGGACCGTAGACATAATCATGGCTGGCGAGCAAGAGGGTTCCTCCACTGTTCAAGCACGAAACACCGTTCTTGTCGACCTACGCGTATCAGCGTCAGCAGTGAGCGGTATAGAGAGACAATGGCGGACTTACGAATCCCCCCGTTGCCGAGGTCGACCGACAAACCGAGATATGGTACTCGTCGCCCGGAGCCGGCCAAGTATCATTGTAACCCAGCGCAACACCTCCGGAGAAGGTCAAGTAGAAGTAATTGTTGCGCTCAAACATGAAGGCCGCCTCCTGGCGATGGATTCCGCTGGCATTGTACGCGATCTGGTATGGCGTGGCGCCACTCTTCACTGTGAGGTCGCTGGCCAACTCCACCTGGAACAGGTCATTCCAGTAGGAGCCGAAGTTGAGGTACTGGGTGCCGCCGACGGCGATCCAGTTGGCGTCGATGGTATTGTACGGGCTGGCAGATGTGGACTGGATACCGGTGGAGCCATGGTCGGTCCAGCTGCCGGCTTCCATGGTCTTGGAGGTTGCAACTCCAATGGCCGAGTTCTGCGAGCCAAGCGATGAAACCGCGTAGTAGAGGTAGTATGTCCCATTTTGGTAGTGCACGTCGGGGGCCTGGAATGTTAGAAGACACGAGAGAGGTAAAGGGAAAGGGAGCATACCCAGAGGTTGGTATTCCCGTTTAGGTTGATGGAGGAGCCGTTGGGTAGGACATAGCCGTCGTCCGTCCACGGGCCCTCGAGGCTGCTTGCCGAGGCGACATGGATGCCTCCGCCCGTTGCGAAGCGAAAGTATTTGCCGTCGGATTTACGCTGGTACAGACCAGGATCATGGGTCCAGCAGTCGCCTGAGCAAGCACCGGGGTTTGCATAGGCGTTGACGTTGACGGATGCCAGGAAGAGGAGGATGAGCGTATATAGATACATGGCGAACCTTGTTTTGGTGCCTCTACTCGATATCATATTATAATGATTTCAAAAAGGTTGCACAGGAGCGAACAGCTCTATTTATATCATTCCTGGCCTACTTGGCGCCAGAGGAATCTTTCGGAATTTATCCTATATTGTCAGCCTTTGGACTGAATGCAGCCATCGTAGCCCTCACGGCAACCTCCCGAAAGCCAAGATATCTCTCATCCAGGCGACCCCTTTGTCCCGCAGATGACCGGGCGCAGGGCTGGAGTTGGCCATGCACAGTGGCCCAAAGAGAATCCTATCGCGGGCAATGTCGCGATTGCGCCCAATGATGAGCCTGCAGTCGCAACGCCAACGCGGAAGTGGAGCAAGGCACCAAGTACTGGCATGACTGGTGCTAATCGAATGAAAGTTGCGGCGCTGGAAGTGAAGGTTGGACCTAAGTACAATAATTCTTTGAGCCTTACCTGGTGACCGCCGATCGCGATCTGGCCAAACCTACGGACTTAGCGAGAGACTATTGACCTTAATAGTATTTACTACTCCTTCATTCATAGTATTTTGGTCAGTTTGTGTGACCTCAGACCGCCATTCTGCTTCGCACTTTATCTATCGGAACATATACGGGACTAGTAATGCATCCCTTGCTTGCTACATGCATTCAGTCGAGTGCATTGTCCGAGTGGATAAATCTTTCCGATCGACCATTTCCGAATCATCAGGATCATTAGGAAAACTGTCAGTAGAGAGATCAAACGGTCTAGCGAGTCATGGTTGATGTGCACCATAGTGGGACCGAGTGGGCCATGGGGATCGCGCAAAATAGAGTCAAGATGAGTAGATGACATATCTCCTCTGCAACTAATAAACCTCATTGGATAAAGATAACTCCGAGGCATCCTCTTCGGTGCCTTATAGTGGCTTCAGCCATCCGTTGCCTTACCAGCTTGTAGGTTTATCCCGCCCGAGTCTTACCATGGTCAATGCGATCAGATTGCTCTGTTAGGACAATGCAGCAAATCTTCGAGCCGTGCCACGCCATCGTCGTTAGGAGATAGACGTACAATTTAGCTACAACTCCGGTACTATCGAACCATGAGCTGGAATATGATGTATAGCAATACCTGTTATAGCCATGTGTCAGCAGATATCTGGCACCCTGGCACCCCTGACTCGTTTATCAAGTCAACAGTGCGGCCAGCCAAGATCCTACGGTAAAGATGGTGTGTTGTCGTCTGCACGCTACTGTCCTTGACTTCCGTCATTCTGACTCAGATTGATCGCCGGATACAAGGATCTTATCCTGGTCCATCGATCGTATTGATCCAGTCTTTCTGGGGCAACCCGACCAGGATTCTCGACTTGGTTTGACAGCGAAGATCCGTGGATCATATTGTACTCACAGCCTCTCCTGCTGGCACTTTATTCCTCAGAATGTAGCGTAAGTTTTTATGTACTTTCTGCGGTAAGAGCGCCCAAAGACAGAAATGCGGGGTAACTGTCATCATATTTGCCATTAGCCTTGGGATATAAGCCTCGTGATCTTCCTTAATGGCTTACTTGTAGTGATATCATCGTCCATTAGCGGATCGCACAATTCCTTTTGGTATGAGCACATGCCAACTCACGCTGCAGGAGGAAATGCGGGGAAGGCTCAATGATCGTCTTGGTTCTCCATCACGTACGAATCTGCTGACAGTCCGTTCGGACATGAAGGTCATATGTAGCTAGAGCCGTTCTGATAAGAAAATGACGGTTGTCCGTCCAGTGAGTCTCGCCCTCAGAAGGTTAATCATCTCTCAGGAATTGATATATTAGCACAGGTACGGCCATCAGAGTCCACCTTCACATACTTTTCCTCAGAATTCCACATTCCATATTCTTCACATAATAAGCATATATATCCTCTCCGCTGCCTGCATCGTACCTGAACTGGGTCCCTATCGGTTTCATTCCAGGTGGAGTACCCCTCCACTGAACCCGCCCCTGACGCGTAAGCTGTCGAGTTGCGCCATTCCGAACACGAATGTCCTATGCCAGGGAAGTACGGCAGGGAAGAAATTAATCCAGCTTTGGCAGAAGAAACCGCTGCGCCATAGATCGCTCTGTAGTTGTCCTAGGTGTTGCAGTCCTGCCGAGCAGAGCTTTGCGGACTTCGTCCGATGAGATTGATGTAATAATTGTAGAACGACAGGAACGGGAAGTCACTCGGATTGGACAGTTTTGTTGAAATCTCTTCGTACGAGAGAGGATACCTTGATCCTTAGCGGGGGTTTTTCGTAAACAATATCATCTCTGCTAATACGTAAAATCAGCGAGAGTTTGTCGCACGACTCTCAGTTCTCCCTGCTATCCCAAAAGCCACGATAGCCCATAGTCTCTGAGAGATTCATGTATAAAAAGCTCCTAAGCGATATATACAGGGTCCTTGACAGCAATAGTTCTTCGACAGCGCTTGTTTCTGTATATCGACACCGAGGCACAAAAAGCTTCTACCTATAATAGTTCTTATTCTGTCTTTCTACCGGTTATCATGTCATCAATAAAGGATCGAAACAGTCAACGCCAAGCAGGCCTAAAGTTATACGAGCGGACCAATCACAGACGCCGCTGCATCGAAAGCAGATGAGACGGCATCAAACAGATTTACTATCGCAATAAGCATTTCTAAGCATGATAAACACGTCGGACTTAACGCACTTAGGGTCTATCTCCATAAAAAGAATGTCTATAAAGCCAACAAGTCCAGGAGAAATGTACCTTCCCAACCGCAACAGCTACAATGGCGGCAACCAAAACTATAGTACTTATTACTGGGGGTACGTTTATCAACTTCCATGTGAAGGCGAATCGAACTAACGCCAACAGCAAACAGCGGGATCGGTTTCGAACTTGCCGCCCAGCTAACGGCCAAAGACTCCTACCACGTCCTCATGGGAGTCCGTTCCATGCAAAAAGGCAATGCGGCCCTGGCCCGGCTACAATCCCGCAATCTACCAGGCACCCCGGAGCTGCTCCATCTCGACGTCACCGACGACGAGACTATCCACCGCGCCGCAGAGACGGTTGGAAAAACACACGGGAAACTCGACATCCTCGTCAACAACGCCGCCATAGTAGGTACCGCTCCAAGCCTGCGCCAGCGGTTGCAAGAGGAATTCGATACCAACGCAACTGGCCCGGCTGTCGTGACGGAATCCTTTGCCCCTCTGCTGAAGAAATCCACCAGCTCCCCGCGGATCATAAACATCTCCAGCGGCGCAGGCTCGATTGCCCGTCGTTTGGATCCGTCCTCGGCGTTGTACAAAATGCCAGGCCTGCAGTATCGTGTGAGCAAGGCGGCGCTGCATATGATAACTGCGTGTCAGTGGGTGGAATACGGCCCCGCTATCAAGGTCTTTGCGTACGACCCTGGCTTCACCCAGTCGAATCTCAGCGAAAGAAACACGGCGGAGAATGGGGCTAGGCCGGCTGCTGAGTCGGTGCGGCCGTTGATTGATGTGCTTGAGGGGAAGCGGGATGACGAAGTTGGTCAGTTGTTGCATAACACGGGTGGTTATCCTTGGTAATTGCCAGTCAGGACACAACCTGTTGATAACGGGGGTGAACCCATATCAGACTCGGTGAATTGGCCGCCGAGGAGTGCTAGCAGGGCATTGTTGCATAAAAGTACACTTTCTGTTCGTTCCTCTAGGCTGTATTATTCCTTACAACAATCAATGTATGATCTCCCTCGCAGAAAACGGCCCCGCATCTCTGTCCATCGCTCAATATTCCTACGGTATCCATCTTTTGCTAATGAACGGCAAACTCCTCACCAGTGTCGTTAGCCGCGATATCAGTATTTCCATCTCCCGTACATAACTCAAACTGCCTGGTCCCTATGCCCAATTGTCCATTGAGCCCATCGCCCGCAGCCAAAAGCGATCCATCCGCCGTCAAAGCTACAACATGCGCCGTCCCGCAGCTGCATCGACGATCTGGAGGCAGCTGACAGTATCAGTCGTAATGCCTGCTTCCTGAACTCGGCAGCGCTCATCAGATTAACATCTCCGATTTCGGGCCATTTCTCCGATTTGTAGCTCCAGACGAACAGCTGTCCTGCACGAGAGATACCAACATTGTAACATCTTCCTGTAGCCAGCTTCTTGATAGGCGGCAGTGGTAAGCTCCGGGGCGTGTAATCCAGCGCTTCAGGCGGTCGAGACGGCCATCGTTGGGTTGCATCACCAAAAGGGACATAGCGATTCCATGCCTCTTCGAACGCTTCATCCTCGTCCGGTGAATCGGTGGGTTGAACAGTGCTCTTTTCGCCCCAGACATGCACAGTACCAGCCTCGTCGAGCGCAGCGAATTTACTGGTGAGCTTGACGGTAGGAGCTGCGAATGTTACTGCATGAGTGGGGTCTTCCTTGGTCTCATTGTCCGTCAACCAGGCAATCATCGGCTGCCATGAATCGAAGGAAACAACTGCGGGGATCGCTTTGGAGAACAAGGGCAACTGCCCCTGAGATAAGAGCTGGGTTATGCATGCGCGCACTCCGTACCGCAATATGAGAGATTTGTTTTCCCGGAATAGAATTCACTCGCGTGGAGGATTGATCATTTCCATCCTGCGTGAGGAGGATATACAGCTTCCCGTTACTGCAGAGAAAGGCGGCCCTATGGCTTCCCGACAGCACAATAGCTTGTTTGATTCGGCTTGGGTGTATTACATCCGTGACAAGTGCGAGTTCGTCGTCGTTGAGAGAATGATGGCTAAGATGTTTCAAATGATCGTCAACTTGCACAAACGTCGACCCATTGTCGCAGCTGATGATGCGAATATTCCGGCTGGGCTTTGTTAAAGGTCTGAGTTTGAGCGGCCATAGCGGACAGTATGAACAATCTTTCCCTTGATGATTGTGTTCGCAGCAATGCTCTTCGCCGACAGAGCGACGCAGACAGGATCGAGGTTCACCAAGGTAACCATCGCTGTTCTCGCCGCATCCGTATAGGCGCAGTGTCATTGGGACTAAATCCCGCGACGATCCTCTCCTCCTTCTTCCGAATTTGCTTGCGTATCAATGTCGGTGCCGGGGTTACGAAAGGCCTTTCTTGATATGAAAAAAAAAATCCTCGCCACTGTACATATCTGCTTAATGGGAAAAATGTAAAGAAGGTTTACCGGTCACGTACGGCTGAGACTTCCCATGCTAAGGCTTAGTAAAGAGTAAACCGAGTGATCTATATATATTCGAACTTGAGGGGGTTGTAAGATTTAAGGAACTGGGAATGTTGCTTAAATCAAGAGCAGAGATAACAGCGATAAATCATGAAGAAAGACGGAGGCCCCGCGACATCAAGGATGTTCTTCTTCCGACGATCAAAGTAAACACTGCTAAGCTCAAGGCACCAATAACAGTCGTAATAGGCCGATCTCGCATAGAGTCCTTGATAGAGGCCAGGATGTGCTAGTGGGCGATGCAGCAACTGCGGATGAAAAGTGTGGGTTGATAGAATTTAATGCTTGCAGGAGACTGTGAGCGTTGGAAAATTCTCCGTTCCAGCAGCCTTCAATGATCCAACCAAGCCAGATACCCTGTGTACTTGGTAGGAACTCCCTCTCTGGCCAATGAGCTCGGCCGTCGGAGGGAGAGTTATCTTTGAAAAGATCGATTTCACACTTATGACCAGTTACAACTTCGTACATGACTGCTCCAAGGAGGCCAATATCAATTTGGGTGGTGTATCCATTGTCATCCACGGCCTCCATGACAGAATCTAACGGGAGGAGAGATGCTTCTGAGAAATCGCAGATTTTGAGGGACAGATCGGAATCAAGAAGAAAATTTCGGCTGGCAATATCTGCAACAAGCACGCGCCTGTCATGAATATAACTCAACGTGCGAGCCATCTCATTGAACCATGTGAGTTGCAGCTGAGGGGAAGGGCGGCATTTTGCAAGATACGTCCGAAGATCTCCATTGACCACATAAGCAAGTTGCGTGGCTTCATTTGAAAATTTGATACAACGGACAACACCTTCAGAACGATCATCTCCAGGATTTTGCAAGCGACGATAGACATCTTGTTCACGTCTCAAGCTTTCAATGTTCACTTCGACGTCGGAGTCTGAGCTCCATAGATATCTCAAAGGAGTCCTCACAGCCACATCATTCTGAAGCAGAACTACTGCAGAGGCTCCATTCCCAAGAACCTGCTCCTGCGGAATCGGATTGCCTTGGATATCAAGAAAGGGGGAGGACATGGCAACAGAAAGAAAGGCAGGTCGACTGAATTCGATTGAACCGTGAATCAAGGGGTTGGCAAGGATTCTGTATACAGGTTTGCCGTCACGTGAGCTGTATGCTATCGTTCCACAGGAGTTTCGCGTCTACATACAACTCTCATGAGTCCCTTGCGATGCGCTGGGAAGATTCTGCCGCGTTGGCCGAGCTCCCCTCCCACGGGTTTGCAAATGCCGCCCCTCCTTCGGCCGGCTCACACGGTCACACCATTGACTATGGTCAGTTACTCGCGATAGACGCGAATGTCCAAGCCTCATGATCCAGTTCGCGCAGGTTATCGATTCTCAGTGCAAATAATGCCGGGTACCCTTCATTGGCATTCTGTCATTGACTAGAATCGGATTACAAGACGGAGGCTGTCATCCAGCATCCAGATATGCGGTTTTTAGGCGCTTCCGGAGGCATAGCCCAAGGCAACAATGAACATAGCCTTCAGGAATTACCACGTTTCAGATGGACCATGATCAAGCAGGAAAGTACCGATCATTCCGCACCGAAAATGCTGCAGCGTCTCCATTCTGAAATACCTGGCCTGGAGCGGCCAAGAAAAAGGGTGTTTTCCACGTGCCTATTCCCCTTCGGCGCCTCAGTTCTCTCTCTCGCTCTCTGATCCGTTTACTGCGTTCTCGAGCCGCGCGCTCTTGCTTTTTGCGTTTCTTTCTTGCTTCAGCGCTTTCGCCAGACAATAGGCTTTTGAGCCAGTTCATCATTTTAGCTGTGATTGTGGGAACGTGAGATGATATACGGCGTACAGAGCGAGTGTGCCGACTCGAGATCAAGAAGGGTGGACAGCTGTCATTCCGATAAGCCAAAGCCTTGCGATCGCAAGGATTTTATTTCAAGTATTCCTTAGGGCCAGTGGTAGTGAGACACTGCGACGCCACGTTACATTTGTACAGAATGATTATAGTCCCACCGCCAGGAATAGCATCTGGCCCATGGAAGGGTGAGAATATTATTGGAGGATGAGCCACGGCATCGGGCCCGGTAGTGCTTATGCTGCGTTAGGCGTCTCATGCTCACAGTAGACCAAACTTGGCATTGCCTGGCATGACTCAGAATTCGAGTCTTCGATTACAATTGGCGGGCCAGGTAAAATCACTCTTACAGAGAGACTGATGAGACGGGAGTGATCGGTATCAGTGTGCTTTTGAAGTGCATATTCCAAGTCATGCCTTGATTGTATGACTATATAAATGCTACCAATGACCCTACAGGCACGCGTCATTGAGGAATGGTGAGAAATTAATGTTGATCAGAGTAGCAGCTACTGAAAGATCCGAGTCATGCTGTGCTGTGATATCAGTTAGGAACACACTTCCATGGGATTCTGGGGTACCTGGAAACGAAATTTCGACACCATATCATGTATCTTCCATAACTCTTACCCAGCAAAGTCTGAAAACACCTAGATAGCTAGTATAATATACCCTTCCCATCATCCTATATCAGGCATTTCACACCATCTAATAATTCTAATTTCTCTTTCGTATATGATTTCTTTGCTTCATACCTATTGTACAATTTCCTCTTCTAACGCTCGTCTCTGCCCTGAAGAAGCTTCATCATTGAGAGCCTGCGTTCCTCCATTAACATATCGGACTTGAAAGAACGGCTGGTTGTGCGCTCTAGGCATGTTCTTCCCTGTGAATCCCTTACTTCCACATCACAGACGCCGCATTTAAGAAGTATCTCAACAGCATCCAGGTTGACGGCATCCACAGCCTCACTGAGAGCAGTGCTGCCAGATTTGCTACATTCGTTCGGATTAGCTCCATTGTCAAGCAGAAGCTGAACGATTTCTGCCCGGTAAATATAATTAATCCCACCAGCGACCCACATGAGAGGAGTGACACCGTTGTTATCCTTAATATTGACTTCGGCCCCTCTGCGGACAAGTGATTGTACTTTTTCATATATACGCGAGAAAGAAAATATCGGCGACCTTCCCATGTTGTCCCTTATATCGAGATCCGCGCCACTATCTATCAAGAGCTCGCAAATCTCAAGGGTTGAGGCGTAATGTAGAGGGGTAGATCCTTTTGAATCTCGCGAGTTTATGTCGGCCCCCATTTGGAGCAGTAATCGCACAATTTGACCCCGATTTCGGTCAACGGCAAAATGGAGGGCTGGCACATACCAAGTCGTCGTCATATTGGCCCCGGCCGAGAGGAGCTGTTGGGCGATATCGCATGATCCTGCCTCGACCGCCTCCAAGAGAGGAGGCAAAGAGCCAGGTCGATCCAAGTTAGGGTCTGCTCCACGCTCCAGGAGCAGCCGTACAATGTCAGCTTGCCTCGATTGGATGGCAGCAGCGAGAGGGCTATCCATGGGGTTATAACCAATCATTCGTTCATTCGGGTCAGCACCAAAATCCAAAACTGTCGTAAGTAGAGAAGGATTCCCGCTTTCAACGGCAAACACTACAGGCCCACCGATCCTAGCATGACTTAGCAAATCAACTCGGCCAGTTGAGAGAATAAGCCTCAGAAGTGGAAGGTCTGGAGTCTTCATTGCATATTCGAAGATTGTAAATTTTCTCGGCGGCTTAAATTCAGACAGGCGCGAAGTTAGAGCGGCCAGATCCTCTTCTTGGAGGGCGTATGACGTACAGCCCGTGGTGAAGAGTACCCTGATCACCTTTTCATTGCGCTTGGCCACAGCGGCAAGGAACGGAGAGGCCCAGCGATGGGAATTTTTGCCAGGCCCATGCCAACAATTTCCACAGTAGAGGCACTCGCAATTATTGAAAATGCCTTTGAGTGATGAAGCCTCAATCGTTGCCTTTAGCAGATGACTGAGATTCCTTTCGGCCAAGGTATATGTGAGTCTCGTCTGTTGGGCATATCTCCGAATTTCGTGCTTTTCAAATAGGTTATACATGCATGTCCACTGGTAAGCATCGAAAGACGTAAGAAAATCTGCCTGAGGAACGCCAGCCTGCTCTGCAGCCTCTGCATGCTGCAAAACGTTATTGACAGCGTAATCCAGGAATGGAAAGCTCTTTGACGCTTTCACCCTCAGGGCTACGGCCTCTGTTGATTTGGCGGGAGGGAGATCGTGGGGCAATATTCTTTCCGTGACGATGTATGCTTTTTTCAGGTAGTTCCAGGAGCAGGATTTTAAGGTTTCGTGACCAAGCACCGTTCTGCTAGCACGCATGTCCCTCCATAGCTCGTCCAAGCCTCCTTCTTTGAGCAAGAAATCGCGGACCGTCTCATGGATAAACTGAACGGTCTTTTGCCTCGACTTGGTCACTTCTATTAAACCTTTAGAGGAGCTTAGGATAAACCGGAAGACAGAATCATCATCCTCTGGCGGTTCCATTAGGTCTGACTCGTTCTCGTTGTCTGACTGAACGGCATAGAAGAGCTCATGCGGACTAAGCGGCCTGTTCGCATAAAGAGTCCATTGCAGGCAAAGAAGCAGGTCTTCCATATTCTGTTTGTCTCGTGTCAGTATGTCTTTGAACAATTCCTTGAGCCTTGGTGGGATTTCTCGCAGTCTTTTCCGTAAGGCTCTCATACGACCCTCATCATATGTCCTCTTCAATATATCAACAACGAGCACAACCCACAAAAAGATTCCCGACGCCTTTTCAATGATTTCCACCTTGACTTCTGGAATCTCTTTGTGTTTAATGCTCGCTAGTTTGCGATCCAAATAGTATGATATGTCTTTCCCATGTTCTTCCTGCCCTTCCAGGATCATTTCAAGTCCCTTATCGAAGGTAACATGGGGGTAGTGGCGACTCGAGAGACAGATATGAAGGGATATCAGACTGGAGGCTGCAAGCTGGCCAAGCTCACCAAAGTAGTCAACCATGTCTCGAACCTCACATTCGTCGCACTCATCTAGAGCATCGATGAAACATATAAGAGGTTGTTGCCCTTCCAAATTCAGAATAACAAGGCGAAAGACATCTTGCAGGCGCTCAAGGCTCCAACTTCCTTGGTTTAGCATCGACGGCTCTACCTCTGAGTCTAATATGTTTTGAAGACGAGGTAACCGATGGAATAACTGAAAGAGAAGAGACCTATACATGCCAGCGGCAGACTTTTCCAGTTCATCTCCTCGCGCATTGAAGAAAAACGAGACGACAATGGCGCCTGCAGTCAGAGGCGTTCGCTTTGTGTTTTCGAACGCAAACTTCATCAAGGTTGATTTCCCCGTTCCTGGGTTGCCCTTGATCCACAGAAATCCATTGTGCTCGTGCGACAATCTGCTATCCAGCCATTTCTGGTACTCAGGCCGGCCGAGCAGCCATTTGCACGTTTCTGAAAAGGCCCTTTTGATTGCCAGCCCACGTTCTTCTCGGCTGTCAAAGTCTAATGTCACGAGGCACAGTCGCCGATGCTCGAGAACAGATGTTGGCAGGCGATGCGTCTGTAACTCGGACTGCGATGTGGGGAGGACCATGCCCAGCAATTCTTTGGCATAGGCAGCTGCCGTCGCCGCTGCAAATTCTTGCCACTCTTTGTTTTTATGGGAATCGGCATAATCACAAATGCCTCTAATTGTTAAACATGGAAAGTTATCAAGGAGTCCAGCTGCTTCCATCTCAAAGCAAAGAATTCCTAGCTCTCTCGCAAATCGATCCCTGACGGCTGCATGCCTCATAACTTGATTTGCTGAGGCAATCGTACCGTAATGAACAGCCGGCGAGCATGATTGTCTCGTCGGTCTCGTCACTGCGAATCTTCGGTTACAGTTTTGGCAACTGTCTCCCTCCTGGTGGGCATAATCTGCCTTAAACAATACGTCGCTTCCGGATTCTTGGGGCCCATACAGTGGCTTCATCTGCGGATACTTGCTCGTCATTTCATCAATTAACGATAATATGCGTGAGTATCCCTCAGTCCGATGTTGCGCTTGAAGCTTGGAGACAGCGGTCAGAAGGAGTGTAGGCGGTTTGTTCAAGACCCCTGTTCGTTCGAATATGCCGTCCCCAATCAACTTTCCGTAGTCATACTGGATCACTCCAGGGCTTTGTGAAGTCGGCATACTGACAACGACGTCCCCAAGTCGAATATCGGCTTTGTCGGTTGGCGCGCCTCCTCCGATTCCGACTAAGAGCCAGAACCTGACGGAAGGGAAGCTCGATCGCATCTGACTGGCCACTGTAGTCGCAGACGTATGCCCGTATACTCCAGCCGGCAGACATGCAATGACACAATTGTGGCCTGCCATAGTGCCAAACGTATATGTGTTATTGTCCATATCCAATTTGCCAGCATCACCGTGAATCTCGTCGAGCATTGCCTGGGCGGCCGCTAGCTCCAGCGGCAAAGCCGATATCCATCCTACTGTGTAGTCTTCGCGGGAGAAAGTTTTGAGCCTTGTTGTCTCAAGACGCCAATTTCTCTCTTCCAATTTCCTTCGTTTGGGGGCCCTGCCCGTTCGTTCGGGGTTGCAATCGCTATTTTCAATCTCGGAGCAGTTCGACATTGTTACCGGGTCAAACCCATGACTTAGGGTCTATATTGATCCTGTACTGGCCATGACTCGTGTAAGCCGCCAAACAGTACATAATGGTCTCTTTTGGCTGAGATTGTCCCTTGAAAGTGCGAAATAGACCACTTACTGCAGGGATTTCTTTCTTGTAATTTGCCTTCGAGCACGGGAGAAACGCCAGCAATCATTTCCTTCTAAGTCGTTCTGTATAAGGATATCCGTGTAGCTCAAGATCTGGTGAAAGAATAAGGGTTCCTGGGAGTGTGAAGGAAAGGAAAATTCGAACAGTGGTGCAGCCTCGCGACAGCCTTGTGGGATCCCTGCCAGTGTGTCACCTGCCATTGGCTTCTTAAGACTGCCACTTCAGGCTGGGCTGTGCCACGCGTCTACCAAATCAGGAAAACAAGAATATCCAGGGATGGTGCATAAAATCTTAGAGAGTGAGAATAGCAACAATTCTCTTTTACTTCCGAAAGAAGATCAACATACATGTTCCTGGTAAAGTATATTGCTTGATGAACTTTGATATTCAGAAAGACCTAGATTGGTTTCTTAGTGTCCTGGGAGAAGACATGCGCCGGTTAAAATATAGCCACTTGCAGCATCAAGAACCTCACTCTGGAACATCTATCCTTTGACGCATTATACACTGTCTTCTGGCACGCTCTTCATGACTGAGGGATAAACAGTCAGGTCAGCCCAGCCATTGATTCTCAACTTCATAACGTGGACACCTAATGGTCCAAGGGCGGTCACTGGCACAAAATTATCCACAAGAATAAGAGTCAATTGCTCATCACCATGAGCCCCTGTTACTCCTGATCCAACCAGAGATGCGGATTTCAATCCCTCAAATTAAATAGCTTCATCGCTTTGTCGCTGCGTCTCGCCATCAGGAAGGCGCAAAGCCACATGCGTCACAGCCGCCCTATACTGAAACTTTTCCAAAGCGCTCTTTACGCACGGGTCGGTAGACCGTCTACGCCAGAGGAATGTCACCGGCCATTGACAGCGTGCAGGCCAGGGTGGCCGCGGATTCAATGTCTGCTTATCAATTTCTCGGTCTTCTACTCGGCTATCTAAGAGCTGGGCATTGCTAGTGGCATCAGTAGTGTAGTCAAGAGTGACAGGCAAGTATCGTCATATTCTTGGACAACTATTAATCCCTGAACCACCAGCCATTCGACTCCTGATACCAACACAAAATCAAGCCCGATATCTCATACAGAATTATAAGTAGCAGCCAACGCTAGATCAAACGACCTTCTAAGCATAAGACGACCACGCATCAGAAGCCATATATCTCACCATAATCACAGCCACTCCCAAGGAAGCCAGTACTTTGGATCGACTTCACGTCGCCGCTCATGGTATCGAATCGCATCATCTCCCAGCTTGTCCCTCTCCTCTGCGGAGAGACCCCAGATCTGCCGAGCAAGCGCATTAAATACCTTCAGCGTTGATATCTGACGCAGTTGGTCGAGGAGCATTCCTCTCTTCTTTTCCGGGTTTTTGACACAGAACTGATAAAGTTCATTGTGCAGCGTGAGTTTTGTGTGTGTCTTGATCTCGCGGGTCTCGGCACCCTCATCGCGCAGGTAGTGGTTGAGATAATAGATGCGCTGCTTCTGCGACGTGCAAAGGACCTCGTACTGGACCCGTCTCTGCATAGTGAAATCGAGATCTTCGACGTTCAGAGCTTGCTCCATGACGTCGACCAGGTCACGGTCGTCTAGGTTCTCGATTATTTTGTGGATAATGTCTAGCTTCAGGAATTGTTCCACATTAAGGTACATGAGCGCTCTCCACCTCTTGTCTGTCGTCTTGGGGTCGCTGGTGGAAGGCGTACTTGTTGCTTGCGAAGTATGAGCGTTGATCTGCGACTCTTGCGTACAGTTCTCGATTGATTCGGTGTTTTCTTCAGCCAGCAAATCAACTATCGTGTTAGTGTGTACTTGGTTCATAAGATGAATGGTACATACCGGCCAACTCATTCTTGTTATCACCATTTGAAGAATCGGAATGATCAGGAGTCCAATGCTCTGTGCCTGTGCCGCTTTCCGAGTCCCACTCCGATCTGTCTAACTGTGTGCGAGATTCGGGGGATCTTGATCGACGCTCCATGGCCCTTTTCACGACTTCCTGGCTGGAAACTTTAGTCATTCTTCGTAGGCTGCTCTTCTCCTAGTGACTGAAGAAATTTTGCAAGCTCTTGTGATAAATATACGGAGATGATGAGAGCGTAAGATCAGTGAACAGACATAGTCATAGATGGCTGCGATATGCCGGTCATTATGACATGGTGCTGAGTACCATATACCTTATGCTTCACCAGCACGTTACTCTAACTTTAAAGACCAACCATGGGATATATCATATCCTACGATATATACATAATACCTGGGACCTTCCAAATAATAAAGCATGCTATTTGGACTATATGCTTTAATGTCTTATGTCCCTGGACAATCCTTACCTGATGATCCCTTCGTTGCGAAGGCTGCATGTTCTGCGCTTGTTCAAACAACCAGGGCCAGCTTTACCAGAGAAAGTCTTACCCCTAACCCACATAACTTTCCAAGACATCAATGAAAACCGCCAAGGCGTCTACCAACCTCTCAAAAGCGTGCCAAAACTCCTCTCCTTGTGTCCAAGTCTGGAATCCTTCACCTGGAGGTCTCACGATTCTTCTATACACCATTCTCACCCTGCTACGCATGATTTCATGAATCACTGCTCCTTCTACGCCCCTCTCCGAAGAACACGAGGGTCCTTGCGGGAGCTGAATATCGCACTGGAGGCACATCACGGCGAACCAGATACGAACCAAAATGAGCAAGTCCCCAGGCCTCGGTTCCTTGGGTCCTTATCTGACTTCCCAGTCTTGGGAACCATCAATATGCAACTGAGTAACCTCATGAATTTCCAAGAACGAACCCATTTCCCCCTCACGCCTTTATGGGAGGTTCTGCCGCGATCCCTTCGCGTATTGTATATCAGAGACTGTCTGGTCCAGTCTTCATCCATGCTGCGTCATGAGTTGGAGACTCTGGCCGCGCATGTCTCCACAGATTACCCCTAAATCCGTAAGATAGGTATGCACTTTGCCATCAAAGAGGTAGAGCCAGGGCTCGGCTGTTGGACTTGCTTAGGCCGCATACCGAAAGCTATAGAGGAAACTGATTATGTCATGGATGATGGAATTGAGTTACTGAAGGAGAGTCTCCGCAAATTGAACGTCCATTTCCAGATCATGCCTCGTGGCCAAGCCTTGCCGTTTCCAGGTCTTTGGGACCATTTTAACGCCATTAAGCACCTAACATGAATGAAAAAGTCCAGCGGGCAGTGAATGATAAACTAGAGCGAAGGCAAGCATACGTACTACCTGATGGTAGAAACTCTAGTAACAGTCTGATTAAGGATCAATGGCCATTAGAGCTATTGCTGTCTTCTAAAATCACTGGGAATCTATATAGGGAGCCATGGGATTAGGTGTCAACACCATAGCCATGGCCTATCTTAATGAAGCCCATACTATTTAATAGAGCTTAAAAATTGTAATCTTACTATTGATAATTATAGACCTAGTCTAGGTTATTAGATAAAATATACTCCCCCTAAACTAAGCTTATAGAAGCTACATAGCTCCATACTATGTAGTTTTCTTATATTATTAGGAGCTAGAAGAGGACTAGAATCAACATTATACGTGGTCATAGAATAGTGCATTCTGCCTGGGTGAGACCAAAACCAAATTTGCTCCACACACATGGTCAACAGAATCTTGTATGCTTAATACATTAACAGGTCTTAGATGCATGCTATCAATGTACTAAGGGCAGGAAAGCAATATGCAACAGGCTATATCTATAAGCTGTATACTCAGCATAAAGATATTCCATTCAATCAACTCTAGTTCCTAGCACAGACAGTATGAAGTCACTATATGAAGAGAATAAACACGGAAATATGGCGTCTAGGGCTGAAACCAAGCCACTAGTCCTTCACAAAAAGTAGGTCGTACAAGGCCTTGGAATAAGGCTTACTATTCCATTCTGTGGATAGGAACAATGACAGGGGAAATGATTTTGGATTTTACATTCAGCTCATAACTTGTCATGAAGTTGACAAGCTTGCAATGTGATATCACACCAAAGTCAATGCGTCTCTACAGCCCAGCGTCTCAAGACCAAATAGGAAGGTGACTTGCGACTGTAGGAACTACGTAGACCTACACACAAACACAACCCCTCAACAGCTTCGATGGTGACAAATCCATTGCATCGGATGAGTCAAGCCGGTTAAAGGTGCGGGTAAAGCACAGCCGAATATCCACTCGTACCTAACTAGTTGACCATGGTTGATTTGAGTGGGGTAATCCCGGGTATCATCCATCTTTAAAGACACCACGTGGCTGGCAATAAATGATGCTATACAGATCATCTTCATCGAGACAATACTTACATCTCTTCAGGACCTCGATCATAACTTGGCCAAGATATTGAGGAAGTCATGCCTCTCACCGAAGAGCAAAAGCAGCACTGGCTGGAACACGGCTTCATCAAGATCCCTCAATGTTTCACCAAGGAAGTTGCCGACAACTGGACAGCCTCCATCTGGGCTCGCCTGGGCATCTCTCCGACGGACAAGTCCACTTGGAACAGTGAAAGAGTCAACATGCCGGGCCATACAGTCGTCAACGTGAAAGACTTTGCGCCAAAGGCATGGGATGCGATCTGTGAGCTCGTCGGCGGGGAAGACCAAGTAACGGATTGGTGCAAGGGCTGGCGGGACTCGTGGATCATCAATCTTGGGAGACCCGAATACAAGCCAGATGATCCGTTGGACTTCCGCACATTGGACAACTGGCACAACGACGGAGATTGGTTCACGCATTTCCTGGATAGCGGGGAGCAAGCACTCTTGGTAATCCCCTTATTCAGCGATATCAAGTCCAAGGGAGGCGGAACTGCAATATGCACCGATGGAATTGGCCTTGTCGCTAAGCATCTGGTCAGTTTTCATTTCCGTATGAGAAGAAGTTAGACTGACTCTATCAGTACGACCACCCCGAAGGAACATGGCCATCGCTCGCATCTCGCTCGGGTCCAAACCCTCCACCTCCAGAGGGAGGCAAGCAGTGGAGAGACTGGGCAAGAGATCCCCAACTCACACGGGCTGAATCCTTCCATGAAGCCACCGGACAAGCAGGCGACGTCTACCTCCTCCACCCGTTCATGTTGCATTCTGCATCGCGCAATCTCCTGCGTGAAGTCCGCATCATCACCAACCCACCCGTCTCGCTCAAAGAGCCCTTCAACTATAACCGACCTGATGGTAAATACAGCCTTGTAGAGCAGAAGACTCTGAATGACCTTGGCCGGCCCGAGGGTTTGCCGGAGTGGAAGATCACACGTGAGAGGGAAATGCTTACCCCCGCGCGTGTGCAGGTTAGTTATTCCCTTTCTTGCTTGAGTTCCAGATCTGACAGTGTTGCAGATACAGGAAGACATGCGCCAGAAGGAGTTGGAACGACTGAAACAGGCGGGATCTTCTGTCACGAAGCTGGGAACTGCCAAGCCTCTCGAGTCGTACTATCCATCATGATGAGCTGGTATTGAGAGCTTTTCGTATAAATACTCGCGGCCTCTGAAGATACTTGAAATTCAGGCATGATGTGCTGAACGCTCTCAATCTCGCTTCTTATTCAAGACTCAAGTCGCTGCGGGGACGCCGGTATTTGTACCGTAATTGCAGAGGAAATATATGCTCTTTAATTGCTGCAAATTTAGAATAGTGCGGGTTTTATTATGGTCATATTAGTGTAGGAAAAGGTGTAAAAGTTCTCCCTTAAGACTCGACAATAGGTGGTTAAAACTGGGGAGATTCCTTTGCATAGATTATATTACGTCTTAATCTAAAGGCCCCCAGATACATACCTAGAGGGGAGAAAAGACCAAAGGAGTACTAAAGACGGAGATTAACTAGGTTCTGCAGCGTATATTCCTTCTAGTAGCTTTAATGCGTAATGCACTTGGCTGCCTCACTATCAGTTAACTGTATTGTATCAATATTAATATTCAATTACTGCAATTTATTATCCAGCATCTAATACATTCCTGTGATTGCCTCTTTCCGTGATCAAGGTTAATTAAACAAAGTTTCCGTATTCATCCGTGATGAAGCTATTCGGAGTTCAATTTCCGTATCAGGAACAGCAGGTGGGGCGTATTTTACTTGGAGAATCTCCATGGTTCATTGGCTTTGGTTGAAGCCCCTGAATAAATCAAAGGTCTTAGCCTGATTCAAAACAGCCGAGATTCCCGTGGCTTTTTCTGCATAGTGTTTGCGGGGAAGCATGCCGGTGCCTGGCAGCTTGAACTCAAAAGCCGAACAAAAAGAGTCCTTAGCGAGCATCTACCAACCAGATCTGGAAGCTCGTTGCATGTTCCAAGTCTGAAGAAGTCAATCCGGCATGAAGATGCGGGGTATAATGACCGAACTAAGGGACTAACAGAAGAAGAGGGACAAGAGTCGGATCGGCGGGCCGTAGGATCTTGACCAAGTCAAGCCAGTCCAATTACCACTGGTTCCTAGCCATCAAGATGAAACGTGGAGGGGCCTATCACTTACCTTAATCTGCAATTCATGAGCGCATTCACAATGGCCGTCTTTGTGAATACTCTCCATTCGCAGATTTACCCTGCGAAATGGCGCTTCTGCAACATCCGTTCAGCAGGATTTCTCCGTCTAGTCGGTGATTCTCCCGGATCAGGCTATAAATACCCGGGTTGAAGAACTCTTGATATTCCATCTCAAGCATAGACTTGTCAAAAGCAACATGGACTCCAAAAGAGGCATTGTGGCAGCTGTGCTGGCCCTGATTCCTCTCGTTTCCGCGCAACAACCTGCTTCGAGTTCTGCTGGTAACCCCAAGCTTACAACATACAAATGCACGACTGCCGGCGGCTGTGTCGCGCAAGATACATCTGTGGTTCTTGATTGGGGCTACCACTGGATCCACACGGTCAATGGGTATACATCTTGCACCACATCTTCCGGAGTCAACAGCACTCTCTGTCCTGATGAGGCCACCTGCGCAAAGAACTGCGTGATCGAGCCAGCCAACTACACCAGCGCCGGTGTGGCCACCTCGGGTAGCTCTCTGACTATGTACCAATATGTCCTGAGCAACGGCGTCTACACCAACGCCTCGCCTCGGCTTTACCTCCTCGGTCCAGACAACAACTATGTCATGATGAAGCTGCTAGGGCAGGAGCTCTCATTCGACGTGGACCTGTCCACGCTCCCCTGCGGTGAAAACGGTGCCTTGTATCTCTCGGAGATGAGCGCCACGGGTGGTCGCAACGAATACAACACTGGAGGCGCCGAGTATGGCTCTGGCTACTGTGATGCGCAATGCCCCGTGGGCACCTGGAGGAACGGCACTCTCAACACCAGCGGCGCAAGCTACTGCTGCAACGAGATGGACATCCTCGAGGCCAACTCTCGCGCCAACTCGTACACACCCCACCCCTGTAGCGCGACAGACTGCGACAAGGGCGGATGCGGCTTCAACCCATACGCTCTAGGCCAGAAGAGCTACTGGGGCCCTGGCGGCACCGTCGACACCTCCAAGCCCTTCACCATCACCACGCAGTTTGTCACCAACGACGGCACCACCACCGGCACCCTGACCGAGATCCGCAGACAGTACATCCAGAACGGCCAAGTGATCGCCAACGCTGTGTCCTCCTCTGGCGTCAACTCCATCACCGAGAACTGGTGCACGTCCGTCGACAGCTCAGCAGCTACCTTTGGCGGACTGACCACGATGGGCCAGGCACTGGGCCGCGGCATGGTCCTCGCCTTCAGCATCTGGAACGATGCCAGCGGCTACATGAACTGGCTTGACAGCGGCAGTTCTGGGCCTTGCAGCAGCACCGAGGGAAACCCGGACCTGATCAAGTCGCAGAACCCCACCACCCATGTCGTCTTCTCCAACATCCGCTGGGGTGATATCGGATCGACTTTCAAGGGTTCTGGTGGCTCGGGTACGACGACCACAACTACCAAGACGTCGACCACGTCGACCACGTCTACCAGGACTACTACTAGCACCGCGCCCGGGGCTACGCAAACCCATTATGGACAATGCGGTGGACAGGGCTGGACCGGACCCACGGTTTGTGCGTCGCCCTACACTTGCCAGACTCAGAACCAGTGGTATTCCCAGTGTCTGTAGTCGTTAGGTATTTTGTACCTTCAATTGTAGTTAGCAATGAGAGCGATCAGTGGAATCTCTGTATATTTAGGATCTTGTAGGAACTTCAAAATGTAGCATGCTAGACATATATTTTTCCGTTGGGCATCAGCGGAAAAGCATTAATAATTTGAAGTTGGCAATAAGGAAGGTATCAACATAGCGCACTGTATTCTCGGAAACACATATTGAGCAGCAAAGGATTCCTAAAACTCCACACTTAAATTTATTCTTGTGCAATTCACAGTATATCAACACGAATGGAATATTCAGGCTTGAGGAAAAAGGAATTGAAGGATTTTTCCTTATATACTCTTAAATCTGCGGTGATGGACATCAATTGGTTCCATGGTCTAGTGGTTATGACTCCGGATTTTGACGCGTGTCAGTTTTCCGGCAACTCGGGTTCAATTCCCGATGGGACCTTCTTTTTTTCTTTTCCACCTTAACATATTCAAGTTTTTACCATCAATGTTGGTTCATTTTTTGTTCTTTTTTTCTCATTGCTTCATTGAACTAGACAATGAAGACTGTATAATGGTGATGGACACCTTACAAATAAATAACGCTGGACTCCCAATCGCTGGGGAAATCACTGAGTGTGCTGAATGGGAAAAGCCCTAGCATTGTCTTTGATCTGCTCTGAAAATTGACTTTAGCTGAGCTTGTCTATTGCTGCCATCATAGGACGCAGTTCTTCTGCACATATTTCTTTGTCTCTGTATTTTACTGTATATAGCGGGACGTAGACGAGGTCAGATCTATTGCAAAGATCAAGCGATCTTATATCAGTCATTACATCGGTAACTCTATAGAAAATCATAACCATTAAGATCCGAATCGATTAGTTCTGCTTATTAGCAGCCACAGCCTCCACATCCTCTGAGCGAGGCGTCACCGTACCAGACTCGCGCATCCAAGTCAGAGTGACCTCTCCACTCAAGAGATACATGTACCAGTAGTACGTGCCTGCACCTGTTAGCACTATCCGCAATCTGAGAGATGGTACTTACCAGCAAACAGTCCGCCCCCAATAATATTCCCCAGCAGGGTGGGAATGATCCCCTTCCAGATGTACAGCCCCACTGTGATCTCGGGCGCCCCCAACCAGATTCCCATAGGGATAAAAGTCATATTTGCAACAACGTGGTCAAAGCCTAGCGAGACGAAGCCGAAGATCGGGAACCAGATGCCCACAAGCTTAGAGGCGAGATCGCGACCCTGCATGCCCAGGAAGCAAGCCAGACTGACCAGCCAGTTGCAGCCAATGCCGCGGAGGAAGATGTGGTGGAAGTCTGGGGTGACCTGTTTCTTGGTGGCGAAGGCGATGGCTTCAGATTTGTAGGGGTCTGCGGCGAAGACATTGCCGTCTGCACAGTGGTCAGACTTGATAGGAGTCAAGGATGGAAATGCTTACAGCCGAAGAGGATAGCGACGACAAAGAGAGATCCAGCCAGGTTGCCCCAGAAGGTCACGAACCAGTGGAGCAACATCTTATACCAGGGGAGTTGGCCTTGGAGGGCAGCGACGGTGGTATACTATGCATGTTAAGTATATTATCATTCGCACAGTGCCAGATTGGAGAACACACCATGAACGAACCAGTGCAGAGGTCCGCTCCCGTCAAGATGATCATAGACAAACCATAAGGGAAAACCAGGGAGGATATCGTGCGAATCAAGCCGGGCGCATTCTCTTGGAACCATGTAGTTGTATTGGTACTCAGAAGCGTTCCACAAGCAAAGGCAAGCAGGCAGCCGGCAGAAAAGGCGCTGAAAAAGACCTTGTCAAGGCGCATATTGCCCTTGCCTACTCCAGCGCGAGCCACCAGCTGGGCGACATCGACCGGAGCGTAGGCATCAAGAGTGACAGTCGCCATGATGGTAACAGCCTTGCTTGACGCAATTCTATTTGCGCTGGCCGCTTTTGATTCTTGAATTCATGGTTTGTTTGGCCTGACGATGAGCGAAAACGAGGAAAAGGATGGGTGATATATGCATGCGGCGTGCCCGTGTTTCATATCTCAGATCTGCACCGGAATATGGGTCTGGAAGTATTATCTGGCCTCTATGCTCTGTACGTAAAGCAATGGCAGTATGCTTAAGCAGGCCAGGCTACATGGCTTCCTCCACCTGTGGCACCTACTAACAAGCCCTGATCCACCACGATCTAAAAATTTCAGATTTCTGCATTGGCCGGGGAACGAGCTCAACCCTTGTCCGACTCCGACTGTACGCTGCATCAGGCCCCCATCAGGATGATAAGAAGGATTACAATTACTGCATTTGGCAATTGAGCGGCGGCTAGTGCAGTCGGATGGGGGCTTATGCCCACCGCACAATGGCCTGCTAGAAGAGATCTCCAAATCACTTGGTAAAACATTTATAGGTGAAATGGTCAAAGGGAATCTGATTCTTCATAACTAAAGGCTGTATAGTCTTATTTACAACTGGATAGGGTAAACACGAGCCTCCTCATCTTTGCATTGGCGGATCAGACCGCAGATATCGGGGGTCAGGTCCTCGGCTCCAAGGCCTTAGGGGCCTCCACCTACTAGCCGAGATAGCGGGGCGGAAAACTGGTCGAATGAGACAGGAAGGAAAAGCGAATCACCTAGGGGTATTATCAATGAGATCGACTCTTAGCCTTGTGTTTTTCTGCGGACTCGAACTGTGGCCGTGATAAAAGTTCGTAGACTGGCAAACCTCTATGACTCGAGATCTAGGGTCAACCTTAACTCGACATCATCCTAGATCTGCTGTTAATCTGATCTATACTCCGTATAAAACCATGGTTTTGCTTTTGGTGGACACTCCCTACCAAGAAGCTTATTTGAGAGAAGCCCTGCCAAGTTGGACATGATGCCGAGTTGCCAACAATGCCCCTATCATAGTCTAAACTATCGCTGGCAAATAACTTTTCTTGGACTAATTATGAACCAATGACAATCCAAAGCGTAGGATCGTGGCCGATGAACTAGTACTATCTGGACGACCTAATCTTCGGCTTGACTTGCGATGACAAACGGCTTATTGTCATCTCCTGCAGGTCTTGCTCTTATGAGATGATCTGACGCCTGATCACAACGTATAAAGAACCTTTCAATGCAAATAAAGAATAATACTAGTGAATCATTAACGAGTGCTACCTCGTTGTGTGCGATAGGGAGATCGCATCGTCGGCACCCAGGAGTCTGATTGCTGAGCGGAAGTTACTTGTCTATCAATGTTGACAAACTATCTGTAATTCTGAGTTATGTCATGGTATCATTAGGACTGAGACCATGCAATATGTTCCATTTTTCACCTGCATGGCCTGGTTTACTCATGCGCATCAAGTTATTATACAGCAATATCCACAGACTGATCGCTAAGCTTATATCAGCTCCCCAAACGCCTCTTTCGATCGCTCTCGTACATTCTGACCTTCAAACTGCCCGCCCTTTGGTTAATATCCCTGTCCGACACTCCTTCGTTCTTCTCTTCTCGGTACAGAAACACCAACGGTAAAGTGTCATTCCGCCACTTTGGAGCCCTGGCTCTCCGCGTCTTCCATACTGTACCGACCAGCGTTACCACTCCAAGCAACCACACCAGAACCGGCAAGACAATCCACTGCCATTGAACAGCAACAAAGGTGATGCTTCTCATCACGTGTCCTGCAGCCATCTGTGCCATGACGGGATCAAAATTCGCGCTGATGTACGCCGAATCGCGGAAACTCTTTGAGATGGCTGCTGCCACATTGTCCATGCTGCAGTTGAACTTGTCTACGGCGTCGAGACTGCAGCCGCTTACGTTGCCCGTGGCCAGGGCCTCAATGACATCCGACCCTGCATAATCCCTTTCGGATGGCGCATAATAGTATGCGAAGGCGTCTTGATTAAGAGCGCCGTTGAAGGTACTTTTCAAAAAGTAGTCGATCGCGACGCGGGCTATGACATCCAGCGAGAAGTTCTGGGTCGGAGAGACTCCCAATTCTGGGCCCCAGTTCGGCTTGAGAGCGTGCTCGTCTACTCTGAGATTGTTTTGCACCCAGGTAGCGAGAACATCCTCGCTGTAGATATTGTTCTCAATGCGAGCCCGAACGCTCTGTACTACTGGCTCAATGGAACACTCGATTGCTTCCCATTTAGTGCCGAAGTCAATCTTCGGTATTCTTCCTCCTCTTTCGCTTGTGATACCTCTTGCTGCGATGAACTGGATCGGACTAAATGTGGCATTTTTGTATACCAGAGCTGAAGCGGGTGTCATGGTCGGGTTTACTGTAAGTGGCTGACAAATCTGCGAGTCTGGAACAAACCAGACTGCCGTGCTGCTGTTTGCAAGCGTTAATGAGCAGTTCAATACTGCAGGATTATACGTGGTATACGTGGTATTGTGGCATGAGGGAATGAGATGATCAGTAACATTGGCGCAGACGGCATGAGCTCCCAACGACGCCACTGGGTTCCAGGTGCAGTTACTCGAGCTGCAGAGGTACTGAGGAATGGTCCATGGCTTGCTCTGATCAGCGTTGAACAGCGAGCTGTACACGTTTGCTTTGAGTACGGGATCGACTCTGCTAGCTGCGTATCCTGTCAGCTATGGATATGGATATTGGAAAAAATTGCTAAGGACCGATTGCCTCACCAGCGCGACCGAGCAAGCCAGCAGTTTCGTATCTGGTGCTGTTTGACAGAAAGGCCTTTTGAGAGGGATCCACCACCAAGTGTGGATAGTAATGAATCAGATTCTGTACGAAGGGATCAAAGGCGAGTGCCAGGATGATAGCCAGGCTACCCCAGACGGCAAAATGCCTACAACTGTTAGCAAGGGGCCATCGCAGTCTTCTGGATTCTGCTTGCCTGGCTTTTAGTATCCAGATGAGCACGGCGCTCCCGTAGAAACCGCGACTGGCCGAGTCAAACGACCGGAGATCCACCATGCGCTGCTGCCTTTGTCCGAACCACACCCACTTCAGTTGTCCGATGCATTCATTGATCGAAAACAAAACACAGGCTTTCGAGATAGTACTCAGCCAGGAAATGAGCGAGTTGAGTGACAACAGCCTCCAGGCAGGCTGGGGTTTGTGATCAAAATGGATGAGCATGGCGACCATAGCAACGAGTGTACCTGCCGAGACCAGCACTGCCAGGACCTCCCAAACATACCAGTCCGAGATGAAGGTCTCTACGGACTTTGGAGGTTGTTCCTTCTCGTCTTGTATCGCAGGGGATGGACTGGAATCTCGTCCAGTCCCGTGACTTTGGTGTGACTGTACATCTTCATCTAATGGTTCGTATGAACGTAAACTGGAAACCGACGATCTTGTCGAGTCTTGTGTATGAACTGGCTGCCATGATTGTTCTTCTTGTGATGACATTCTGGGGGGTTCAATGTGTCGGCTCAAAGTAATGAAAAGACTGATCAATTCCTTCTTCACGCCGAGCAACTGTGATTATTATAAATAGAATCTCACTATGTACACTGAACAGTAACCAGTTACAGGGACTACCAATGCTACGTTGGCAGTGCTTGCGCAAGGGTCTACTGCACTTCTCCCTACCTTAGCCTTGTATACAGCCTGCCAGAGATGACATTTGATAGGCAGATTTCAATATTGACTGATCACATAATACAAATTGCGCCCAGTAAAATGGTCTCGTGCACATCTCACTAAGGTAGGTAGCCTTGCGCACAGCCGGCCAGAGACGGTATATGATAGGCAGATCAATTGGATTTACTCAATACTGGCCAGTCGAATGTTACGAAATACGCCCAGGTCCCCAAGGCCGAAGCTCTGCGCTAATTGAAGGTTAGTTTCTGGTTCATTCAACTCCATCCAATTGTCCATTCCTTCCTCTCTGATTCCCATTGGCAGAGCATTCTTAGAGGGTCTGCTCCGTAAAGAGAAGAAAATAAAGACAGGCAAGCAGATTGATCATGATATATATATATATCCGAGAGAAGCCAGGGCCTGGGGATTAACACTGGTGACTCACTTTATATCCTCGTAGCACTTGATTATTTTATTAACTCACTTACAGTTCAAAATCCCATGGGTGAATGGTATTCTCGTCACTATTGTTAAAGCTCTTGAATATGCACAGTCTGCAGTGTATATGCTTACCTAATCCAGTTAGAGGCATAATCCTGTTCCAGTGAACAACACACAACACAACATCTCCATTGCAACTCTTCCCATCTATTTATCCCAAACGGCATTATCCACTGCACTGATTACTCAATCTGCACTTCACCATGGACAATCTGTCCTTGGTTGTGGTGACCCTCATCCTCATCGCGGGATCTGCTTTCATTCTCCGCATCAGGCATGATCCGCGCGAACCCCCTGTAGTCCACAATGGCATCCCATTCATCGGCCATATGATCGGCTTAGTTCGCCATGGAATCGACTACTACGCGTTGCAGAGGTATGCTCCGTCACGTTTACTACAAGTCTCAATCTAACAGAAACAGCGCCAAACATGGCCTCGAAGCCTTCACCATGGACGTGCTCTTCACCAAAATCTATGTCATCACCACCCCGAATCTAGTCATCGCTGCCCGGCGCCATCACCGCACCATGTCATTTGAGCCCGCCATTACCGGCGCGGCGCGGCGCGTGACCGGCCTCAAAGGACGCGGGTTTGAGCTCCTCAGCGAGAAGCGGCCTGGGGGCGAGAACTTGCACGGGGACGTCGTGAACGCGATGCGTCCAGCCCTCGAGGGAGCGGGGCTGGACGGCATGAATGAGAAGGTGATTGGGTACTTGCTCAGGAGCGTCGACGACTTGCCGACCGCTGCGCCGTTTGATTTTCACGGGTGGTGTCGGTCGGCCCTCACCGTCTCCAGTACGGATGCGGTGTATGGTCCTCTGAATCCGTACCGGTCCAAGGAGCTGCAGGATGCATTCTGGTACGTCTTCCGTCTGTTTTGTGATTAAAGCTAACTGGGTAGGGACTTTGAGGAGAATCTCGCGCTGCTGCTGATGGACGTCGTGCAGAAGGTCACAGCGCGCAAGGCCTGGAAAGCACGGCAGCGGCTCGTCGCGGCCTTTATCGATTATTACCATGCTGGCGGGCATCTCGACTCCTCGCAGTTGACGTATGCTAGGTGGGAGACACAGCAGAAAGGCGGTGCCACGCTGGAGGACATTGCGCGCCTGGAGGCGGCTGCTGCATTAGGAACCTTGTCGAACACAGTTCCGGCCATGTTCTGGTTCATGTTTGACATCTTCTCGCGTCCGGAGTTGTTGGAGGAAGTGCGGGATGAGGTTGCTCAGCATGCAGTCCGGGTTGATGCGCAGGGCGTGCACACTGTTGATCTCGCCGTGATTAAGGAGAAGTGTCCGCTGCTAATGTCGGCGTTCCAGGAGACGCTGCGCCTACGTTCTAATACCGTTCCTATACGGATGATCTTTGAGGACACTATTCTTGATGACCGGTATCTTCTGAAAAAGGGTGGAATCTTGCAGATGCCTGCACACGCGATCAACCGCGACCGGACAATCTGGGGCAGCGATGCGGACGACTACGACCCTCGCCGATTTGTCAAAATCAACCAGTCCGACAGCCGGAAGAAAGCCAACGGATTTCTGTCATTTGGAACATCTCCGCACATTTGTCCGGGCAGACATTTTGCCACCGGGGAGATCCTGGCTCTGATTGCCATGCTTGTGCTTCGATATGACATTGTCCCTCTCGGTGGCGTGTGGAAAGAGCCCAGGGTTAACAAGACAGCTGTTACATCTTCAACAAGGCCTCCTGCGGAAGAATTCAAGGTGGTTGCTACGGCCAGAACGGAGTATGAGGGGGTTAAATGGGCGTTCCGTGTGACGGAGGGCAAGGGGAAGTACGGACTGATCATCGGGTAGTTGGCCATCAGGCAACTGGCTCATAGCATCTTAGCCAGCATGAGCTGCGTGAATCGTTCATGACATTGAATATATTCCCAAAAAGGCTAGCGCTTCGTATGTGATGCTGCCTAAAACCTGTGGCTGCATTCCTGAACTCATCATCTGCTTCATATCACACCAGCCAGTCTTGATACGTATCATCCAGTACGGGATATTCCAGTGAATCCTCTGTACAATAGGACCAGACAGCAAGATGCCTCAGACTCTACGATCAAGCAGGCGTCGCGTAGACTCCCAACAGACCTCAGAAACCAACATCCCGTCTCCAATTCAACCAGTCCACTTCATCACACCACAAGCACGCTCAGATCACCCACAACAAGACATCAACCTGATCCCCCCAGACCTAACGCGCCTCCCAAACCTAAGCACCGAAGAAACAATCCTCCTCCGCAAAAAGCAATCCCGCCTACCCGCGTCCGCATCCGCCACCAACACAACCGCAGCAGACTACGGCCCACACGCCGTTCAAGCCCTCTCTTCAACTCTCATCTTCGCGCAGCACGAAGCAGGCACCGCAGTCTGCATCCACCCAGCCGGATGGCTCCTCACCTGCGCACATTGCTTCGGCGAGACCGAGGCAGAGTGGCGCTCCAACCGGCGGAAATGGCTCCTCTATTTTACGGGCGAAGCAGTGCAAGCCGAGTGTGTAGCCTGGGACGCGAGGCGTGACCTTGCGCTCGCCAGAATAATCGCACTTGAGTGCCTGCCCCCGGCTGCCTCCCAGGGGACTTTAATCCCAAGCTTTGCGTGCGTACCACTAGCAACGCCGTCTGCTTCTCTCAGATCCGAGATACTCTGTATCGGGCAACCGGGTGCCGATGATCTGGAATCATCCGCTCCGCGAAAAACAGCCTACGATCTTATTGAGATTTCTGAAGGTCGATTGCGCGGGTTGATACCCGGTGCTGACCCTCATGATAACGAGGAGATTGGGACCTTGAAGCACGATGCCTGGACGTACTGGGGTCATTCTGGGGCGCCTTTGGTGCGGCTGACTGATGGTGTATTACTGGGCTTGCATTCGTCGTGGGATGATACTACGGCTATGAGGCATGGGGTTCCGCTTGTTGCGCTTAGGGAGTTTCTGAGGGAGAGGTTTCCTGGCGGTTGGGCTATGGAGGACCAGCGTAATGGAGAAGAACGAGAGGTAATCGTGATTGATGATTGATCGTCTTGACTGTTTTACTTGTACATGGCATGCAATGAGTTATAGACAACTTTTATAGCTGTTGTACTCCGCTGTCTCCGCATCGGGAAATGTAGGAGTATAGAACCAAGGCGGGCCAACTCCACCATCCCAACATTTTCACCGAGGGCCCATCTATTCCCGCTGCACCAATCAGAAGAAGTAAAAAATCAAATAAAGTTGGCCGCGGCCAGTCTAAGTTAAAACTCGATATCAATTGACTAATTTGTGTCTGCCAGTCCGTGCGCGTCGGAGCGCATAACCCCGGACATACTCTTTTTCATTTTTTTTTTCTTCCAGGACGCGGACTGAATTACTCTCAATTGACAACAAGATGATTCAAGTTCCCAGCGCAACAGGCGACCCTGAACGGCTTCGCGCCGAAGGCGAGCTATTCGACAAGGATGCCGCGCTGGCGGTGGTCAGCGATGTGGCGATGGAGATCGATCCGGAGGTGGAGAAGCGAGTCCTGCGCAAGATCGACCTCTTCTTCATGCCGGCCATGCTGATCGGGTATGGACTCGTATACTGGGATAAGGCGATTCTCGGCAGCGCGACGCTGTTTGGCATGACCACCGACCTGCACTTGGTGGTCATCGACCACAGCACGACGCCTCCGTCAAAAGACACGTCTCGGCTCAGCTGGGCGACGTCGATTTTCTACTTTGGCATGCTGGCCGGTCTCTACCCGATGACCTTCTTCATGCAGCGCTTCAAAATCCAGCATGTCTTTGGGCCGATCGTCATGCTGTGGGCTGTCACCTGTGCGGCCACTGCAGGGGTAACGACCTGGCAGGGGTTGTATGTGCAGCGCTTCTTCTTAGGTAAGTTCACATCCTTCTGAAGCGAAGCAAGTCTGACAAATCAGGCTTCGTGGAAAGCGTGGTCCCCACCGGCTTCATGACCATCGTCAGCGGCTACTACACGCAAAAGGAGCAGTCCCTGCGCCAGGCGTGGTGGTTCTCCGGCACGGGATGGTTCACCATCATCGGCGGCGCGATGAACTATGGCTTCGGGCAGATCACCTCCGGCTCGTTGAAGCGCTGGCAGTACATCTACATCTTTGCCGGCGTACTGACCTTCTTGTTTGGGATCTGGTGCTGCGCGATGCCCAACTCACCTGTTTCGGCCTGGTTCCTGACGCAGGAGGAGCGCGTCGTCGCCGTCGAGCGCCTCCGCAGGGGCCAGACGGGCGTGCGCTGCCAGAAGATCAAGCTTTCGCAGATCAAGGAGTCTGTGCTGGACGTGAAGATCTACCTGATTGCCATCATGATGGCTGCTGCGTAAGCCTCCCCCTTCAACATTCTAATCGCAAAACTGATCGTGCAGATACACAATCAACGGCGCAATCTCCGGGTTCGGCCCGCTCATCGTCTCCACCTTCGGCTACGACACGCTCGACTCCATCCTCTTCCAATTCCCCGTCGGCGGGATCTGCGTCATTTTCATCCCGTTGTGCGGGTACATCGCCTCGCGCATCCCCAACACCCGCATCCCCATGCTCATCACCTGCTGCCTCCCCGTCATCGCGGGCTGCGCGCTCATCTGGAAATCCACCTGGGGGTACCAGCCCGCCGCGCCGGTAGTCGGCTACGCGCTGACTGGCTTCTTCGGGCCGGTGGTCAGCCTGATCATCACGCTGGGCGCGAGCAACGTCGCGGGCGCCACGAAGAAGACCGTCATGGCGGCGACGGTGTTTGTGGCGTACACGGTCGGCAACATTATCGGGCCGCAGCTGGTCAAGTCGCAGACGGTGGCGCGGCATTACCCGGAGCTGTGGACGGGGTTGATCATCTGCTACTGCGTTACGATTGTGGCGGCGGGAGCGCTGTACGTGGTTCTGTGKAGGGAGAACCGGCGGAGGGAGGCGATGGATCTGGATGAGAGCCAGCGGGATAAGATGGCGTTTCATGATCTGACGGATAAGGAGAATCCGTTCTTTAGATATGTTTTGTAACATCATTTCCACTATACTGCAGACACAAGAATAAAGCTGTCTACCGAACCGGGAGGTAAACACTCATCTCCAGCCCCCCCTTATACGGCAACGTCAAAGTACTAAATCCACTCCCAGGGGCACGCACATACTCCAGGAACTCCTTGTATCCCTCCGCCGAGCTCACCGTGTTGTCCGCCACCACGACAGCGCCATACCTCAGCTTCGGCTGGACCAGCTTCAGCGTGGGGAGCGCCATCGGCGTCCAGACTAACTCGTCATCAGCCACTCGTCACGACGAAGTTGAGAAACTTACTATCAAGCAGAAGCATATCAACCTGATCAGGGAGATTCGTCTTGAGCGTCTCCCGCAGATCGCCCTCGCGGAGGTCAATCACGCTACTGATGGACTCCCCGCACTCGGCCCAGTGCTTGCGCGCCTGCTCGGCCTTGGCCGGCTCGTATTCGGTCGCGATGACAGTCCCTTTGCTGGGTGCCGCAGCGTTTGCGGCGAGGTTATCCGTCACGGCGAGAGCGAGGTAGATGGTGCTCACGCCGTAGGAGGTGCCTGCTTCGACGATGGTGGTTGCGTTGATGGTGCGGGCGAGCTGGTAGATGAAGTGGCACTTGTCTTGCTCGAGGGCGATGAATTTATCGCGCATGAGGGTGTGGAAGGAGTCTGTGGACGGGGTGGTGTAGGCTGATCGGGGGACGGAGGATTCCTGGGTGGTTGATTCTGTGTGCAGGCGATCCAGGAGGGAGAGGATGTGAGAGGGGTGGGATTGGAGGGGGTTGGACATTTTGATTTGATGATATGATGTTGATGTATTCAGACGATGGATAAGAAAATGATGAGATTGATAAGAGTTATCTGATGGATTGAGGTATTTATAGAGGAGAGCGACTCTGAGTGAGTCATTGCGGATAGGACTAATGCAGGAGGATACAGGGGGAATACGAAGAGTAAGACAGGTCCACATCTGTGCTACGTGCTCTCGTATTCATAGACTCCTCTAGATAAAAGGAAGATAGATACATTGGATGTGGTTGATCTCGTTTAAGTCTGTAAAACAGTTTCATGAATCGATATGACACTGGGTAGGATGATCCAGACTTGCACCTCTTCTTCAAAGTAAGAAAGATCATGCATACCACATTCGATCATCAACACACGAGCAATAAGTCCCCCTGCCATTGGTCTTCTTAGGTGCGATGCACACTCCGCGGTCAAATCGCCGGCATTGGCACTACGCTCGTCAGCCCCATCGGATATAGTATACGAACATTGCAGCACAAACATGATTATTATATTTTTGAGGGTCATCCGGACAGCCATGGTGACCGCCTCCATGATGTTTCCCGTCGTGGTGTCTGTGATGGCTCAAGCCGATTGCAAGTGTATTCTGGGAGAGGCTGGCGGCCAAAGGCACCGGGGCAAAAGTGGCGAGCAGCTCGATCAGATCCATTTTGAAGACTTTTGAAGGTTAATAAGTTGAATGACATGAAGATTGAATTATTTATGATGGTTAAGTGGTGGGCATGATGACATGTGTACTATGGAGAAGGTAACTCCAGTGACATCGCAATGACTGGTTTTAGGTCCTCGCTACCCATAATCCATATATCTGTTGGATACTGATACAGCGTCAAATACATACATCATGTGGCCTGAATTCTTGGTGAATTGAAGCAGCACCGGATCTGCGCAAATAAAGATTCGTCCTGCACATGGTCAGTGACTGCGGCAGGATTGGGGCCGACAGACCAGCTTTCCTGCTCTTCATGTACGGTCGACGGGTATCCGACTTGACTCATTTGTGCTGAAGGGCCAGGAAGACGTGCAGATGAGTAGATTGATCGTCAATGAGGTCGGCTGAATTCGCGGCGAGAACATAGAGAGCCTTGAAAATGCGCAGCTGCCTACTACGGCTGGATTACCGTCGTGGTTGTATCAGCGAGTGTAGACCGTCAATTGATCGTTGTAGGCACTCCAAAGTCTGATGGAGTCAGACCTCTCAACGATGGTGCCGAGCAAAACTAATGGCATGATCCCACTGAACCACAAGTCAAGACTGGGAGGCCATGTTGGCGCAGTTGTGATCATGGAGATGCAGGTTTTGTCCTCTTAGGGCTGCTCTGGCCGCTGGGATGCATTCTGGACAAGAAGTCATGCTGGAAAGTTCCCCAACAAAGGATCTCTATAGATTAACGCCAAGGTAGAGGATTCTAGAGTCCAGTATGTATCACAAGGCTTGTCCATTGGTTTGGCCGTTTCTGAGGAATAACGTTAGCCGGCCCATACCCAAGGCGATCAGTACTACTTGCGTAGAACTCAGCTCTCGCAGCTATCAGTCGTTTGAGCTCAGAAGCGAGGGCATTGGCACGAGACGCTCGAAAGTACATGGCTGTGACAGCGCAGTTGGACTGTATAGATTATCATACACTCTTCCGTGGCGGCCGGCAAAACCAATCCAGTCAGTCATCTGATTATAGACCAGAGAGACTATCTTTCGGTTTATGAGCGGTCGCGGCACCGTCATATCTTGGCCTGTGATGGGCAGTACTCCTAGGGCCTCGCTTAAGCAGAGGCAGAGGCCTGTGGCTATAAGGAGGTATTAGATATCTCGCTAAGCTGCACAGGCTCACGTGCAACACCATCATCAATGCAGTGGTGGCTAGTGTTAGCTCTAGCCAGGCACTCTGTACCAGCTCTGTATAGAGCTACGTATCGAGATCGGGTGGAGTGAGTTGTGGATTGCGTCGCAACGTGTTGATTCTCAGGCTATGAGTGGCTGAACAAGTATAGGGCTTGTCCCTGTTCTTGGCAGTTGATCCCTAACCATCGTCACGAAGGGGCTACTGTGGTTAAACTAGTTCTTGAGCAGTGTGGGCGTGATCCCACCGTCAGTGCTCCGTATCTACAATTACTTCTAAGGGTAACATACTCAAGCTTTCAGATCCTCTAGCGGTCCAGCCCCAGGGCCCCAGCAAGACTCTGTCAGAAAAAGCGAGTAGCTTTCCAAATAACAGGCACAGAGGGAGACTA